GATTAGGCTGCACTCTCCGACCAGCATCTGTCATACTTAAGCCATGGTTGATTACATGGTCTATGAATGTTGCTTGTATCGCATTTGAGATTTCTCTGTATCTATGCATTTCTCTGGCTCTTCCCCGTCCTCTGTGCCCCCTCTCTCGTCCTCTCTCCCTCACCATACCACCCGACACTCTAATGCCCCTTCCTCTTGCCCCTGTCTGTCTCCTGCATGCTCCATATTCCACAGCTGTAACATTCAGTCTTACCCTTGCAGTATAAATTTGTTTTCTGAACTGATTGGTTATGAGTTTCCCCTGTTAGCTAAATTGGACAGCAGTTGCATTTGGTTGCTCTAAATTGTGGGAAAATTGAATTGTTCCCCATCTAAGTCTATCCATCTGACAACTTTTAAGTTGGTCGCTCTATTTAGCATGTAGGGATTTATACAATGAACATGTGTATAACTGCGTTTGAGAGTGATATGATTCAAAAAGCAAACGAATACAAAGTATTTTGATCTGCAAAGCTTACTCTGTCATTTTGTGCCAAGGTAATTATAAATGACTATAGTAATGTGAACAACTGACCTAATGTTCATATAAATAGTCATATAGTTCAACAATTCTGCCAAAGCAATTGAGAAAAACTGTAAGAGATAGACTAAGTTTTTGAGCAAGCAAGGGCTTTTGCAGGTAATCTGTTTCAAGAAATGCACTTACTGTTTTGCAAATGTTAAGGCTGATTCAAGAAATGTAATAAAGCGACTGAGATTTTAAATCTGGCCTTACCATGCCTTTTTGTTCTGTTTTGTTTATATTTGTATTTTACATGACTATGCATTAATAGGCCCTTTTCGCAGCAGACATTTTGACTTGTCTTGGTAATAAAAGTTCACATATTACTAATAACATTTATGACAGTAAGAGTACAGTTTCCCAGTAAGTCATGACAGTGTGACAGTGAGGCAGCATGCACAACACCAGGGCCCCTAAACTGAAGATGCTGAGTGGAATTCAGCCTAGTTATGTGTGCCTCTTGTTATGTTTGCAGGTGTACAGCGAGACCCTGCCATACATTAATTTTGACACAATCAGCATCATGGCTGCTGTTTGCATACTGCTGCATGACACCAGAAAGAGCAAACTTCCTGACCTTATCACAGAGGCCAAACACATCAGGTGGTATGTCACTCCATGTGTGTGAATATGTGACTAATGATCAGGATCGCTACTAGAATTAGTAAAGTATTTGAGTCTATGAAACTGAGACAATGAAATATGGTGACCTAATTAGGATTTTGCCAAGCCCTATTGCTACTGATATTCCATCAAGCATTTTTAGTGTTAAGTGAAATGGTGATGATTTCAAATAAATACTGTTTGTCATTAATCTGTAAACACAAAGGAGCAAAAACGTTTTAGAGAAAAGTGAATGACAGATGTATTTCTTTGTTTGTGATAATGTGAGCTGTTCTGTCTCTGTTTTTGTGTCTTAGCTGCTGCTGTCCAAAGGAAACAGCTACAGCCCAGACAGATTTAACTGAATGAAGAAATGAGAAATGAGCATGAGCGCCCTCTGCTGAAAGAAATTCACACAGCAAGAAATGACGGATCATAGACAAAGGCTTTTAAAAAATAAACGTTTTCCGATGTATTGGTGAGACATTAATGATGTTTATGAGAGAGAGGCTCTGAGCCTCTTTTCAAACACAGTACAGAATCAGCAATCATTTACACTTATGTCATCTTGAAAAGATTTGTAACTGTGTTCTATAGTTAGCCTACATAAAGAGGTAGCTGGGGAAAGTCAGTGAACACCTACAAACAAAACATTGATAGACAGCAAGACAATAGTGTCGTAAAACAGTGCAAAGGATGCTGAAATACATAAATATTTTGTGAAGTAATTATGCAATATCATATGTAGGCCTACATAATGCAATATTATTATGTATAGGGTAGGTGGAAGTGATAAATAGACTACAGTATGTACAATGTGAACAGCTATTCACTTGCTAGTAGCCTAAGCAGTAAATATACAGGTGGATGTTAGAGTCAGAGTCAAAGACACAGGTATTGCTCCTGACACCGTGTGTCTGGAGTCAACTGTTCATCAGAGTGATGGCCTATTGGTCGAAATTGTTCCTCTGCCTGTTTGTTTTGATGTACAGTGCTCTGTAGCGCCCACCAGAGGGGAGAAGCTGGAACAGGTTGTGACAGGTGTCGTGCCGAAAAGTGATCGTCTGCCGAAAACTGTTTGCCGTCTGCTGGAGCTGTATTGCCCAGTCTCAGTCTCTTCAATCACTTTCTGGCAAGTGAAATAGCCTACTGCATTTTAAGAGTTGTATTGGCCATTTAAAGGTATTATAACAGGTAAAAAACCGAGTGGATTGGTTCGTAGGCCTACACAGCAAGTAAAATAATGCAGAGTCATAAGGATAATTGCAAAATTGTCTTCATTTTATATCTAAGCAGTAAGACATGTTAATTAGGCTACAGCCCGTTTTCTAAATATAAACAAAGATATTACACATAGGCCTACCAAACATCAGTTTTCGGCGGACGATCGCTTTTCGGGCACGAAACCTGACCGTTAATAATAGTTGCCCGTAAAATAAATGGTCACACCTGCCATAAGAGTGTTTATTACTATTATTTATAAAGTTAAAGGACAGTTCAAGTTCATAATTTTGTTCAATGTACACAAATATAACTTGGCTATATGATAATGGAATGGCATTTAAAATGGTTTAAATAAGGGCAGTTTCAGGATTATGTTATGTTTTGAAATTCTGAATTTTAATTACTCAATGCAGTCACAAGTGGGATAAAAGATGGTGGCCATTCTGTTTATGGAGGGATTAAGCGAGACAATCCACACAGATTATTTTATAAACCAGGGCAGCAAAGCACCCGCTTCTTGTACTGGTTGTGTAGGTCCACATTCAGTTGGTCATTTTATTAATTCCATATTTTTTTAGGGGATTTCCAAAACTAAAGTTCATCATATTGTGTATTATGATCGTGTGGTCCTGTGTTATACAGGGGCCCTGTGTCAAAATGAAGTTCAAATGCCTTTATTATTTTAGTTAATACTGTGTGCATATGGTGCATGTTCTTTTTTTAGTAATAAATTACACTAAACTAATGAATGCATAGAGAACCTGGACATAGCAATTATTATACTAGCATAGCAGCACTGGTTAATTAGTGGTTCCCAAGACATGCCATGAAAGTGTTCACTGTAAAGGAGAGAGGGTATGGTTGTAACACTGTTTGCTTCAGCAACTATAACTCACTAAATTTTTTAGCTAGTTCTAAAACTTTTGACAAAGTACCTATATTTGTTCACTACAAATGGCACCAATTCAGTCCTCAAGAATATCACAGTCCTCGTGAGTTTATGTCAAATACATGGTGTTCCGTTGATACAACCCACCCCACTATCGGGGTAAGCTGTAACAATTACACAAAAGAAGCAAAAATGGATGCCACACCATCTGATATACTTCAAAAACAGTTTTATTGACATAAAAGAACAATGTCTCACTCTCTCTCTGTAGCATACTGTCTGATTAACTCTTAACTTGAATAAACTTACTTACTTATAGTACAGTGTATAAAACACATGTCAGTGTGTGTGTGTGTGTGTGTGTGTGTGTGTGTGTGTGTGTCTGTGTGTGTGTGTGTGTGCGTGAGTGTGTGTATTCTAAATCAGAGTCACAGTGCTGACAAATGAATACTAGTAACCCTGGGGTGCAGGTGCCTGGCTCATCTGAAGCACAAGACATGGTGAATTGCTGAGGAGCCAGAAGAAACCAGTTAGGTTGGAGGAGAGGAGGCCATCCCCAGTTGTGGCCTGTGGTTGGTTGCCTCTGGACTGCTCATGGACAGGCTGGGGTTCAACTTCATGAAGAATGTGAACCAGTTAGGACCTGTCATCTGCTTCTCACCCCATGTTTGTGGATATTTGAGGTTATACTTTACAGCCAGTTCATATGCAAACTTTCTGGCCTAAAAGAAAGTGAAATAGAAAACCTGACTAAATAGACCCCCCAAAAATTTCAATTTATCTGGCACCTATGCTAGTGTTCAATTCTAGCTAACCCGTCATTTGCTTACCTCCCGTGGAGTAAATCTATGATACAGGTATGCTGCCTGAGTCAAATATTCTGCAAACACTTTCTCGTGCTCCTCAGAGAAAACTCTGCTCCAGTAACCTACACTGGAAAGATCACTGGACCCCTGGTCTTTTCAGCTTCTGCTCAGAGTTACATGGCAGATCCTGTGTGCCTTTGTAGCTGATCTGACTGACTTGCCCTTCTTTGTGACCTCAACAGATGCTTTATTTAAAAGACTGGTAGACACACCTCTGTTAGTCTTTTCCACTGCCTAGGCATTCTATAAAAATATTAAAATCACTCCGTTCTAAGTTGTAAAATGGAAATAGTTACAAGTAACTATTCGAATAGTTACTAGTAACTAATGAATAGATGATATCTGAACGGCCCATAGATTTCAATGGCAAAATTTGCAATTAGTTACTAGTAACTAAATAAATTGTAACTAGAAATTAGAATAGTCACTACTAGTCACCAAAAATTAAGTGTGCTACTAGTAGCCTATCTAATCGAGTATTCCTAGTAAAACGGGAATAGTTACTAGTAACTAATAAACAAGTAGGCTACCTGTAGCTTTTAAATAGTGACTAGTAGGCCTAAATGTTAAAACCAAGTGGCTGGCGCATCTCTACACTAACAGTATAAGGCTAATAAAACACTGAATGTTTCTTCTCACCCTCCGTAAACAGGTTGCAACTTATACTGTGAACAAATGGGCTGCATTTAGAAGAAATGATGCCATACAATTTCGTAATAATTTGCAAAACAGCAGAACAGCAAAACTTTCCTGTTCTTCAGCTAGGGCTACGTAAGAGAAACGTCACCGTCAGGCTGAGCCAATCAGAGGCAGGGTAAGGCGGGTCACGCATCCACCACAGTAGGATGCACAAATTCGCTACCGGGCTGAGTGTGGGGTGTAGCTGGCCTGGCCCCTGTGCTCTGTGGTGTTACCGGGACCCGGTGTTTGTCTGCGGCGACCACACACCTGGCAGCGGAAAGACGGGACAAAAGCTAAACTAGCCGACACTACGGCAGCATTAGGCTGGAGTTGGTCACTTACACAACTGGTGGGGAAACCGCACTGGAACCGCTTTGTATACGTAGCTAAATGTGGAACAATCACGCAACAGCTAGCAGATTAAGTTAGTTAGCTAGCTAACGTGTAGTGCTGCTTGTGGTGACTCTGGTTTTGAAACTATTCAGTTTGCCGTTTGGTTGTAACGTTTGCTAGTTCGGCGTAAATTAATTTAAAATCCTCTTAACGTCAACTAGCGGTACTTAACGAGAGTCAGAGCCCTTTAGAGAGTGTAGTGGTCATTATAGTGGCTGTCGTGCTAACCAGTTAAAATACCACGTCTCATCCTTTACTCAAGCTAAAACAACTAATCTTGCTAACGTTACAAAGTTAACCTCTTGCTGCCCAACAGTTTCTAAATATTTGCAGTTTTGCTCGATGTGATATGAATCAGAGAAGGGTCATTTAACCAGATTCTGTGGCCACACCCGTGTAAAGTGTTGAAGTCTGTATGTACCTAGGTTGTCTGCCCCACCAAATTACTGTCAGGAAACGTGAAGTCGATCGATCGTTTGTGCACTTGTTTATGCTCACCACAAATAATATTACTTCACTTTGTCAGTCATTTCCCATTCGGAAACCTCTAGGTTAAGAGGGTTAAACTCTTTTCTAACCCAGTGAAAAGTGCCACTTAAGCTCAGTTCGTAGGTAAGTGAGCATGGCTCCTAAAAAGAGACCAGTTCATTTAACCATTGGGCCTACTGGCGATGGGATGTCTACCTCCACCAACACTGATGTTACATCTGAGTAAGTTATTTTACTAACCACATTCATATCAACAGTAAAGATGTCCGCCCTTTGTATTCCTGTTCAGCAACAGTTCTCTATTTTCTCAGGGCCAATTTAGAAGCACTTAAAAGAATATTGACCGAGTTGGACCTGGATGAACAACAGAAGAAGAGTTTAGAAGCTTTCCTTACCCAGAAGGCCAAGGTGGGCGAGTTGAAAGACGATGACTTCCAACGCATCTGTGAGCTGGGCGCAGGCAACGGAGGAGTCGTCAACAAGGAATGTCACAAACCCTCAGGAACAATCATGGCCAGGAAGGTGTGGCTGAATATGATAAAACATTTTTGATGCTGTACAAAAAAAAAAATGATACTGAACCTGGTAATAAAGTGTTGTTGATCCTGTACAAAGTGGTCACACCATAAAACACATTTGATATAACGGTTCTCTTTTCTGCTTTTTCAGCTCATTCATCTTGAAATTAAACCTGCTATCAGAAACCAGATCATCCGAGAGCTTCAGGTGCTGCATGAGTGTAACTCTCCCTACATTGTGGGCTTCTATGGAGCATTTTACAACGATGGAGAGATCAGCATCTGCATGGAACACATGGTGAGAGAATTGGTGGGGGTCGACTGTGTGTGTGGGAGGCCAGTTAAGGTATTAAAGGTATTTCTGTATTGATCAATTTATCCCAACAGGAAAATTATCTTCTTTTGTCCCTTTTGCACATTTTTATCTCAGATACCTATCCTGAAGGTCAAGTACAGAAAACCTTTTACCTAGTTTCCTTTTTTGCCTATTTCAAGGATCATGACATTGAATCAAGGAAAAAAACACATGATCCTCCTTGGCCTTTCTATATGTTTGTGTGTCAGTAACATGTTTTGATATAGTTCTTCAAAAATAAGGAAGGTTATTGTTAAACAGCTCAAATGCTAATCTTTGGCCTTCTCCTATTCAGCAGCACATACCTGGAACACCATACATATAGAACTAAGGAACATTACATTTCTCAACTCCTTCTCCAAAGCTATAAACAGTGGTTACTGGATAATCAGATATGCTGTCATAATCTGGACAGGGGTAGTGCTTCTGTCATTGTTTTTATTAATGCATTGTGTTACTATTGTTTGTGTGTATGTGCTTTTGTCTGTGCATATGTGATTTTGTTTGCGCTGATGTGTTCTGTGTTTATATGAATTTATCTGTGTTCCTGTGCTTTCTGTTTGTGCTTTTGTGCCTTTGTATGTTTTCTGAATGACTTACTTAAGTCTTCATGTTAATTAATGGGCAATGCCCCTTTTTTAAAATAAATAAACTTCACTTTAATTTAAATCACCCATAGTTTGATTTTATAGTAAACCAAAAAGTAAATGTTATCTTTGTGGTAATCATGACATGAAACTACACACTACTATATAAACATTTTCTTTAAAATATTTATGTTTTTACAGATTTAAGAACCACTGTACGTGTTTAGTAGATGTACTCGGTGCACATTACAATAATGGTAAACAAGTTATCTTTTTGAAATTCCCTTTTAGAGGGGATGTGCTTTTAGCAATCTATATAATGACCTAAAGGATTCTTTGTTGTCTCACTTCATTGTGTAGGATGGTGGATCTCTGGACCAGGTGCTGAAAGATGCAAAGAGGATACCTGAAGACATTCTGGGCAAAGTCAGCATTGCTGTACGTATATGCTTGACTTTTTTTATTTTTTATTGTTGTGTTATGTTATATTACATTATTGGCATTAATGAAACAGTGGTTAGTTACAAATGTTCAGTTTAGATAAAACTATTTCATCGATGCTTAAAAAATCAAGATATATCACCCAGCTCAAAATAAACTCTGCACTTAATATACACACACACCATGCCTGAACTGGTTTCATGCTTGTTTCCAACTTTTGTATTCACCTTGCGGTTGTTTATGATTATTGAGCTGTGTAACTTCTTCCCTTTTTGAAACAGGTTTTGAGAGGCCTTGCCTACCTAAGAGAAAAACACCAAATCATGCATAGAGGTACTCGTTTTTTCATGGAGTTAATGCGTTTCATCTGAAAGGCATAATGCACAATAGCAAGGCACTTTGTATGTTGTTAAATAACGTGTATTAACCGGTTCATACACATCCTAAAGATAACAAAAATCTAACTAATCTGACTTTTTATGTTAATTCTAGGGCTGTAGTCGGTACAGTGGTTGGGTAAAGATCGTACCTGTTGACTGCATTTTGTCCAGTCAGGTAAAGTTTCATACATATCCTTTTTTTCCCCAGATGTGAAGCCTTCAAACATACTGGTGAACTCACGTGGGGAGATCAAGTTGTGTGACTTTGGTGTAAGCGGGCAGCTCATAGACTCTATGGCCAACTCCTTTGTTGGAACAAGATCTTATATGTCGGTATGTTGGTCCTATGAATGAACTGACAGTTTTAAACAAACACCACAATAGTATCCCATTTCATTTCAGATTATTTAATGTTTGGGCAGTGAGCAACAGTTCCTTATATTTATTGAGATAATTAATTGTTGTGTTGTTAATGTCTGTTGTGTAGCCTGAGAGATTGCAGGGAACCCACTATTCTGTGCAGTCAGATGTGTGGAGTATGGGGTTGTCCCTTGTAGAGCTGTCCATCGGACGCTTCCCCATCCCTCCTCCAGATACTAAAGAACTGGAGGCCATATTTGGACATCACATCTTGGATGGTAGTGAGAGCGAGACGCACAGCACTTCCCCCAGACCCAGACCACCGGGTAGACCTGTCAGCGGTGAGCAATGCACACACTTTTTTTAGATGGCTATTTTAAACTGCAAAAGGTAACTTTGCATTCAGGCAGCTGTAGGTAGCAGCAGGAGAAATAATGCCTCATGTTAATAAATTGCACTCTAAGGTATACCAACCTGGCCAGAAAGTGAGAGACTGAAAGTTTCCTCTGAATTCTTACTTGCTGCAGTTGTGGAGACAGTTTGAATTTTAATTTTTATGTTTTGATTCATCAGCTCTTCTTGGTAGAAAACTGTATACCTGCTACAAAATAAGTATGGTAATCAATTGTATTGCTTGAAATGTTGAATATGAAACACATTTACCTTTGCTCCATTTCCAGGTCATGGTCCTGCAATGGCCATCTTTGAACTCCTAGACTACATAGTAAATGAGGTAAGAATCTAAGAAGCTTTCTGAAGAATAACAAAAAATTGCTGTATATTATAAAGTACAAAATAAAGTATAAAATAGTACTGTCATTCTTGCAAAATTAAGAACGTGTCTTTCTCTGCTGTTGTTAATATGACTTTCTTCTGTGTTTTAGCCCCCTCCTAAACTACCACATGGCATCTTCACTTCTGATTTCCAGGACTTTGTGACCAAGTGGTGAGATAACATTGCTCAGCTTTCACACTCGCGTCTTCTTTTTTGAGTGTGTACTTTCAGAAGTAAATCTAAACATGTAAACCAGTGTTTTGTGAACATGAAAATCTCTCTCTCTTTCTGTCAATTTCAGTCTCATCAAAAATCCAGCAGACAGGGCTGACTTGAAAATGTTGATGGTGAGTGTCCTCCGTGGGACTATGGCTTATGTTTTGAATTTAAGCTCCCAGTTTTCTCTTTGGGGCAATTTGCAATGACTGTATGTGTATGTGTAATATGTGACAGGTTGATGGTCTAGATCAACAAATAGTTTTTGTAGAAACACCTCAGCCAAACCGACACTGTGTTGAAACTCCAACTACATTTTGTGATGTGATGAGTGTTGTATTTGTACACACTTGAAAGTTAGAGTCGGCTGCAGAAAACTATGTCCCTTTGTAAATGATTAAGTGTTTGGTGTCCTGTGTCTTATTTGTATGTGATTGTGCTTGTTTTGTTGCAGAACCATACATTTATCAAGCGGTCTGAGGCGGCAGAGGTAGACTTTGCTGGCTGGCTTTGTAAAACCATTGGGATGAACAAACCTGGAACTCCCACGCGTGCTGCAAACTGAGCACACACTCCCAACACATTCTTGCACACAGTATGCTCACGCAACAACATGGAGATGCTGCTGTCTAAAACACTCACACCTTGCGTGCCACATTCCTCCCTCAGGTGAACCTCTGAAGCCTCCATCTTTCAAATCTACTGACATGTAAGCCAGTTGATCACATGCTAGGAAAGGTACTGTGTCTATAGTTGTCACCTTGTGTGGAAAGTCAGCACCCATTTCTGTTATCCATACTTTGTTTTTTTTAAATCAATTACAGCATAATTTCTCTGAATGATTTTTGGCGTAGTTTGATTCAGGATTTTGGGCCATTAAATCTGTATTTTGGAGACTAAGAAACCTGGAGCTGCCAGATTGGAATCCTACTATAAAATGCTAGCCTTTGCATTTTAATTTGTCACTGTTCTTACAACCATGCTGCACTTTTTTCCATGTTTGGCTAATGAATGCCATTAGGCTTTTGTTTAGCCTCACCCACCATCCTGCAGTCATACAGACTGAACATACTGTATCAAAACTGGAAAAGATATTCCTCAACAGAAAATTCATATATTAGCTGTGTGATTTTCTAACGTGTCTTTTTCAATTCTGCTTTTCAGTTTTTCTAGTCTGAATTTCTCAGAAGTGTTGTGAGGTTTACAGCACGAGTGTGTCAATCCCAGTTATTACAGTCATGGTTGAGAATCTGTACATGTGTACAGGTAGATACATATATTGCTTTTATATGTGTTATGCAAACAAAGTGAGAAATGGAAGAATATGTTTATTTTACTAAATAGCTTGGGTTGCATGTCTGTGTTAGCATTTTTTGACGTGACTGATTTCTACACATTTTCAGATGCCTCGAGGTGAAGCACAATGTTGTAGTGTGACCCTCATGTCATGGAAAAAATTAAAAAATAAATTACAACCTTAAATGCACCTCTGTAGCAGCATCCTCACCTTTTTGTGGTACCTTTTTTAGTTTCAGATTAGCTACGCTAGGGCAGAGGATGCCTTTGGAAATAGCATAAATCCATCCCTTGACAGTACCCTCTGTAACAAGACTGCTTTTATCACTTGAGCAAGCTACATCGCTACTCACTAAGCAGTCTCAGTGGAAACAAATAGTTATTTCTATGTTGTGGCAGGAGTAGGGCATTTCGCTACTTTGTTTTTTTGGGGGGTACCTCCTCCTATAAATCATGGTTTAAAGATATAAATGTTTTTTATGGTAAAATCAACGAGAACTTTATCTTTCTGAAGTCACAATTGTCAATAAATGGTATGTGTTGGAACACACGAACAAAATGTCTTCATTTGCCAGAACAGCCCACTGTCTTACACTGATTTTACCACAAGGGGGAGGCATTTCAGGTACAATGCTCTGAAGACTTCTGGTAAAACTAAAATATGCTATCAAACAGAAATATAATATACTTTGTACTGTGCGCAGTGTAGTGTGTACACATTGCTGCAACCAAGTTAGCTTATACTGACTGAAAGCAAGCGCTGGACACTGAATTACAGACCTGCTGAAATACATTAGTCCTCCATTTAAATTATAAGCATGATGATTCATCTGTTTGGCTCATGTCTGGAGTGATAATGAAATGTCTTCCCTTGAATGTCTGTCAACTTCAAGCTGAAAGTGTGAGGCCTTGAGCTCAGAGAAACGTAGTGGTGCAGCATGTGGGGAGGCTAAGTCTGAGCAGTGTTGATGGGAGGGGGATTACTGCAGCAGAAAAACAGCAAACTCTGCAGTCATTAATATGCAAATATGCAAATGAGAGGGTAATTAAGATTGGGCGTTTGTCAGTGGCTCTTTGATTGCTAATGAATTCAAATCTGCAAGAAAGGGGGAGGGGATGATGAGCTAAAAATTAGGAAGAAGAACAGGATGGTATTGTGTGTTTTCTTGCAAAACAAAATGAGAGAAAGCGTGAGTGCTCTGTAGAATGTAAAGGCCCTAGTGAACAGAAGAAATTCTCATCATTGCTGCTTTTACCCTAACGCCGAATTTAAAAAAAGATGACGCCCTCCCAAAACTAATAAAGAATCACACAGATGAGAAAGATACTAACAAGTATGTTAAAATTCTGTTAGAGCACCAACAGAAGCCATAACATAAAAAAGTGGGCTGTGAGTTCGTGCCAAGACAATCAACCATGCACACCGTCACTGAGCATTCAGCATGGAAGGCTAGAGCCAGCACAGGAAGGTGGAGAAAGATTTCTGCTCATTAAGAGTGATGTGGCTGACCCCTGTTGAGAGAGATGCTCAGGTATCTTTGGTGGGGGGTGGGCGCAGTGGCAGCATGCTGTGTGTCACAAACAGTGTTATATTCATATTTTTGGCAAACGGGGTGCCTACAGTTCACACACGAGCACACACTCACTGCTGTTATTGCTGTTTCAGTGGTCCCTTGACACTTGTGCATCTTCCTCCGTGGCATGTGAAATGGGAATATGCATACAAGGGATAAAAACAGATTAAATGTTGTGGAGAATGGGGGGGAAACAGCTGTTCTTGTCGCCTTATAGCATAATGACTTTGCTGCAGCTTTGTATATTTCACAGGGCTGCTTTGTATATTTCACACTGACCACGTGTCACTGTCTGTGACACCGAGTCAAAAATACACTGAAATATTAGACTGAGTCTTGTTGGGAATTATCTGAAAAGAGAAGGTATGCCACTGTGTTGGGAATCCAAGTGGCAGTATGATATTTATTTTGAATTCCCGAATACTTGAGCCAGGATTGTAAATACAAACACTTAAATAACATATTTGGCATGGGGTGTTAGCAGCTGATCCCAGGGCTGCACTGTTTGGTGTGTGACAAGTGGTGGAGTACATGAGTGCGTGTGTGTGTGTGTGAGTGAGTGTGAGAGAGAGAGGGGGCTGTATTTTTCACAGGAAACAGGAAACCAGAAGTCATAACAGGATGCCCCAGACTGTACCTGATGCGTGGGTGGCTGTATGGGGGTAACCCATTTACAAAGCTATAGTGCTTTTTGAAGAAGAAGTGAGAGCCCAGAACAGAGTGGGTGGAGAGGAGGGTATACACTTGGGGGTTAGGAAAATGGAGTTCCATTCTAAATATAGCTTTTTTGTGTCTTGCGCCTTATCGTAAAACCTTGATGTTGTTTTGCCTCCATGTCGTTCGTCCTACTTTTTAAAAGACATCAAACCAAATATTGTTTGATGTTTTGTGTAGAGCTGCGATATGATCACTTCCATGGCAAAAACATATGCCATATTTCCCCAGGTGTACTGCAGGAGCTTCACAAGTGAATCTTTGACATGAGACCAGTTTTGTCATAATGAGGTTGATCTGTTCGCACTGACTGAATGCTCCTTACTCTATTGCAAAAATGCAGAGCCACTAACTTAACTGTATCTGCAATTTAAAGCATGCATTGCCTGTGCCTGTGGCTAAGTAAAATATTCTGTGGTCCATTTTTATACATTTATTTAGCTCTAAAAGGATAATATGATAACCAGTCTTTAGTCCCACTGTTAATGGCATGCAGGTTTGTGCCTGAGTTGCATGTGTGCAGTGCATGCTGAGAGTGTGTGTGTGTGTGTGTGTGTGTGTGTGTGTGTGTGTGTGTGTGTGCGTGCGTTTGTGTGCGTGCGTTTGTGAACCACAAAGTGGATGGCTGAGTTTTCTCGTAAAGGCCAGCACAGATGTTATTTAGGTTGTTTCCCCTCAAACCAGTTGAGGTTTTCTTTAGAAAGTCTCAAAACAAACACGCACATTAACTGCTGCCTTGTTTACATAACCACTAAGGTACAACTCATGGAAAACAGCAGCTAGGCCATTTTTCTGAGTTAGATGCTGGCTCATGCTGTAAACTCAGCTTTTTGATTCTAGTTTGACAAAAAGAAGCACCTGCATGTCACTTTTTTCTCTCTTCCACACATAAAAACACACTCAAGCATTCACGTGTTGCATTCAACATGCCTGGGCAGTGTTATCCACTGCTCCATCACCACCCCGATTGTCCCAACTACTGGGACAAATTGTGATAATGCAATGATATATTGCAATATTTCAGTATTATCACACATACAGGTCACTGTGATGGCTTTACATATTTTTCAGGGATGTATTCATAACATTTTGTAAGTACAGATTTTTTTTTGACATAAAGGGTATCCAAACACATGATGACTAATTGTATTAGTCCCTAATTATTTCTTAGGGATGTTTTCATAGCATTTTCAAACTGCAGATGTTTTTTTCTCCCTTAACACTTGACTAAACTAAAGCATTGGGCAAAAAAATGGCATAAAAAGACGTTATTATATTTGATCTTGCATTGTTGTAGGCTACATATTATCATAAATGTAGGCCGTTGTGATTAGTGTATTTTTTCAGTTGTGTATTCATAGCAAGGTCACCCCAAATCTGCTGTCTACTGTCAACACGGCCAGTTATAATCCACCCTAAGAAAACATCTCACTATCTGATCCATGTTTTTGCATAACTGTGCATCGTGGACTCCCATCTTTCACACACACACACACACACACACACACACACACACACACACGAACGTTTACAATAGCTCGGGCACTGTAAATTAAAGTGCGAGCAACCCGTAGGCAAAATGAGACTGCCCTAAAGGTTGATGATGAAACATATTTGGGCGTCCCGCTTGCCAATCAAATTTTCGTCGTATCCAATTGGTCGTCCCTCTGATATTATCATTCCATCTTCTACTGGTCTAGGCTGTTGGGCTTTCCGCTGTGCTAATCCGCCAGTCGACATAGATCCCCGCGAATTGGTACTCCCATCATTTTGTGTCTCGTTTACAACCAAAAAATAGTGACACTGCGCGGTATTTAAGATACTCGCCGCGTAAATTCAGATTTCGTTGAACCCTGCGTCGTTTGGTTACTTCGTCTTTAGTTGAGATTGGACGCCGCTGATGTTTCAGCGTCCATGCCCTCCCGTAGGCTGTGTGCTGCGGAGTGATACTCGGTTGGAACCGACAATGTGGAGGCTGTTAAAATGTCTACTTGGAAAATGACATGGTTACAATTTCTCTAACAATAAGGAAACGGGGGGTAACACAAGAGTTATGGTTTGTGTTAGAGACGTGTTTTCAGCTTCGTGACGAAGACAACGACGAGACGAGGTGACGGAGGAGTGGTTCATATTGTCTTTCCTCATTTTCTCAAGCCCACAGTCCGGACCACGGGGGGAAGGATCCTATCCCCAACTTTGTTTTTCTCTCTACTCCAGCCGTTGATTTCTCCCTGTTGGATGCCACATAATTGAGTCCAGGTAAATATGTGGATAAATACACACTCATAACAAGCATATGCATGTCGAACAGAAGTTGTCTGTCGCGTTGTAACCTGAGTAATGATCAAGTTTTTAAGCCCATCGTTCAAGTTGTACCGAGAGGCACAGCCGGGAAAAGCGGGGTCTCGGATTTTCGTCCCTTCGGCCTCAGCGAGCTTGTCGTGTTACTACTAGAGTATTACTCGCTGATGTGCGGTGGAAAAGACTTCTTTGTTCACTTCAATGGGCTATAACGTTATAGCACATTAGCATAGTACCAGACAGAGTTAGCTCCCCCCGGGATTTTGCTGCCTGTAGCAGTAGTATGTAACGTTAGGTTTTCTAGAAACAAATGCATGGACGTTAGCTAGCAGCGAAACGTTATCATAGCCAGACGTTGTTGATTTGCTTTAGCTGAAACGTTAACATTCCTGGTTGTGGCTACAATGCTAATCTCTTCCACCTGTTATCAGGATTTTGGGGTTTCGCTAATGTCGCCTAACGTTAGGTCACTGTACTCATAAGTACAAACCACAAAATAGTGCAACGATAGCAAACCCCCTAGATAAAGTAACTGTGGGGTATTATTTTTTACTCCCCCTCCATCTTTACAAAAAACACCGCTGTTACAAGCAACAAGAATGCATAAAAGCCTTATTTTCTCCACCCTGCATCGTTTAGATACATTTTTAACGATTCCCTAAAGGCATTTTAACATTTATTCTCTTTTTGTCGGCTTTCGACCACTCAAGTGAAACTTTGGTGGCCCGAGTCTTTGTGTTCATTATTGTCCCATTCTCCTGCTCGACGTGAGGGCAGGCAACAGGTTTTTAGGTCCTTTTAAACACCCCGCAGGATTTGAACCTACAGATGAGCGATGAAAACATGGCCTGGTGATTACAGACTGTTTGTTTATTTAACGGCAGATATAAGATGTGTGGTTATTTATGCCTTAAAACTTTTCTCCAAATGGGCAGGCCGAAGGTGGGGGTGCTCAAGACGAGCGTATGCAACTTCCATTTGTTAGGAGGGGCTAAACACTTATCCCCCATTTTGACCTCGGCTCTATAAGAGACCGATATTACCAGATTAGGTCGTGTCAAAATATTTAGGCTTGTTCTTACATTTCTCATTAGTCGGTACTCTTCGTGTTGTTATTACCCGTTGTACCAGCATTTAGATAGCTTTTTCCCCGTTAGACTTGATCTAGCGGTTGCGTCTTTGCATGCCTTCAGATGCAGTTGTTTTGTGAGTTATCATTGTAGACAAATTGTTGACTTCTCCTACTGTCTTTGTCACGGTTTTACATGATTATAAACAAAGTAGTTATATCAGTCACAATATGTCCAGGAGTACCACTGGTAGCACTCCTTTTAATGCAAGTTGTATACATTTTAATGTGATGGATTAATGCTTTTCTTGTTGTCAGGAATAGCTCAAATAACTGAAACTAATTGACATTTCCTGTTTCTAGTGTATTATTTTGGACTAAAAGCGAATCTCCAGTCATGTCCTGAAAATGATACTGAGTTATTCAAGTGGAAGTAGTGAAATCATCTCAGTAACAGCTTACAAATGTAATGTTACAAATCTACAGACCCCACCAGTTGTTTGAACTACTTGCAGCAAAACAAACAATGCACAAAATAACAGAAACATGCTATAATCCAATCCAACTGAATAATCTTATAGACATTTTAATTTATAGTTTGTAGTGATGTTAACGTTAACATAGTGTCTTTATGTCAGTGTTTGTGGCAGATCTCTGCAAGTCTCACCAGTTGAGGAAATATTGCTGGGGCTCACAAACAGTTTTTTTACACAAAATGATTTATAGTGGCAAAGCAGAAGTCTAAAAAATAACGAAGACATAGAGGAACAGTGGCTATAAGTATACCCCCAACAACACTAACTGAACAACACTTAATTGTATATTTGGTTGATGGCATCACAGCCTCTGAATTTAATCAAAACCTCTGATTGCAAACAATTTAAAAATACATTTTCCCCAGCTGGTACTGGACTGCAGCGCTATTATATTGCAAATGTCTCAGTTGGTTTGTCCACCTAATGTAGAAATAATACATATTTATATGTTTTACACACATGGCCTGCATTTGCTTTGATACAGCATTCACACAGTACATTGCCTATTTGAGTGTCCAGCAAGCTGTGTTATTACTCTCTATGTTTTTCAAAGGGGCTGTTAGAGCAGGTTGGTTTTTGAGGTAGAGGAAGCTGCCTGAGTCCAGTGCCTGACTAACAACGAGTGCACTGTGGCCTGTGGCTGAACCATAGTCACCCATGTTAGATGTGGGCTTCCAGGGAAGCTCTTAGAACTGGTTGGTGTTTTCATTACCAGGTCAGTTACGAGGTAGGCATTAGGTATTCAGGTTTAACTGTATCATTGGTAGAAAGAGTACCTGAGTCAGAGTGATGTGTTATGAAAAGCTAACTGGGTGGTTTTGTAGGTTGGGTATGCCAGGGTTCCCACCAGGTTGTAATAGACTCATATTGAGCAAATTGAATGCTTTTGAGTCATCTGAATAATTATAATTATTAATTATAAAGCTGAGAGAAATCAGTATGTTGTCTGGAGTTGTGTTTATTGTAAGATTTCCTGCTGCATAAAGTGAGTTTTTTTTTCTCTCATCCTTTTTGCCATAATTCTATTTACCAGCTTTATTGTTGAGTTACGGGGACACACTAACAGCACCAGGCACAACTTTAAAATGGATGAGCCAACACCACGGGCACTTAGACTAGCTTAAACAAGTCTCTAGTTTAACTATATTATCTGTACCTCTTATTTTTAAGGGAAAAGGAAGACACTAATGTCTAGCTGCCCATTGCATTATATAACTGCGTTTCCTCTACCATAAACCAGCACAGCAGGACAAGTTTGAACTGGGTCCACTGGGTGTTTTGAGTGGACAGTTTGGGTAAGAATTTCAGTATGTTAGCTTTAATTTGAAAAAAAGTGGTTTAGATAACATGTTAAACTGGACTTTTTTTAAACCCGTATGATTGCTTGTGTGGTTGCCCCGTGTGTGCATAGCTGTTTCTTCAAGTGTTGTGTCCTTATATCTCAGCAGCTGGTGACTAAAATGTTATCATAACCGAAAGGAATGATGAATAAAATGTTGAAACTATTTGTAAATTTATTGGAAAATATTTAAATGCTGCAAAAACAGCAAAGTAATGTCATTTCCTAAACTTTTACTGGGCTGTTCCAGCTGAGTCAAATAAGAATACATTGAACTGCTTGGTTTATATGTCCACATTTTTACCACAAACCCATCTTACATTTACCTTTTGTTTTTGTGTAAAGCACCAATAGTCATACACACAGTGTTGTCACATTCTGGAAAAACATTGTGATACTTGCCTTTGCGAATATCTAGCTCTACTCCGAACTCTACCCTCTTACAAATGGGCGAAATATACTCATATTCTCCTTACCTCTGCTTGTAGTCGCTTGCTGAGACTGAAAGGGCCAAGTGAACAGCAGCAGAGAATGGCTGCAGTGGAAACCGACAAGGAGCTCAACGACTTGCTGGATTTTAGCGCGGTAAGATCCCTCCGAAGATTGCTCGAACTTGTCGAGTGTGCGTCCTATACAGTCCATTCTATGCTCACAGAGGGCCAAATTGCTTTCCTAATAAGTCCTGAACAATTGGTAGTACGTTGAAATTTCAATGAATATCAGGGCATCCATGAATGAGTCAACTTGTCAGGGTTTGAGGGATTGCAGCTACTTTTTTTTGAGACTGTTGTGTCTCTTTAATTTTAGCAGTCACACAGTCAAAAGCTGGAATGTGTGAAGTGATTCATGCCCTTTGTAGCAGTTGGCTAAATAGGTTAGGATACATCATAGTTTGAATTAACCACCTAATAAATCTTTACACAAGTGAAGAGGATACAGTTCAGCAAAGTCATAGATGTACTTGAACTGTCTTTTTTTCTTGTTTGTTTTTTACAGTTTCATTTCTCTCATTTCAGATGTTTGAGCCTCCAGTTTCAAATGGCAAGAACCGGCCAACTACTCTAGCCAGCAGTCAGTTTGGAGGTTCAGGTAAGACAAAAATGGTTTACTTTTCCTTTAATTAATTAATAATTTTTTTTCAATGCCACCCAAATAAATGCTCTATTCTTATATTTGTGATTATCTTGATCGAAAAAAGATTAAACATCAGTAATATGTAATTACAAAGAAAAGAAAACATTACCTTTCTTCCTCTTATCTAAAGCTAGTGTTGAAATGTCCTTACTGGTTTGTAATGCTCCCTAGCACATATCCTGACAGTACTGCTACTCTCCCACCCTCACTCATTCATGGTGTTTTGAATAGTAATAGAAAAGGAAATTGTTCCTGTTCTCCTATTCTTCTCATGAATTGTATATCAGATCACAGATTATTGGAAGGAACCTCAGGATAGATTGCCAGGTTATTTTATGTTATGTAGATCAAGCGTCATCTCCTCTACACTTCCTCATCCTCGACTTGCAGGTGTCCCTTCCCTCACCTTCTCAGCTGTTGCCATTCAATCACTTAAGGACAAAGGCGGTGGGTGGGGGTTGATGGGAACAAGCCCAATTAATCTGCTATGCTTACTCTGTGAAAAAGTGTATTCCCATGTCCTGCAATCTTGCACCCTACTTTCCCCCTTAACATAACTCATTTTCACCCACAGCTATTATTCAACCTCATCATCAACTTCACCAGCATAGCCCTTACAGTTAGTTTTAAGACACGCATGCAGCTTACTATAAACAAACAGCCTCTGACATACTCAAGATCAGACTGTTTCCTTTATTTTGTGTAGTTTCTGGGCCCCTTTGTAAGGCTGTCATACACACAAAGTGGTTAGATTTGTACTGTCCATCTCTCTTCGTAATGTAGCAGATCCACTCTCCCTGCCTGAACCTTTCTCTGTCACCTTCGTATCTCTAGAAGTGCTGTAGGTCTTTCGGCTGGCAATAGAAATGAAACAGGATATTGAAGCTAAGATGAAAGACAAGGCAGGCAGCGGCAGGGAGGGGTACAGGGGGCTCCATTTCTTCTATTCACTTGAGGGCCACTTACATGTTCTTTTGTCACAGTAAGGTGTGTGCTTACAAAAGAGACGCATTGATGATATCAGTCCAACGGCTGCTTATGGAATTGTGCTCCATCCTTAAAATTATACTCCACTATTGCATTTCAGACACAAAACACAAACATTGTAGTGTGTTGTTTGCTTCTTCATGAAGAACAGCTACTGTGGTCTGCATTATTTCGTGTTGTTTAGATAAGTTTTCACAGCAGGAAAAATAAAGTTTTACGAGGTCCATAGAAACATGTACAGTACCTCTGTAAGATCTTCTCTACCCCTCCTGTCTGTGCGATAGCTACGAAGCTGGAGCCAGGATGCGATTAGCTTAGCATCAAGACTGGACCCAGTCGGAAATGGCTAGCATGGCTCTTTCCACAGTTCAAAAATACACCTACCATCATCTCTACAGCTTACAAATTAACAAGTTCTGTTTATTTGTTTTGTCTGTATGCAAACAGAAATGTAAAAACAATTTGCGGTTTTAGGAGTAATTTCATGCCATAGCTATTGCTTGGTGAACAACTGTTACTTTCTGAAGTCTTGTCACAGTGAGGATGCCAGGTTTGGTTCCTGTACAGAAACCTATACTAAAACCTGTGCTCACTTACCGTATGTGGGAACCCAGAGGTCCTGTACTGAAGTGGTGGCCAGGTGGATAAACTTTGTTGGCCAAGAAACAGAATGAAACTTTCTATTTCTTGTCATTTTCACATTTCTGTATGTGTACTAAACTTCTCATCTTACTCTCAGCAAGAAAGCGTATTTCCCAAAACATTAAGCTGTTCCATCTAACATAACAACATGCATTTTAGCTTTAAATGCTTTGACAGGGGGCTAGGTCAGGCCAGTACTGCAGGGTATTCACACAGCATATGTTGCTAAAAGAATCATTTCAGAGTGAAAAATGCACCTCATTGTTCGATTCATGTCTGTCTGTAAGTTCTTATAAATTATGTATGATTATTTACGTATGATTAGTTTAAAAAAACCTGACTTGGTCAGACTGTATTCCTGCTTTTTGTGGAGCAGCTGCCACATGTTTTCCTTATAGAGTCAGTTAAAAGCCTTTTTTTCCCAGTATGGTTAAGCTTTGGGATATGTGGAGGTTTAACATGTGTGGCTATGGGGAACCTCCCATTTAGAGCCTTCAGTGAGCATAATATCTCTGATCTGGTCTTATGTGCCTGTTCAGTCAGTCAATTTCAGTAATGTTCAATTCTCTTTCACTTTTTGGTCTTCAGAAACCGAGAAAATGTATTTTTAAGCTTTGGTATGAGCTGAAATGCAGAAGAGGCGCTTCAAATTTGCATGACATGTTTAATTGTCCAAACAGATGTGTTAGTGAATTACAAAGTCTTAAGGTTATAGTTAAACTCACAAGTAGGTTTGCTGTTTAAAACAGCACACTGTGTTTTGTTTGAGAAGTCTCCGGTGACTCACGGGTTAAAACGGCAATGCCTGTGTTATTGTACATTGTTCAGTATTTCATTAACGGTGTTCACTCTCTTGAGATTTGATCTGACATCATGCTTTGTGTCTGTGTGACTCACTTTGCCAAGGGAAGGAAGAAGGTGTGTAGACAGAACGGCACACTCTGTTATAGGTGCCTGGGGCAGTGTTCCTATAAAAACCAAGACATGTCTGCAAGTTTGGTCAATGTATGTGCTGGCGTTTTGCTCATGAAGCCTATGACTCAGCCTGGCTGTCTGTTTTCAGTATCTCTTCCTGTGTAATTATAGACTAGCCATGCTTAAAGGGGCGTTGCATGCTGGGAGGAAAAGTGCATTGGGGTTCACCAGAGAATTTGTCTGATGTTACTCACCCCTTTCTTCATTTTTGTCTTCTCAATCCTGTTTGTCTGTCTGGGTTGTGCACTACTCATGGTTTTAGCACTTCTCATGGCTCTAATGGAAATTGTTCTGCAAAAATGACTCTGGATTCTGTGTCATTGTGTCATTGAAATTGCAATTTAATTTCTTACCTCTTTAGAATCTCATTTATACATGATAATGATTCTTGCTGCAACAGCAGTGTGATCTGATGTATTTGTTCAAGCACTACCCAGTTTCTTCTGAAAACACCACATTATGAACTGCAAAGGCCAAAGGGCCAGGGACAAAAACAACAATGGGTGCAAATAAGTGGAAAAAGTAAAGTAAAAGAACAAGCATTACACACTAAAAAAGCTTAAAAGGAAAAGCAGTAACTAAACAAAATGTGTCCAAATTAAGGAAATAGTGAGGAAGAAGAAAACAATAATCCTACTGTTTGGTCCTTTTGAGCAAGAAAATGTGAGTGTGTTCAAATGTGTTTCATGTTTTAAACACATGATAATTTCATATTGCTTTAATTATAGGTAGGCGCAAATGGGGTAAGTGTATTTTGGGTTATTTTGATTTAGTAAAGATATTGAAAAGGGTCACATCAAAACATAATGATGACTTATAAAAGTATTTACTTTGTGAGCAGAGTAAGGAGCCATATTTATCCAACCACTTGAAATGAAGAATCACACAAGCACTGCTCAAGAGACGACCAGATGAGCCTAGTCTTTCTGGACCACATTGATAAAATACACTAAATGACCGGAACTACGACATTTTCACATATGCCCTCGCATGAATACTTTGTAGGCAGATACCTGTTTCAATCTAGCTGATATGCAATCAACTGAAAGTGCCTCCTCTCTACCTATCACTGGACGCAGCTGAGCTGCAGCTAGGTTCATTTCTTTGGTGAAATAAAAAAATAAAAGTCATGGAAGCAACACAGTTGCTATGTTGGCAACGCTGAAGTGGTTTAAAACTGGAGCATTTTCATTTCAATAATGTGTGTCAGGCAGTCACAAGGTAGCATCACTGTGGTGGCATGTAATGCATAAGCTTGTATTTTAACATTGGAATGTATAGGATCAGATAGATAATGTTAATACACATATACTGTTTATTTGCATTTAATTCTACTGTTTTACTCCTATGATTGAAACCACATTAGATTTGTGTGTAGAGGGAACTGATTATTATTTTAGTACATTAATAGAAATACACAATGAGTGACCAGAAACATAAAACCCACTGTATAATATCATCGTTTTTAGTGTTTAACTTCATTAAGTAGAGTTGTCAGGATTCAATGAAGCAATTCTGAAAGCCATCTCAAATTTCTAATTAATTAAAGGGATTCCACTCGGTGTTGTTCATCTGCTTATCATCAGATCAGTTAATTAGAAGGAATATGTGGGTTAATTGGCGTTAATTTGAATTACTCTTTAATAATGCCTCTTAGTTCATCTTATTTTCACTCTCTCATGTCGTAAACATTTATTCCATAATTCCATTCCCTCAGGTGTGAATATTCACATTAATCCTCCCATTGTTTCCTGCACACGATCCATTGTTTCCAAATTAACCCTACACTGGAGTGCCTTGAAAAAGGTATTCTTATACAAGAGCGGTTCTGGAGTTAGTTTTCTGCAAAGTGCTATATACATCCTCCTATTTGTGGAATGAATTCCTTACGATCCTCAGTCCTGCCAGAGAGGGGAAAAATGCCACATGTTCATGTCTCGCTGATTAGATTAGAATTTTTGACTGTTCTGATATGCAAAATTAAAGCTTGTTCTACTTGTCTGTAAACAGACTATACTGTTTGTTTGACACTGTAAATACCTTATTTACATGTAGTATCAATAGCAGAGTGAGTAAAATAGACTCCTTGAATATATATTTAATGGTGAACTGTTTCACTGTCAAAAAACCTACTTGTAATCCACATCTGAGCACAAGTATAATGCATTCACAAACAACATTGAATTGGAGCCTTTTCTTGGCTGGAGCTTGGGTAATGATTACTTACAGCGGAAACGAACGGTTCATGCATTTTCTTTATCGTCTTTGATTGACGTGGAGAGTGACAGTCAGCCATAGAGAGGGGACAAGACATTGTCTCCTTCATCTCTTATTCTGCTGGTGTCGTGTGTATAGATCACAGTTGTCACAGCAATCTAGCAGCTCTCAGTGCTGTGGACCCATCATTCTGTTCTACTGCTGATCCTGTCATGATTCTAGCCCCCCCCACCCCCCCACCCTCCGCTTTTTAATTAGACAACAAAACAAAAATATGAATATTCATAGAGCTGAGCTTCATTAATATGCACAATTATGCAAATCAGTGCACAATTAAGCTTCAGCTTTCCCCCCAGAGATGCTGTGTTGCAGTACGAGAGGAGATTGAGAGAAAGGGGACAGGCAGGAATTTCTGCTTTGCCAATCTTTAAAATCGGTTCTTTCAGACACATTCACCTCTGTTAACACTGGAGTGCTGTGGCCAGGGATAACGCGTGTCAACTATGTAAGATTGAGACCTCGCGTCTGTGTCAAGGTGAAGGTGTAGGCCAACTGTGAGAGAATAGATGGGGGGATGAATGACTGTTGCCATGGAAAATGTAAAGGAGTAGAGTGGGAGAATGAAGAATGTCGAGGATGATTCTGGGAGCCTCATACTGGGTGTTAATTATTCAAACTTCCTACAGCTCATATCCACACTATGTGACAGCGCTGTCACTATGCTGTCTCTGTGTGAGCTGTGAAGTGAAGCTCCTCAATGGAGGTTACTTTGAGCAGCTTGAAAAACCTCTATCAAAGCAGGTCAACTTCATCAGTCTCTGAAGTTAGACTTTGCAAAGCCTAAGTTTAAATCCCTGTTAAGAACCTGTCTACCTTTAATGGTTAATAGGCCTAACCCAGTTCTTTGTCTTCCAGGTATGGATGAGAGGAGTGGTCCCAGTCCCTGGGGGCCAGCACAACAGAACAGTCCATCTTTCAACCAGGGAAGGGTATGGTTTATCCTCACTTACTACATTGAATCTGGCCTTGTAGATGTCATACTATTGAGCTTGAGTGAAACACAACAAAAGTTTGGGTGATTTATACCTCTTTTCACACATAAACACAGTGTATGGTATGGGATGATGAAGTTTTTAACCTGCATTATTTTAATACACTTCACTGTTAAGACCAGGCTGAGATCTTAGGATTTTACTAGAAAGTGATCTACAAACAACAGCATAAATATATTCACACTGAATGATAAAATAATGGCATGTCACACATTACACAATATTATGAAGATGGATATGAAGATATAATAGATAGTTTGTATTGTGAGTACACCTCAAAAAGCCTTAATGTTAACGTCCAGATTCTTACAAATGTCATACACTTTGCAGTTATTGGAGCAGAACCAAATTAAATCTACCAGCAATTTAGAAGGATTAAGATCTTATCTCTGAACCACTGAAATCACCAGATATTCTGAGCTCTGAACACTGGTACTGACAAAGCCAGGCCAGACCACTATTCTTCCAAGATATCTAGAACATGGTGGATATCATGGGTAATTTTGGAAGAGCAGACATTATGGATGGTTCAGACTGTCAGACTACCAGGATTTATCTTCTTAATTTGTGCACCTTATGAAAAGTCAACACAACAACTAATGCTGTGTAATCATATTCGATTATTCATAATCATATAAGTATTTTTACATCACGTAGAACAGAAAATATGTTGCTGTTATCTGATATTAGTGATTAATAAAATTATCCTATACTATAGTGGAGTGTTTCCTACAGGTTGAGAATTTATTTTTGTTAGCCAACAAAAACAAAATTTGGGATAAGGGAAGTCATTAGCACTGTGATGGAGATGTGAAATTTCATGTTATTAATTTGAGGAACGTTACATTCTCCTCATCACTCCACACAGATCTGATGTTTTCATCTCTTTAGAGGAGCAGAAGCTTGAGCGACCTTAAAGTCATATCATGTATGTCATGATTTATCCTCATTTTAACTTCGACACAAATCAATATTTTGATTAGACCAAATAAGAAATATTGGCGTATAAATGGTTTATCGATTTCTGTGGCAATCCAGTAGTGATACTATAGTAACCCTGTAGCTGCTACCATATTCACCCTTTTATCACAAAACAGAGCAGTGTTGGACCTGCGTACAAACTAGTCCTAGCAAAGGGTCTCTCTTCGTCGTTCATATGAACACACAACAGTTTATTTTCTTACATAGTTACTTTGGTGAGAAAGGGTTGTTAATTAGGGTTTATATCCCTAATGCCTCTGCTGTCTTTCCCTCAGGGTTATGGAGAAGAAGGCCTTTACAGTGAGCAAGAGGCGCCCATGTTTGGATCAGGGATTGTTGGTAAGAAGGTTTAAATTGAACTAAGCTGTTGAAGCATAGACACCACAACATTCACATAGTCTTTTTTTTTTAAATAAAGAGAATCAGGGACATTTGGGGCCAGTGTTTCTAATAATAGGACTTTATGACGGAAGAAACAATGAGTTGTTTGTTTGAGAGAAGCCGTACACAGATTAGTGTATCTCTTTAGGGCAAACCATGTTTATGCTTAGGTGGCAATGGAGGAAGGGAGCAGAGTAATCAGCGAGGTTGTGGAGGAGGGGTTTGTTAGTGTGTTGCAGTTTGTGTGTTCAAGGCGGGGGGGGGGGGGGGGGGTGTAAAGGGCACCCATGCACAAACAAGGCTCTCCCTTGGGACTACGGTAGCCTATAGCTCTCCCCTGTTTAACTGTCAGGGGAGGGGACAGAGGTTGGTCACAATTGCCCCTGAACCATTTATAATGGGCCAATTTGTTGTTGTTTTGCTGTCCGCAGCCATAAATACCACACATCATCATATGCACTCACAGATGGGAGGCACCCAAATGGAGAAAGGGGAATGGCCAGATTGTGATTTAATATTGACATAAAAGCCCAATCGTCACGATCATGACCTGATTTTATGTTCCTTTCTCCCAGCAGGGAAGGCTGAGCGAGGACCCTACTCGTCATTTGCAACACAGGTATATTAGTTCTGCTGCAGTATTGCCCCATCTCTCCTCATGCTGTTCTTGAAAAATTCTATCCCTCAGTCAGTTTTCTTTTCCTTTATTATTCTGAATTTACATTCATAATTCTTTCTTTTTACCTGTCCTTTTACGCTACATGAGTTTGTGCTTTCTTTTGTGCTGTCTTTAGCAGGGCTTTATGCCCAGTGAGATACCCATGCCCAGTCCCAATGCCCTCTCCCCATCTGGCCTGAAGACCAACTCCCAGTTTTACTCTTCTTATGAGGGAAACCCTCGCAGGAGACCCTCCCAGGACCCCATTGGTAAGATTGTAAAGGACTGTTTCAAGCACAGTGTTGAAATAAGATAAATCTGTCATCACATATTTTGTGTCAGAAAAAGTTATAGAGTTATATATAAGTATATCATCACTTCTCCTGCTGAGGTTTTAAGAAATTCTCACTTCTGCTTGGTTAAAGAAAGTGAAATCGCTGTGAGTTCTCAATAAGCAAAGTCATTGAATAACATCAGACTAGAATACCTTTTGATCAGGCATTAATGACTAGTTACAAGACAGATGGAAAGATTGGTTCAGCGGGACTTCAGAAGGAAGGGGGCTGCACAAATGAATCCCTTCATTGGTGGTTGTATAGTCACTTCTGCATTAAGTTAAGGTCTGTGTGTGGGTGTAAGCATGCTTTTGTGATTTCACTCTGTCTTCCTCCCCTCAGAATCACAGCCAAAAAAGATCAGGAAGGTGCCCCCTGGCTTGCCCTCTTCGGTGAGTGCATCCAGAAACGTTGCAGCCCTGAACTATATTTCAGTCCTCGCAGTCAGTCCATGTTTTCATGTTTTACGCCCCTTTTCACATTCCATTTGGCATCTCAAGCCTCTCCTTGGCTTGCAAAGCAGTAGAATGGCTGCAATACAGGACATCCAGCTCTTACAGCTGTGTATCTGCTGCACCGATGTAAAAAAGAAAGGGGGGGGGGCAGTCATTCACCCAGTCACTCATCTGCAGCATATATTTTATAGTGTGTTGTATTTGTAGGCCCTGTATTTCATGGCCACATTTCTTCCCCACTGCCAAGTATATGCGTTAGATCACTGAAGGGAATTCATACTGGGGTTTGATGATTCTTACTCCACCTCATTTTTTCCCTCCCACTCTCGCTCTCTGGGCACCCTATTTCCGCCTCTCCTCTGTTTCTTCATTCCCCTCCCCCCCTCCTCTTTAGCCCACACCCCCTCCCTCCGCTCCCCTCTCCTTCCCGCCGCCTCCCTCCCTTTTCTCTCTCTCCCTCCCCCATCCCTCTATCCCAGCTGCCAGTGGAGTTGGCTGCCATCCAGGATTCGGCAGATGGTTCAGTAATTAGGAGTGCATCTCTCCGTTCCCTCTTCTCCTCTCCCCTCTTTTTCCTCTCCTTTTTTTCACTGTTTAATCAAATTACAGAAGAAAACTTCAGTCTATTTGGATTTGAGTTTTTGGAGACACAGTTTGATACTTGCTTTTCGTCTAGAATAGTCTTGATTGAGAATAATATGGGGGTTTAGAACATTGGTTCCTTTATACGCATTACACCGTGCACCAAATCCAACTGCATGTCCCATTGTGCGGTCACATCTCACTGTGTTGAAGAGTGTGAGTTATGTTTTTCTGTAAACCCTTCTTAGTGTGTTTCTGTTTAACCTGATAATATGTAAAAGGCCTACAGATATTGGAGGCAGAGCCCAATAAAATTACTGACACTGCACATTGACTACATAATGCTCAGTACTCCAGTCTGTAGAAATGTTGCAACAGCCTGTGTTTTGAATTAAGTAGTAAAAACAGATAGTAAAATAGATTGTAGCCTAGGAAGGAACACGTACTTTTAAGGTATGTGTTTAATCAGGTCTTAAATACATATACCTTTTATTTTTTTGTTTTGTTTGAAAACTTTAGTCAAATGTAATTTTTGTAGAAAAGTTTATTTGTGGTCAACCTCCTAACTAAGCACATGAAAGGTACTGTATTGGAATGGTTCTTATTAGAGAAACACCTTATATGTTATGTCCTGTGTGTCATTTATGCAACAAGTTATTTATGTCTTATAGCTTGTTTGCAGTAATTTTGTGATTTGTGACAATGTTTACAAGCACTGAACTGAATTTTTTTTCTTTGTATCCTCTGTAGGTTTATGCGTCAGCCTCAGGAGAGGATTTTAACAGGGACAATGCCGGCTACCAAGCCTCCAAGGCAGGAAACGTCTACTCACCATTCTACGTGCAAGGTCAGTCGAAACAAAATTTGCCTTCAGAACCTCCCCTTGTTCGTTGTGTTGAGTGGAAAAGTTCAGTCTGACCGAGACACCTGTTAAATGTATCAGATCTCACATAGATAATAAGGAATATTCCTTTATATCCTTTATTTATGGTTGTTGAATTAGCTCCTCATAATATGCCTAAGGAAGTCTGGGTAAACCCTGTGGTAACTGGGTGCTGAATAGTGCATCACAGTTGAATGAAGTCGTCACAGTAATGTGACATGTCTCGTATGTGCTTGCTTCATTGTCTTCTGATCTCCTGTGGCTGGTTGTCCCTCGCCCTTCTTGCTGCCCCCTCCTCCGCTGGATGCTCCCTGACAGAAGGCCTCCACCCGCCCTCCGATCCATGGGGCTCCACCAGGTCGATGGTTCAGCCTGGTTACTCTGCCATGCTGGGCAACTCCCCCCATCTGAACCAGCATGGTCCCTTCACTGCCATCAACCCCCAAGACAGACTGGTGAGCTCTGCCTTCATACTTTGGACTTTTCTATGAAGGCTTTAAAGGGTCTTTGACACTTTTTGACTAATGCATCATTGAGGGCTTCTGTCTCGTTGTGCATTTGTATCACTGGGTGTCTTTGCTTTCAAGAAACGGCAGCCACTTCCCCTCTCTCCCCAAAACTACCCGCTGCATGGCAGTGATGTGAACGGGGCTCATCCCACTGGCTTCCACTCTGGATCCAGCAGCTTCGGAGTCCCCAGCCACACCCCCCCTATCACTGGCACTGACACCATTATGGGTAAACCCTTTAATTTGTTTAGTGAAAAGCGCTCTTTTATTTTTTTCATGCAGTATTGTCACATAGCAGAATTGTTAATAAGCATAGGATTAAATGGAAATGCTTTTATTTCTTCCCCAAAAGCCAATCGAGTTGTAGTACCTGGAAGTTCAGGGGATGAGATTGGAAAAGCTCTGGCATCTGTAAGTAGTATCCTTTCACACAACAGTTTAGCGTAATAGCATAATAAATGTAAAGGAATACGTTGCATTTTGTTTAATTAAAAACAAAAACTTGTGTGTCCAGATCTATCCTTCAGACCCAAACAGTAACACCTTCCCTCCGTCCCCGTCTACTCCGTCTGGATCTCCCCAGGCTGTATCAGGTGAGGGAATAGTCATTTTTTCTCTGAGGCTTCAATGTCAACTGGCTGTTTTGTTTGTTCAACACAGAGTCTTTCCTGTTGGGTGTAAGGGGATGATAAAATGTATTGTTTTCATTTTGACTAAGCCTGAATGGTTCTTAGTGACAGAGTAGCTCCATCTATTGGGTTAAAAGTGAAAGTAAAACATTGTTAATATTAGTGTTATTATTATTGTTATTAAGTAAGTATTATTATTATGGATTAATATTGTCACTGGAACAATATACTTAAAATAAATGAAATGGAAGACTGGCATGTGTTTATCTTTACATCCTTTGGACTGGATACTCACAATTACAGATTTAAGTTAAATAACAATGACTGTACATATTTTAAGTGTAACTTGTGGTACACCACAGCTTAACCTTCACTTGATCTTACACCATCCAAATATAACTTATGAGAGAGGAAGGGAAAATACAGTAAAAATAAAAAAGAGGGTGGGGTCACTTCCCCATTTGTCTCTGCACAGAGGGAGCTCATTACAATCACATACTTAATACACAAAATACTACTTGTGGCGCAAAGTGAGAAAAGAGAAAAGGGAGGAGGGATAATTGTGAACCCAATAAAAGAAATTAGATATGGAAATACCTTACTTTGACCAAAGTATGAATAAAATCCACAATTATATGAAGACGACACAAGTATATTTCATATCTACTGTATCTACGTGTTTCACTTTGTTTCATATCCCCTATCACGTTAGTTTCGCATGTTAAAAATGTCCATTCAAAATACATGTAGTGTTTCATGTTCCTAATTTTCGACACATAACAATGTGAGGATCATTTTTAGAAGCAATAAAGTCTTTGTGTTTAAGAACAGATATTTCTCCTGCATGTGCTTGGCTTAAAACAGCAAAACCCTGGTGTACATTTTATGGTGTCTTTGATTGAGCATGTATCATATAGCATTTGACCAAAGTGACTCACAAAATAAGACAGTATGGCGGGGTGTAGGGAGACCATCATTCATCATCACCTGCAAGGCCCAAGCTTGCAGTTGCATCAGTCATCTTCTCTGTGGTGTTTGTGACATGAAAAGCTACTTTCCAGGAGTGCTTCTTATTGACTAACCAACAAACGTCTACTGCTGAGTGTGTGTCATTACCTATGCGTTAATATTTTGTACCAGCTTAGAGCATAAGCCCAGTCTATACAGTAAACAAAGGCAAATGCACCTAGCAACACCCTGTGGTCTTTTTTTCTAGGCTCTGCATCCCATTGGACTCGCTCCTCTGGCCAGGCCACACCGTCACCCAACTTTGACGGCGGAATTCAATCCATGGTGAGTCAAACATGTCTGTTTTATGCAAGATGTATATTACAGAGATATATACAGGCTGCTACAGTCATTCATACATCACCTTCTACTGTCTCATTGTCCATTGTTCTTCATCATCTGTACCAGAGTAAAATGGAGGACCGTCTGGATGAAGCCATCAATGTTCTCCAGCGTCACGCCAGCGGACAAGGAGGGCCAGGCCTGGCTGAAATGCACAGTCTGCTCTCGTCTGGCTTAGGGTTGCCTCCAGCCTTCACCAGTGCAGCACTTGGACTGGCTAGCCGCCTGCCTGGACTGGTGAGATTTATTAATAGCAGCACAGAAAAGCTATCCACAAATGACTGAATGAAGTTTGGTATTTTAAATTAAAGAAAAAAGTAAACTGTGAAAGCCATTTTTTTTCGTTTTGTTGCTCTTATGCAACAATTACAGAATTGTAACACTCATCATGTTCAATTGCTGTCTTGAAGATGTCCGGTCACCATGAGGATTCTGGCCTGCCCTCTAGTGGAGGACTTTTGCATGGTCACCATGGCCCCACATCTGGCCAGCCAGGCCCACAGCATGAAGGTTTTACCGGTGAGACTTTCTGTTGCTTTGTACTATTTATTTTTCATGTCAGAAAGGGTAGTAATACCATCATTGGACTGTTAAGTAATATATTTTGGTTCTTTATGTGTCTTATTCCGTGTCTTTGTTTCTGAACTCCTTGTGCAGGCCTCGCCAGCAGCCTAAGTCGCTCCAGCGGCAGCGATATCAAACGAGAGGACAAGGAGGATGATGAGAACTGCTCCATTACCGACAAGTCAGAGGATGAGAAAAAAGACATGAAGGCCCGCCTTCGAACAAGGTGTCTAAAAGTTTTTTTTTGGTTTTGTTTTTTTTACATAATAATTATACTCAACTATCGTGCATGAGATTTTATGGAATATAATCCTGCAGTGGTTTAAGTATAATATGTGTCAGGAAGTAATTCTTTATAGTAATTTATTTATTATTTAATTCAACAATAGACTTATGGGCACTTGTCTATTAAGATCAAAACAGGAAGAAATACATTTTAGATATCAATGCTCAGTGGCATGGTAAGAGAAATTGACCAGAGCCTTTACTGGGTTGTTAAAATTTGATTAGCTGTTAAACTGGATACTTCACTTGTCCCGTTTTGAGTCCATAAATCTGAATCCACATCCAGGCTGAATAACAAGACCAACTCCTTTTCTAAACATCCTTACAAACGTACCACGTCTGTATCAAATATGAAGTTGAATTTCATAGGAAAGATCATTTACCCATGTATTATTTTGTAGTAGGCTTTTAGTCTGAACAACCAAAGATGATTTGGTTTGTGGAGCTCTGCCTCTTGTCTTGGTAGGCCCCTGAAAAGTCTTACATCCTGATACTCAGATGTGGTGGAAACAGGAGAGACTTTTAGTTCCTGACATTAGGTCTTGGGGCTCCATTATTCCTCAGAGTAACTCTAATGTGACACACCTTAGTAGCAGTGTCTGTAATTGCCATAAAGTTACTCAAACCTTTCCATGTGGTGTTGACATTATGAGGAAAATGTATTGCACACCATAATTGGGAAGTTATGTTCAGTGAACTGTACCCATACTGTTGTTTCCTTCCCTCCTCATCTGTCATTGGCTCTTCGCTAGTCTGGATGATGAGGAAGACGATGAAGATCTGCCAGTGGAGATTAAGGCTGAGCGGGAGAAAGTGCGGAGGATGGCAAACAACACCCGCGAACGGCTACGTGTGCGGGACATCAATGAGGCTTTTAAGGAGCTGGGCCGCATGTGTCAGCTCCACATGAGCAATGAGAAACCGCAGACCAAATTGATCGTACTGCAACAGGCTGTTAACGTTATACTCAACCTGGAGCAGCAAGTTCGAGGTCAGTGGGTGTCCAGGGAGGAAGGAAGAGGAGGGGAAGGGCCTTTTGACAAAATAAAACTCCCACATGGCTTCATTTCCCAGCTCCTGACATGTCCTTCTAGCCATTTAAACTCTTTTTAAAAATTACTCGTGGTACTTCATTTTACTCCATTAACAGCGCTAAACAAAATATGCTAGTGACACTAGTGAGTTAAAGTATTATTCTTTTTGCCGTCCATCCTAAAAGTGATCAGCAAAGTGAGGACATGGGATAAGGAAAAAGAAGCTGTGTGACTGTTTTTAAGACATGCCCATTCTCCCGTTCATCTTCTAAGGTTTTCGTCCTCTGGTAACACATACAGGACTGCTGTTTGTTCTGATGCAGTATGTGTTGCCTTGTCTTACAGTTGGCTGTCTGTTTCCACTGTGAAAGCGCTTACATGCCTCTCTGCCTCACCCTTTGACTGGATTAACACACCTTTTTGTGTACTCACTTGCTTTTTCCGCTGTTGCCTCATTATGCTTTTTGCAAACTATGAAGTCATTTTAGTTTCAAATAAATTATTTCAGCGTTATGATGCCTTCTGCTCATAGTATACTTGTCTGTTCTCGTGCAACCCAGGTTAGCATGGAAGCAGGGCTGTCTGTTGTCGTGTGTGTTAATCTGTCCTCAGCTTTGTTGCAGTGTCTCTGTGCTGCATGTCCCAGCCTTTCAAGCATTAACCCTGCCACCCTGTTTTCGAGACAAACCTTTTCTCTTTCTCCATTCACTCCCCAGCCCTCTGTCATTTTCTTTTTACAGATGGCAACAGTGACCTCCCTTTTCCTCACATTCAGATAAATACATCTCCTTCTGCTGATGTATTTAACACGATGCCCTCAGTCTCTCCTCTTAGCTTTTTCTCTGTGGCTCTTTCTATGTTGGCAAAGGGTGTTGCTTCCTCTCTCTCTCCCTTTATCTCTTCCTCCTCATTACTTTTCTCATTCTGCTGGACAGTCACCATATCCCCTACAACTTCCATCCTGGACCCCAATGACCAAAAAAAAAAAATCTTTGGTTGGTTATACTTCAGGGCAGATTTATTAGACCTGGTCACACAGGTCAGCTGTTGTATCTTGATCTCCAATATATTTGTTCTCGACTTGATATAATTTATTGCCGCGCTCGTTTAACACACAACACTTAAAGTTGTGAAAATCTATTCATTTTACAAAGATTTAGATCTAAGAAAAAACAAGCTTTCAATTTCCACCCGTCCGCTCACTCTCCTGCAACACAGCCCCACTCCACTGGGATCTTCTTCAGCAGTTCCACTGGTCTTGTCTTGGGCCAAGAGCTTGATTTTATGTAGACGTACATAAAAGATTTTCACAGTAACAGAACAAGTGAAAAACACAAAGTTAAAGGCAGTGCTATAGGTTTAAACCAGTATATGGTAACTGCAGCTTTAGTGAGAACATCTAGCCTAGGTTCAGCGAGGGTTGTGATTTGGGTTTGTTAACCAGCCCCTCCAACCCCCCACCCCCCCTCCCACTTCTCCGCCTGGCTGCAGCGTTGTCTCGGTGACTGATGAGAACCTGACTGCCGAGGAGAAGGAGCAGAGGGAGCGTGAGCGCCGCCACGCTAACAACGCTAGGGAGAGGGTGCGTGTGCGCGACATTAACGAAGCCTTCAGAGAGCTGGGCAGGATGTGTCAGGTCCACCTTCAGAGCGACAAGGCCCAGACCAAGCTTATCATCCTGCAACAGGCTGTCCAGGTCATACTGGGCCTGGAGAAGCAGGTGCGAGGTAGGTCAGCCAATACAGGAAGGTCTGATCCACATAGACAACCAACCATCTCTTATCATAGCTGGCCAAAAGTTGCCAGTCATTTACCTGTAGGAAAATCTCCTCTTTAATTTAGTTCTCCCTTACTGTGTGGCATCTACTTTGGCTTTCTCTTTGCTATTTGCCCGTATAACTTTGAAAAAATGGAGAAGAAGGGGAGAACATTTGAGGAAGTAGATCCCTGCTTTTCTGCCAAACGCCTGCAGTTCCCATCCTACTTTTCATTTTCCTGCTTTCCTTGCTTTTCCTCTTTTCTGTTTTCCCCGTCTATAAATGTGTTCAAATCTTTAATCTTTTAAGATTTCTGAGGGCAAAGCACAGCTTCCTTCCTTCCTTCCTGTTTTTTTAAATCTATGTATGTGTCCTTTTTTCAAAGAGCGTAATTTGAACCCAAAGGCTGCCTGCCTCAAGAGGAGAGAGGAGGAAAAAGTTTCAGGCGTGGACCCCCAGATGCAGCTTGGCGGGGGTCACTCTAGTCTAGGAGCAGATGGACATATGTAATTCTCAGGTCAGTCTACAGAAGCTGTGCATGGGGGGTTTGTGTTGCCTGCAAGATAATATGCAAACAATACTTGATTTCGTTGCTTGTTTTTAAGCTTGTTTTGTGGAAACAATATTCATTCATTTTTCTCCTTTCTCTTCCAGTTCCTGTTGATTGTACAGCCCTTAGAACACGTGGCCTTAATCTATCAGTGTCATGCATCTCAGTGTGTGTTAATCAACTTTTGGAAAGCACACACGCACACACACCTCATTACTGACAAGGCAGGTGGCCACATTCCTGACGATGAATACAAAAGTAACAAGCACACTCTTACAGAGAGGAAAATTTTATTAATCTTTACATGACAATACTTTGAACTGAGGACGCTGGTTTGGAGACAGTGGAAATTGGACATAAGGACGTTCTTATGATCATGTTTTTGTAAGACATTTTGAAAAATTGCTTTACACGTTGGGAGCAAACCTTGTTTGGATCAAATAAAACTTTTGGATCAATTGCTCGTGTTAGCAGAGTTAGGATTTGTACTGTTGGATAATTATTGGCATTCCCATCTGAAAAGGATGTCTTACATTCTTCACAAGCAAAGAGGGACAGCCGGGTTTATATCTTAAAATTGAACAAAACCTGTTTAAGGTTTACGTGCCTGAAGAAGGCCTAATGCATAGTGTTTGGTTAAGATAAAAGTAGCCATCTTTATTATCCTTTCATGTGATGGCTGAATTACAGAGGTAGATTTGGAGACTTTGGAGCAACTAACTGGGACACCAGAGAGCTGACTTCTCATTTTTGATATGTTGGTAACTCTGGCCGTATTTTTAAAATTGTCTTGCTTTGGCTCTAAAGGTGCCACAGCCACTGACTCACACATGGTGGGTTGTGTTTTCTTTATTTTTTACTGTGTATCCCTGAGTCTTATCTGTTTAATGTCCTGTACATCTGTTATTGTCACGGCCGTGCAAGTGGAGTGGAGAGAGTTCCGGAGAGAGACCCACCACCGACACAAAAGCGAGCAAAGACTCGATACAAATCCAGGATGATGTCGAATCAGATGTGCACAGGCACATCCCGTCCCTTCCTGTGTGAGGCTGGCGTTGGACTCAAGCACACATGTGTCACCCTCACTGCTCACATCCTTCGCCATCATCATGAAGTGAGTCAGTTTGAACCCTCTGAATCAAGTGCAGCCAGTGTCACATCAGCCTGCCTCTGTCAAATCATACCTAGACACTGTTGCAGCATGGTGAACTTGCTTAAAGTAAGTCAGTTTGTATTGTGCTAGAAGACAGAAACAATTGAGTATTTGAAAGGGATCATGAGTGTTACTGCTACCTTTTGTGGAGAATTTACTCAATCGCCATTGACTGACTTGTTGTGGTTGTTGCTCTGTGTCGAGCGTCTGGTGTTTTTTTTGTTTTTTTTCCTTTTTGAACAATTGCAAAGCCTGTTGTAAGGATCTTCCTTTTGTAGAATTGATTTGTCATTGTTTATTTTTTACTTTGTAAGATAGTTGTATGAGTTTTGTTTTTATTGTTTGGAATGCTCTTTCTTTTTTTGTTTACATTGTTTAAATGTAAGGCGACTCAATTTAGATTCCAGGAACAAAGTGAGGTGTTTTCTTTTGTGCCAGGTGCTTAGAAATGTTAGAAATGACAAAATGATCTGGCTGTAACATCACATGTTGTGATATTGCTCTTTTGTTTTAATTGCTATGTTTCAACACAAACCTGAAAAAAAAAAAAAATGAAATTAAACACAATATTTTTCTTCAGCACACCCCCCTCCTGTCGCAGATGTCCAGCTCAGTGATGAGCTAGTTGATTAGATTGAGGAAGAAGCAGTAGGGGCGGTCTGCACAATCTACAATATAATTCACTGTCTAACTATAAAATGAAGCATAAAACGAATCAAAAAGGGTGGCCTTAGTCATTTTCCTGACTTTGGGAGTTTTGATAATGGTTACTCACCAGTGCCTGAATACATCTCTGCTACATGGTGGATGATGTTGCATTTGAAGATACATATATACTTCAATTACATCTGGCAGTGTCTAAGAACATCTATATGAAGAATTACTCGCTGACACTGGCTGCTTTAGTGTGTGTGTGTCATTAAATGTAAGATGACTAATAACCTGATCTACAACTTTGATGCTGAAAACTGTACTTAAAATATATTTCTCATCTTTTATGAACTGATTTTGTATAATTTTCTCCTTGACTGGCATGTTCATTGATATGTATGTACAGCTGTATGATATGTCCTCATCAGCTTTATCATTGTAAGCTGATACTGATATGTAACAGTATTTGGTTTACCTCTACCTGTCATTTTATCACAAACCTTGCCCTATGGACTAGCCCCAAACGTTGTTTTCTTTGTCAGTTATTCTAGCCTTTCTGCAGAAAAAAAAACGTGGTCGTGATATGAAAAATCGCCACTGAAGATATTGTCTGCAAGTATCCAAGTATCAAAACATGCACCTGATATTCTTTATTAACAGACCCTTTCTGTCCTCCACAACAGGTGACCTGCTACAGATCTCTCTGTCTTCACTCATGTTTGGGGACAACATTTATGTAGGCTATGTCCTCAAAGTGCCTCCAGTTTCCTATTTTTTATATATAAAGTAGATATTGAGAACTGTTGTGTATATAACAGTAATGTAGCAATAAATGTGCCATTTTTAATAACAAAACCCACGTTAGTCCAATGTCTTTTTTTAAACCATAAATCAAAATTGCATTGCCAACTGGGACAGACAAAGTACGTAATGATAATTTCATAGGCTGAAGCAGAAATAGCATTATTAGTCTGCTACGTGGCAGAAATGAGCTCCACCTTCACCTCCCACTGTCCCGCCGTAAAGTACACTGCACACACAAGAACTACAGAGGAATTCACGTTTCACTGTATTTTGTGCAGATCCTTAGAAGAAAAAATAATTACTTCCGTGCTGGAATATTACTTGGTTTCAATTTTGCTGTGTGTAAATTGTGATCATTTGAATAAACATGCATAGGTCTTTATTTAGGAATAAACATCCGGCGCAATCTAAACTGAATGGATACAGATATAAGAAATAAGTTTTGACACAGGGACACATCTCGGAGACAAGGCCTTCTGAAATGATAATAAGTTGCTATTCGGTTTTATCGAAATTTTAATGTTGCTTTTATTTTTCGAGTAACCGGAAGTAAGTTGTGCACATGCGTACTAGGTGTGGGAAGCTATTGACCCAAAACGGAAATTCTCCACAGCTTTTAAATCGGTCCGTCCTGAGTTTGGAGGACATATTCCAGCCAAAATGATCAGCAAAGTGATCGGTCAGAAGTATGTGGCTATTGCCAAGTCATGGTAAGATGCTTTTTTTTTTTTTTTAAATCTAACTGGTGGTAAAAAACGGAAAGAAGTCCGACTTCCTGCTAACAATCTCGTTGTGTCCTTAGCTAACATGAGCGGTTAGCCTAGCCGAGGTCATTGCTGTGGGACCTGCTGACTTTAGCGATCAGCTAAACTCAGGCTAAATGTCCCTAAAATGTAATTGTTAAGTAATAATAATAACGATTTACAGCTATAATGTCAACGTTATATATTTTATTTGCTCAGTAGAATACATGTTTAATTTAACCAATTAGCCAATGCTAACTTAACGTTAGCTGACTGACTGATCTCACGTCAACGGCTGAAGTTAACGTTAATGTTTTCGTTAAATATTAGTAAGAAAGACAAGTAGTCATTAATCACTGATTCTAAAAGAGTCAGATAAAATGTCACATTGCTGTCCTGAAGCTGATGCTAAATGGGGAAAAAACAAGTAACTCCTCACATTTGTATTTCTATTGATATTTTCTCACAGTAAAAAAACAACTTATCAAGTTGCTATTTTTTTGCATGCATTATTGAACAAATCGTTTCAGCACTTCTGTCTTCTAATATTCAGTAGGCGCTTAATGTTGCTTAGGTGATTGATATTTATAGTTTTCTAGCTACACACAAAACTAAAGAACAAGAACAGAACAACTTGCTTCTTCAGCTTTACCTTTTAATAGTATTAGGATTTTTGTTTTAATATATTGCATCCTTAGACTAATAATTTGCAGTCAATGTATTGAACATTTTTTCCTCAGATTATTTTCATTAAGGGTATATCCACTTTAAATGGAAGACAAATTTGTAAATCTTGACAATGTTCAATACTCCACAGGATCCCAACTATGGCTGTATGGGGCACAGCCAGTGGCGTAGCTCTGGTCCACTTCACAGACTGGAGATTGATTTTGGACTATGTTCCCTACATCAGTGGCAAATTCAAGGACGAGTAGTGGCACTCAGGTTAGTATGAGGAATGTCAAAGAGAACAGGTTGTGACAGCTTGTAATGAATACAGACAGGTGAAGCGTTAACATTTTTCTGCACCTATGGTATATTTTAATGCCAGAAACACTGTCTAGTGTGGAACGGACCCTCTCAGTCCCCATCCTTTACATCTTAATTGGCTTTAGAGTGGCTTCTACAGCAGTTCAGACTCACATTTTGTACATGTTGTTATTGTTCTGATTCAAAATGCTCTCTAGATTAATAGAAATAAATGGCTAGACAAACTAATCTGGTAATTACACAGCAAACACAGTAGTATTTGCAAGTTAGCTAAAATGTTCATACAGAACAATTTTTATTTTTTTTTGTATAGAATAGTTAAATTATGTTTTAAGACCCTTTTTTCTCATACTCAACATTGATTGTATTCCTTATCTATCTGTGGCAATTCACAGGTTTGAATATGATTCACAAAGGCACACTGGTCTACCTGCAGCACTAAAGGTTACTGTGTAATTGTGTAAGGAAGTGTTTTTACCTTTCAAACTTGGTTCTCCCAGGCAGAGAAATTCAATGTTGAGTCTTTTCACATACTACATGATTATTACTTTTTCTTGACTGCCATGGTGGCAGCATTGCAAGAGAGCCATTGTAATTGCAGCAATTGCAGACTGTCTAAATAGTTGAAACCGGGGCAGACCTCTGTTCAGAGATCACAGGCAGCATTGGGTGGAAGTTTGCCCCTGTTTCTACAGTTAATCCTGTAAACAAGTTTTGTCTGTGCAGCCACAGCCTAATATAAGCATAGACCCCCATCCAGCCAGAATGTTGTCCAAAAAGTATTTGGGCATTGGGTTAAATATTCCTTTATGTCAATGAGAATGGCCAGTGTAGTTTATTCTGAAATAACTCTGAGACCGCCGCATGCAGCAGCTCAATTTCTTGTTTACGTTTTGCTAGCTGATGAGCTGAGAGTCAAAGAACATAACCTTGTGCATGCTCTGTACTCTGTTTTTGCTTTTGTTCACATTGGAACTGTATTGAAGAAGACACACTTGCAAATGCTACTATGTACGAAGTAGGAAAATTGCCAAAGCATTTTATTTATTTATTTATTTTTTTTTTACAGTTAAACTACACATAACATTGTAATGAAACTAAGTAAAAGATAATGTAAATTGAAGTCCATGTGATTTTAATTTTCCCCAAATTAGATCTTTCAAACAGACTGTCTGCATACCTGTTATTTGCAAGTGATCAGATCGCATGTGTGTCCAGATATCACCAGCCTATCTGCACTCTGCAAGTAGCAAGATCTCTGCTCAGCCACTTTGATGCACTTCCATCACTCTGAATTTGATGGCATAATTTGTGTGAGTGTGTTGTGTTGAGTTGCAGGTCACGCAAAAGACACTTCGAAGCGTCCGAAATGAGACACATCCATAGAAATCTGATTGGAATAGCATTTCATTGTACCTCCAAATGTGGCTTGAATCCGATTTGGCTAAAAAAATCAGTCTTTTTTAATTTCGACTTTCTAAAATCAATCTGGATATGCACAAAACAGATTTGCGCTGGGAGTCTGAAGAAGGCTTTAATCGACACATCTAAATCTGGGCATACATAAAATATTATATTAACTCCGGTCCGACACAAAATAAGTGCTTTTGCCTAAATACCAAGTGCTACCTCTGGTTTAAAAAGGGTAACATCATTCTTTTGGTGAAACCTGATGGTGGCAACACACTGATGGGATGCTTCTTCTCAGCATGGACTGGGAAACTGTCAGGGCTGAGGCAACAAGCCCTGGTAGTTTCAGTGTCAGGAGACCAGAATCCAGGACAGTGGCCTATTTTTAAGACCGTATGTTGCAGCTTCTAATAATACGTGAATGCCTGGAAAAACCTTCGACCACTCTGTAGCGTAGTTATTTAGCATAGACATTTAAACCCTGACAATGTTTAGACTTGTGTTTAGCCCACATATGCAAAACTGTTTATGAACAGTGTTGGATGTTGAGTGAGTTTTGGATAGTGCTTATAAAATCCAAACAGAACAATGTGTACAATGTACAAACAAAAAGACAAATGTGCTTTCAAGTGAAATGCTCATACTCAGAACCTTGTCACTTAAACATACCATTTTTCCACTGAACTTGCTGACTGTCCATCAAGCGTTGTCTGTCGCAGCAAAACCACATTTTCACTGTTAAACCTAATGGCTTTGTTTTCCCTTGTCAGGTCAGTGCTGTATTTTACACTAAGACTTCAAATATTGATCAAGACCTACTGCAGCTGGTACCTTGCACTGCGGTCCAATTGCATTCCAGGCTACTGGAAGCTGTCATCTTCACCCTGCAGCGCAGTCAACATTGAACTGTTCACCACAAACATCCCATTAAATGCACTGGAGTTTAGCGTGTCAACGTTCCTCATCCAGTGAAAACATGAATGGAATAATATGAAAACAGAGATGGTTAATGGACTTAGTGTGGGGTCAGGTATTTATTTTAATCCTCATCTGTGTACTGTGGGTTCACAAATGGAAAAAATCTGTCCTCCATGTCATGCTGTAATTGCTCTTAAGAGAAGTAAAAGTATGTGATATTTATCCTGTGTTGTGGCTGTGTATAATTTCACATTCTTAAAATGATTTAAAATGCAGTCTTCCTGCTGTCAATATCGAGTCAAATTGAAGTGCATTTGTCTCCTGAATGCAGCCCCGTCACTGGAGTTGGGCTAGAGCTTGCTTGGACTCAACACTGGAGCAGCTCAATTAAGGACGTAGTAATTAAAAATCCTGAATTGTGCTCCTGATGTGTTGGTATATTCCTAAATACCACAACGGATCATAATCCACAATGTACGCTGTTTGGCTTCTGTGTTGACAGACCTTAGCGATGAAAACAAGCATCAGAACACAGTCTGCAGACTGAAAGCAGCCAAACCATTTGGGAGAGATGATTGTTGCTATCCTGAATTTAGATTTTAGATGGAGGAGCTACATTTTTGGATTGTGTATCTGTATAAAATTTGTGTGTACAAGTCATATTTTTCAAGTGCAACTAAAGATCGCCATTGAGTTACAGAATTACCACAAACCTCATACCTAATGCAGATGTATAAGGACATCTTAAGATAAATGTAGTAATGGTATAAATGTGAAGGACTCAGTTACCAGTATTAGTCCTGCAATAAAATTATATAAAAAAAAGTACATGGGTATAAGCAATGTAAAAGTCATGCAGAATTTGTTACTTGTTAACCTGTATGCAGCAGTTTGATGTTGCAGTTAGTACAGGTGGTGATTTAATACTTTAATAAGTTCATCATTCAGTATGTTTATCATGCAACTGAATCTGCAAAGTAACTGCAACATTGTGGGTTTAACAATTTTTTTCTCTAAAGTGTAGTAAGAGTACAAATCTGCACAAAGCAAATACTCAAGTAAAGCTACAACTAAGTACCTATAATTGTACTTGAGTCAATATATTTAGTTTTAGTATAGTAACAATCTGCCTCTGATAGTGTGCATTGTACAGACCACGTGAGACCCGGAGTGTCATTCGGACTACTTTACAGGAGTGTGGCGGAGGTCTTCAGCTCATTGTGTTACAAGGCTGGCGGAGTGATCTACAGTTGTCCTGACGGGAGACAGACAGCGGAGATCGATAACAAACAACACTCGGAGAAGTATTATGACTGCTATAATAGGCAGCTAGCTGGCTTATCATCTTTTTTTATAAGCCGGAATCAAAAGGCACGCAATCAAGACAACGGCGACCATGGAAAGAAAAGGGTGGGACTTTTAAATGTGTAACGTTAGTCGAAGGAGTTAAAATGAAAGTTTCTCTGCAGGAAATGCATGCACACACGCGTTGTTGAGAACAACACTTAGCAAAGGAACATGTCCGGGTTATTTACACTTTAGTTACTTAACTAAACGCAGGCGTTAGATTGTTTTCAGTTTATTACGTTAGGAAACTTCCAAATTTGAACAGCAGTAATTGATACGCAGGTTGCTGCCACATTGACGTTCCCGGCGCTGCTAGCTTGATTAGCTAGCTAAGTTTCATTGTTTACACACGCAAGACTTACGGTGCGTTGGGCCCCGGCACAGTTACGCCAGTTGATACGTTATCAACATTTCAGATGCAGCACAGTGGTCTTGTTGAAACGAGTAGATGCAGAATATGTTTTACCACCACTAACTTATCTGCTTGCAAGTCTCCTAAATGAGTAGCTAACTTACTTCACTCTCAGCACATTGATACGCTTGAAAAGGCAGCCGGTCTGTTTTATTACCATTAAGTTAACAAATCTACCTCACGCAACATCCACACAGGTGTTCTCATTTACTTTGGCTGCGCCTCTTTTTAAGATTTTGTGGGCGTGTAGAGATGTGCTTGATTGACATCTCCTGACTCGTTGTTAGGGCGGGACAACCTGGCCTGCACCTTTTGATCATTGCATGCACTCAGGTGACCTCAGAAAACAACAAGTTCACAATCAACCTGTGAAGAGGTCCAATCATTCAGAATAACTGAGAAGCCATGTGTGGGTGTCCAAAGCCATAATGCCAAAGTTACTGTAAAGGTCAGTCTTTTTGTGATGCGTTTTCTGTGTTTCTTTGTAGTATACCTGTTAAGCGCATTCTCCACAAGCCCCAGATAGTCCGCAGTCTGGGCAGCAACCTTCACGCGGATGTGAACGCCAACCACTCCCGGACTGCACGGTCGCTCCTGACCAAAGTGCAGCACAGCAGGCACAAGCATCTGTATGACATCAACCATCAAATCAGGGTGAGACAGTGTTTTGTTTTGGTATTGCTGAGGCATAAATAACTGTGCAGCGCTGCATGAAGGAAAATATGACTCAATCAGAATGTGAATGCTCCTCTTTCAGGGATTTCTGGACAGTATTAAATTAGTTTATACAATGGCCATAAACATTCGGCAGTAATTACCAGCCATAACTATATGAATAGGTTTATGTCAGCTTCGTGCATCCTGACACTGCAGTTTTTCTTCTTTGCAAACTTGCACAAGCTCTAACAGGTTACATGGGGGCCTTCCACAGATTCTGGATTCATTAAATTCTGAACTGACTTAGGCACTTCAGGAAGCAGCCACAGTGTTGTTTGAATCCAAAACATAGCATTTGGTATAATTAGTACTGCCAGAAAGCTCAATTCAGGTCTTATTAAACCAGGGCTGGCGAACCTTTTTCCAATCAAAGGCCATTTCAGTTTTTAAAACAATCCTTTGAGGGCCATGCTGAATTATTAAACATATACTGTATATCACACTAACCTCTATTGCAACGGCGCAAACTGTGCTGTGATGATGATGCCACAGCAGTAGGCTGTCCCAAACAGAGATGCATGCATCAGTGCATGTCTCCTCAGATAAAAAATAGAAATAGAAAATCCTTGTGATGCATATTTTATAGAACCCGAGCTGGGGATGTACCTTGTTTTGCAGCTCAATCATTTCATGTTGCAGGTTGTCCAGCACATCAGCTGGTTCGACTTAAAAATGCATAGCAAATATGTTCAGTTCCTTTTGTTTACTTTTCGTGTCCTGAAACCTCTCACCTAATGCCTGAAGGTGTTTTTGCTAACTCACCAGCATATTCAGATGTCATAGCAGGCGGTTGTTCTTGCAGAGTAGGAAAATGCACAGTGTTACTTTTATAGTTGCACTTGCCACAGCTTTAATTTTCCTTCAAATGATTTCACAATTGAAAGCAGAGAGCCAAGAAGCTAGTTGGGACCTTGGAGCTTTACGTTCAGTTCTGAGAGGTACCTGGTGATGTGCACCATGAAGGCCAAATCACTAGGGATGCACCGAATGTTCAGCTCCCAAAAATAATCGGCCAAAAATAGCACTTCTGGTGTTCGGCCTAATAAGTCAAGACACCGATTAAATTTTACCAAACAATTATGTTGATATGTTGGCAGTGTGGAAACAAAGTGTCTGAGAAAGACGCAAAAATCGCGGTTTGCAGACACTGTTCTGCTGAATTGTATCCTAGCACATCCACTCCATCTTTGGCTGACTTCTTAGAAAAGGCAACAAACAGTCTGACCCGCTTTGAGTGTTTCTGTCACTCGTTTCTGAGAAGACGATTAAGATAGCCACACCTACATTTGGAGTGCACATGTTATTTAAGCCTTTATGGTAACTGAAACGGACCAGTGCGAGCTGACAGGCAGGTTAGCGACTATCCTGTCATTTTCCTTCTTTACAAAGACATGTGTTGCAGTATTAGAGTCCTACCTGAAGAGAGGCAATCAAGTCTTCATGTTGTGCGATACGAGAACCAAGTATAAATTAATTGTCCTTATGTCCTTTATATGTAGCTTTGGCAATATTGTTGCTATACATTCATGCCAATAAAGCTAATTTGAATTTGAACCACATACAACATTATTTATCAAATTGGGTCCAACTTGATGAATTTAGTGCGAGGATACACATGTGACAAAATAAGGTGTCTATACAGGATGGAAATGAGATAAATTGGATTATATTCACAGAAAATCTAAAACATATTACGTGTGTCCATTGAAAGTAAATGGACACATAATTTATTTTACCGGACCCTCTTGGGCCACGGACCCACCCACCATAGTCTCTCCAAATCGTGTGGGAAACACTGAATAAAAAGCATATATGGACTATTTAATTTATGAAATGGTAAAACAAAAAAAGGCAACATAAATGGAAAAAATGTGAATGTACTTGTTTGGTATTCTGCTAATTTTTTCATTATTTCCGGCTTCGGCCAAGAATTTTCATTTCTGTGCATCCCTACTGATCACACAGCCTCTTGCTTTCACAGAGTTCCACGACAGGTCTTCCTTTTTGTAAAGCCATGTGAGCATACTAGCACCACTCAGCCATCGCACTTCTCGGTAAACCAGATCTCCATACTCCAACTCAGTAGCTCCTTGAACTGTTGGCTGTTTACTTCTCCGCTTTTGATGAAATTCATGGTGGAAACAGCAGTTGTCCTTACCTTGTTGAACGTCAGGGAATGTGCACACAGTTTCTTGATGTGTGATAAAACTAAATCACTTCAAGACTGATTTCCTTTTTGCAGTCAATCCCTTTTGTGGGCCAGTCATGCCTGGGGCTCCATCTGTGGCAAGGCCACTTAACTTTACCGGTGGAAGTTCAACTTTGTTCATAGCCAAAATAACTTGCTCAAACAAATCATCACCTTTGATAGTGCCATGCATTGTATCAAACCTGCAGTAATCCCACACACAAAAATGTCTTTCAGTGTTTTTTCATTATCTTCAACTGTTATTCGACACAAACTTAAACATTGGAGCAATTTTACTTTACTTTGTCCAGTGCTAGTAGCTCGACAAGGCACTCCTTCAGAAATACTCCTTCTGAATGAGGTTTCAGCTTCTTAGCTAATAGCTCACTCACCACAAAACCCAAACTCTGCAGAAGAAGCTTAACTTTATCCAAGCACACTTGTCCTTGCAACTCAACCAGTTTAGCACGTTTCCAGCTGTAATGACACTCAAGATTGGCCTTCGTCAACACTGTGAACGTGTCCCCAGTAGGCACACTGGCTTGCCTTTTACTTGAACAACAAAATTATCTTTTATCATCTGGAAAGCGCAGCCCACTTTTCCTTTTTTGACAGTAAGCTGATGCATGTCAGCAGTGACAGGTAACATGCCTATTGTGTTCACCCTGGCCATGACCAGCACATGGGAGAAGTTTGCCCTTAGGCCTTTTTGCCAGAAGGATGTGTTGGTCAACTATTTTATGTTATTTGCTTTCATCACAGAAATACAATAATTTAAGGCCAACGTCCAACGTCTAATTTAAGGCCAACGTCCCCTACCCGTGCATTACAACATACAACCTTCTTCCTCTCTGTTTGTTCCTGCCTTCTGGCTAACACTAACTCTCTATATCTGTAATGTCACTTTTTTAACAGTGGCTTTCTTTGCCCTAAAGCTGCAATGGATATTAGTGTTTTTGGACAAAACTTGTTTCTTAAATCTTAGAAATGAAACCCTGTTGCTATTCAAGACTTGTCATAGGTCGTTTTGTTGCCTCTCTTGCTGGTGAACCTCTGTAGACATTGTTTTATGATTTGATATAATTTTATGATATTCAGTGCCTTGTAGCCTGTTGATGTTTAGCTTAAGGAGACATTTGTCCCTCCAAACTATTCTTGAATCATAATAATCATTCCGGTTGATTGTCATGTTTTACATTGTCTTTTCACACTCCGTTGATTTAAATAGGGATGCAACAGTACTGACAACTAGGACTATATGAATGATGCATTTTAAGATAATCCCAAAAAAGTGCAGTGCCAGTTATGCAAAGTGAAACTGATCAGAGTACTGTGAATTTGGCAAATCACTTGAAAAGAATAATTTCTCTGAATGTTTTGCTGCTCGGCTAATGTTGGATAACTTCATTCAAAAACCTAAATAGAAGCTTTTGAATGTAAAATGAACATTGACATTCGGTACAGCCCTCCTTATATAAGTGTTTAGACCTGTACAGTAATCTCTCACACATGTCCAATCTTAAGGTTCTATTTTTATTATGATAGAAAATTGGATTAAGCAGGTCATTCATGTTGGTGTCTCCCTTAAAGGCCAAGCCTGACTTAAACACAACACTACCAGTTCGACAGACGGCATCCATCTTCAAACAACCAGTGACCAAGGTAACAAATCATCCCAACAACAAGGTGAAGGCAGACCCGCAGAAGGCTGTAGACCAACCCAAACAAGTAAGTCAGAGGGCAGGAAACATGCACATTTCAGTTCTTTTAAACTACTTTTTAGAGTTTTCAGGAAACGATAACATCACTATAGAAAGGAAAGTAAGTCATAGGAAATTTCTGCTCCTGCAAGTAGTTTTTTGTACCGCTGACCAACATAAAGCCTGCTGTCTTAGTGTTTTGTCTCTGTCTCTCTTTGCTGTTATGTAAGGAGAGTTGAAAGGTTAATTCAACCTTGTTCAATATCCTTAGAAAAATTCCACATATTCAGTTTACGAAATCTGTGTGTGTGCTTTAATTTTCAGCTGTTCTGGGAGAGGAAATTGAGCGGGTTAAATGCATTTGATATCGCAGAGGAGCTGGTGAAAACTATGGATCTTCCCAAAGGCTTACAGGGTGAGGCTAACTAATACGACAGTCTTGTATGATTCAAATCTGGAAAATTTGTGTAGAAGCGTGACTCTCTGCCTCCCTGTTGCCCTCTGCTTAGGTGTTGGGCCTGTGTCTTCAGATAAAACACTGCTCTCTGCTATCGCCAGTGCCCTGCACACCAGCCCTGCTCCTGTCACCGGACAGCTCACCGCTGCAGTGGAGAAAAACCCTGGAGTGTGGCTGAACACAGCACAGCCTCTCTGCAAAGCCTTTGTAGTGACTGATGAGGACATCAGGTGAGATGTTCACACATGCAACACAGCTGTTTCCTCACTGTATTATCGATATCATCAATACACTGGAAATAAACAAAAGGTGGGATCCATTGCTGGTGACCTTCTTTTAAGCAGATGTTTTTGTCAGTTAGAGGGCTCTTTTATATTTTTTATTTTAAGGTGTCAAATGTGAATAAACTGTAAAAGTGCAGTTCATTGCGGCACATGCACCCAGTAACATGGTAGTGTGATGTGTAAGGCCTATCATTACTGAACTATTGAAAAGTGTAGACGTGGATCAACCTCACTTGCATGGAGGTGGATTGGCTTTGAAAAGATGGCTGTTGCTCAAAACACATCAAACTGTATCAAAGATCGGTTGCCGTTAAAGACCACTAACTAACCACCATGCAGAATATCAAGCATGAAAAGCTTCTGGAGTCAGTTGTCCACGACAGGCCTAAATCGGCCTAGATACCAGCACAAAAAACAAACTGCAGTTCAAACACTGCTACAATGATGACAGAATCAAAGACATTACAACAGGTAAGACAGAACTCAGGGCTAATACCACGATAGATGAAATTATTTACTCATACTTACACTGTTTGATGTCAGTAATACTTGCGCTGGTGATTTCAGTGTTTTAATATTGTTTATACTTGAATGCTTTAAGTAAGCTTTAAATAAATAAGACCTGTTTCCATTAGGGCTGCATGATTAATCTAATCACAATCACGATGTCGTCATGTGCGACTACATAACCGCAAAACAGGTACGATTTGATAAAACAGAAAAAGTGTGTGCTGCAGTCTGCTCATTATCCCCGCCCACACCAGGCTCTCGCATGTGCCTCTAAAAACAGATAGGCCTATGTGCAATAAGAAAAATTATTCAGGAGCAATGTGCCAGTAACTTTTAAGACAACAACCTACCATAACCCACCTTCCCGCTCCTCCGCACCGCGCCGCTAATTGGTCAAAACATATCCAGACGCGCCACCGGATCACCAAGAGAAGTGCCGGTGGGAGAACCGGGAGAAGATAAGGAAGGTTTGGGTTTGGCTCGCTGGCCATTTTAACGTTAGCTATATTGATGCCTTTTGTTGTTCTACATGTTCAACTTCTCACAGAGCCAACGTGCTTGTCGCTGTCACTTTTCGTTAACCGACCAATCACAGCCTGGATGGGGCGGGATGTTATAAAAGGTTTGACGTAGGCCTGCTTCAGCAAACTTGCAAATGTTAAACAATATGATTATTGACAAGTTAGTTCTTAGCATTAACAAATTAGAGACCAATGTAGAGCCTTTTTTCTTGCACAAAGAAAAAGAAAGAAAAAAGATTAAATAAAAACAACCCACAGCTGTAACTGGATATAATAATCAACTAGTGGCAAAATAGTATACTATTATATGAAATTATAATGAATGTAGTAATTAATATATTATTAGTATAGGCTACTGGCAGTATACTTTTAATTTAACATTATACTCTTTATTTAATGTTATAATATTATACTAATACACTCATGTATAGCCTACTAGTTCCTCCTCTAGGATGTGGACAGAGTCTCTGCAGTGGACAGTTGTAGATTTAGCCAGAGCCAGGAAGCCAGTGTGCCAGTATTTGCTCCTTCTAGCCGCCTCCTCTATAGAGCAGCACCATCCCCTTGTTCTGTTTTACATCTGTTTTACTCGTTATTTTTATAAATATTTATCGTTTATCCTTTGTTCAAATTGAGAAATATACATTTCAAAATGTCAGTATCTTGTGCATTTTCCATTATAATCGAGCAAGTAGACTCATAGTACCATTTATTTCATTATAATCAAATCGCAGTCGCAAATAGCAATATTGTCCAAAATAATCATTGACTTTTTCTATAAATTGTGCAGCCCTAGTTTCCATTAATGTCATTTGTAAGCAACAGTTAATATACTTTTAACAAGAGCGAGCTAGTACAATATTAGATTTTTACGTACACATTTTTGAAGGATGCCAGATATCGTCTAATTGGTTATCAAGAAAACCCCAGAAAATATAATTTTTTTTTGTCAATATTGCACACCTCTGTTGCAAAGTGTTTGGTTTTTTTTAGTATCGTGAAGAAAGAAGTTCCTGTTTTCTCTTATCTCAAGGCTTTTCCCCTTTTGTTACCGGTCTACCGTTATGCTGTAATGCTTTCAGAACCATTAATAGTCTCTCCTAAACTCCTAAAGATGTTTAACCTAAACGTCTGCTATATGAAATACTGTAAATGACACAGAAAGTACACACAATACTTGCTCAGTAGTTAGCTGTCGAGACTTACTTACTGTGGGGGGGGGGTTGACTTCACCAATGGTGAAGTGTTGTGACGTGTTTCAGACACTGCATCTGAATGTTGGTGTGATTTATCTATCCGCTGCTGTGGAATTCACTGTTGCGACAGAGCGATCAGGAGTCAGCTAAACTGATGTGCTCACAACATCTTACGCTGAATAATGTTATAGTTAACTAACCCTCCGTGATGTAAATAGTCTGACTAAATAAGTGGCTGTGGCAGATTCAGACCCGTCGCACACTGTACTGAAGCTGTCCTGTGTTGCTGCAAACAACTGTAGCCCAGTGGGTGATGAGCACAGAGACGATGTCAAGATTAAAGGAACACTCGTGCTAAAACTGCCCAGGCTTAAATTGCACTGCACAGTGCTTTGCTTGGCCATCCGATGACAGTGACTGAACATATTAACTTGCTATGCACGTTCCACTATGTTAGATGGTGTTGTAAGTAAACCCTTTTCATCATCATCCGGTCTTTCCCATGATAGGTTTGTTTTCGTTAGTGCTACATTATGTCATATTTCAAGTTCACAGTACCCTGTTTGTTCCTTGTCTGTGTGCTTCAGGAAGCAGGAGGACCTGGTGCAGAATGTGAGGAGGCGTCTCGAAGAAGCCCTCACGGCTGATATGTTGGCTCACATGGAGGACACCGCTGCAGATGCAGCAGCCAACAAAGTAGAAGAGAAGGTTGAACAGGTGGACAGGGAGGAATTATAGCCAAGGTATACAAAACCACAGGACTGGGTCAAGTGTGGCTGAAGCCTTTTCTAGTGGTTCACCTGTTGCCTCTGTTTGGTTACTTTAAACGGTTATGAACTGCAGTACACCCTCTAACATATAATGTCTCTTTCTCATCTCTCCCACAGGCTTGTTTGACATGAAGTTTGCTGGTGAACTCCTTTCATTTTCAAATAATTGACTCCATGAAGTTTTTTAATACACTTGTAATAGACCCTAAATGCAAACATTCTGCGGATGTTGTTAACCTAAACAAAATTATATTTCTTTTTTTTACATGTGATGGTGTAATCCTGAAAGGGTGCTTTGAGTTTCAGTTCATGTTTACCTCTATAAAAGTATGGCAGTTGTGGATGGTGCTCTATACAATGCAGTGTTACATTTAGTTAACAGCTGTTCAAGCTCAAAGTTAAAAACACAAACCTGATATGAGAGAGTGAAAAGTGTGTGTGTGTGTGTGTGTTGGGATGTATTAGTTCATGTTGACAGTTTAACTGAACATGTCGATATGTTGCTCTTCTATATTGTAGTGTTTATGTTTGGAAGCATAGAAAGTTTGCCCTATGTTTATGTGCACACAGCATCCTTGTGGCTGTGACCATTTTAGCTAATCGATTCAAGGTTTTCCAGTTCAACTTAGTGTTGTATTTCTCACAGTAACCTGAGTTTACATGGTTCTGAAGTTTCAGTCATGGTATTTTTATTGACAAAAGAATAATCAGTATTGTTTTGCCAATTACATTTGAGTTTAGACAGTCACAGAAAAAGTGCGTACCCTCAAAGTATAAAACCAAACAACGCTGATGTACCTCAAAACAAGATGTACTGTACCTCATTACAAGATTCATTATTTGTCTCTGTACCACTGTGTCAATGTCAAATAAATGCAGCTCTTTTATGACTGGCGTAGAGGGTCATTTATTTAGTCATTTTCATCCTTGAATTTAGGAGGTTGTGGTAGGTGGCGTTGTATTTTTGTGTTTATGGTTGAGGTCCTTTGTTTTTTCTTTCTTTAAAGCATGGCGTCACATTTTTCAAGTCTCTTAAAACAGTACTCATGTGCCCAAATAATAAGCATGTTATTGGTAACTAATGACTAATGGTTCCCCCTTTCCAAAAGCTTCAGCAGCCTGCCTTGGTCAAAGAAAGTGTGTATATTTTCAATTTAAATCATTTTAGTGCTAAATAATGTCTTTGTGTCGCTATCCCGTCACCCCAGCTCAGCAAGAAACACAAAGGGAATTGGGTGCTAAACAAACTATAATTTTAAGAGGGGATGTCTTCATGGCCAGTGTGGACAGAAGAACACTTTAAACGTCCATGTTTTTGTAACATCAAAAAACGTGAAGCTATCCTTTATTTACTTTACTTATGGTACAAGAAAAGGTGGTGACTTGAAGATTTTGAAGTATCTACACACTTTGAAACAAACCTAATCCTACATCCATGATTCTATTTATTACATTTACTCATTTGGCAGACGCTTTTATCCAAAGTGACATACATTTGAGGAACAACATACAAGCATCAATACAGTAAAAGATCTACAACTAACAATAGATATTAGTTGTAATAATAATCTTTGTTTAGTAAGAGCAACAATACATACTAGTAAGTGCTATTAGCACTTATTGCATTAATTATTAATTGTTTTATTACCTAGAAAGCATAAATAAATGCAGACACGCACATACTGCATAAGCATCATCCAATGGTGTTGGACCACTCCAAAACACCTCATTGGTAGCCATGATGAACACACCCAACCATGACCACATTTTTTAAAAACATGCAACAAAAAAATGCATTTAAAGAGAGGGGGATAAAATAGTGCCCCGCAGACTGACAGACACAATAGCAGTGACCCAGTGGCTTCGCGTTGATGCTCTCCCCCTTGCTGCATGTGGCCTTTGAACCCATTGTTGTGTCGCGGGTGACGTCAGTGCCGTGTGCGGGAGACGGAGCGGCGTGCGCCTGGCGAGACAAAGGCGGCGGACCGACCGGGGTCAGGCAGCAGCAGCAGAGAGCCGAGAATCACCACTGTGTTTTTTTAACTAAAAGGTAACAGCTAACCTTGAATTTCGGCTGTGGGTCTCCCTGACGATACGCAGCATGAAGACCCAGTGACACTCCCAGGAAAATGCTCTGACTCTCGAGATAGAGGAAAAACAACAACATTGCCCTCTTTTCGTTTTTAAACGTTTTTCTCCTACGCCCCCCCCTCCCTCTCTCTCTCTCTCTCTCTGTCTCTCTCTCTCCTCGTTTAGCCTGCTGGTTAGCTAACCCGCTAGCTCACAGCACTGGTCTCCTCCTCCTCCTGGCTGCTTCTCATCTTTCCCTCAAGAGCTGGGCGACACGCGAAGAGAGGACCTCGTCGACAAAGGCAAGATACAGTAAGTCCACATGCTTTTCACACTTGTTTAATTTTAAAAAATCACCGCGGCTGCCTTTGAGAATGAGCACAAGTTCGACTGTCAGAACTGAGCTAACCAGCTAGCTGTGGTGCTCCCAAACAAAGGGGTCGACAACGTGACTGAGTGCCGACTATGTGGGACTAGCCTGTTAGCTTGGCTGTTGGAGCTAACAACAGCATATATCCTTCATTTATTTGTATTTTTTTTTATATATCGATCAGAGCACACGAGTGCCCGGGCTTGGTGCCACGCAGGTTTTTCATGTGTGCGGAGGAAAAGACTTAGTTCGTTGGTGTTAAAGCGGACATGCTTTATCCTGACAAAACAACCAGCCTCCAGGATGGTTTCAGTTGTCAGACAAGAAGCAACAACAGACAAAGCAAGGCGCCCAAATCAGCACTACTAATGCATGCTGCTGTTTGTGGATGATCGGTGGCTCCACTCTGCTTATCCACAGCCCTGTTTTGTGTGTTTTTAATAACAAACAAACACTTGAATTTTGTTTTATTCCTTTTTTTTTATTATTTCAGAAGAGGGTGCGCTCACTCCCAACAAAACAGGCATCCGTGATCTGATGTGAGATCCACGGAGAGACTATGCCTAGCCCTTTATTCCACCCCGAGATTATGGACCACGACGTGGTGATCAGCAGCCAGCACAACGGGGTTGGTCTGCCCCGAGAGACAGACCAGGAGTCCCGGGAAGAGGACCACCAAGAGGCGCTCCGTTTCGCCCTGGACCAGCTGTCACTCATGGCCCTGGAGAAGGTGGACTGTGGGGGCGGTGGTGGTGTAGGCGGCGGGCTGGTCGACACTCTGGATGGGACCCAGGGTCCGGGCTCTGACGGCTGTAACGGCGTGGGCGGAGGGGGCTACGTGGATCTACAGATGCTGGAGCATCCCAGCGGGTCCCGGGACTCGCCGACGTCCTGTTCTCCATCCCCGGAGTACTACGGCTCAGGCGGGTACCACATGGCCGGCTCGCACCCGATGCTCCACGGGGAACAAAGCTCCGTCCTCTGCAGCAGGAAAAGAAGTGTCAACATGACTGAATGTGTGCCTGTCCCCAGCTCTGAACATGTGGCCGAAATCGTGGGGAGACAAGGTAAGAATTTATTTGGTGTTTATGTTTGTGGACCGCTCGTTCGGGCAGCATGCAAGCCTGGCTGTTCTTTGTTTGGGTGGCAGCCCGGTGAGAGGAGGGTCTCTGAACTTTTACAGCCTGAGCTTGGTGCTCTGGGCGGACTGCACTCACCATTTCAGTCTTTAACCAGCATAATGCGGATACTCTAGTAAAAAAGCCATACTCGCTGTATTTACATGTCCTTTCTTAACTGTAATTTAGACAATGCTTTGACATAGTGACTGAGAGGAGTGTGGTTTGATGAGTAGGATGGAGGGGGAGGGGTGGGAGAGGGTCAGACAAAGCGGCAGATTGTCGGGAGTCTGGACATGTCTAGCAGCCTGCACCAAACAAAGGAAATATACCGACACACGCTCATTTTATATATCACAGATCCAAAGTGGCCGCTTTGAACGCCGATCTCTCATTCCTGACTCTTGTATGTGGTTATCACAGATTATTATTGTCTTTGCTGAGCAGATTTTAGGCTGAAACGGGGCAGCAGGCGCACAAACACGGGACTGGGCGGTGTTACGCCCTGCACCCAGTTCTGTCTGCCGATGCTGCTGCTGCTGCTCGCCTGTGAGCCGCGGCATTTTATACATTTAATTTTTCTTTGTTGTTGTTTTTTTTTATCGACACTTGTCTCAGACTTTAAACAGAGCCGTGTTGCTGGTTCGGTTCGCCGTCTCTGTCGCGGTAGGGTTACGGCATTGTTCTCTTTGTTTGAAAAAGCCATGCTTTCTGCTTCCCAGAATGACATCACACTCCGCGCGCCCTATTGGTTGCCGGGAACGAAGCGTCCATATTTAAAGTAACAGTGCGCACGGCTGCTGCTGGAGCAGCATGAGTTGACAACAGGCGGTGCAGCAGCTAGTGACTTAATGTTTGGGCATACGCAGACTCTTCGTGAACATCCTGCAAGCGTTTTGCTTCAGCTGATATTGTTATGATGTGAAAACGCGCATGTCAAAGGGGTCAGTTGCCATTTTAAATAACGACAGTTATTTGTCAATAGTCAATTAAAAATGTATTGGAACTTTTTTCAGTTCACTGTGTATGTAACATAACAGCCTGTTCATTACAGTATTAATGTCATCTGATCAATCCCTACACTGTCTTTGTGAAGGTTATACTTCTTTGTTGACACCGTTTTCAGAGAGGTGTTGATTCAGATTTATGATAAATTTAGAGGCTTCACTTTTTGGAGGTGTTTCTAATATTTTATCCACCACTATTAATTAAGAGCGACTAAATGCTAGAAACAACTACTTCCAAAACCACCTTTAAAGCCAGACACACACACACTCAATTCTAAGAAAAACTGAACATTCATGAAAGTAGGGATTATTGTAGGGCTGTTGTATTAGATTTCATTTGTTTTAACTAGGTAAACTTTATATTGGAACCAGTCTCATTAGACTATATAATATAATCACACTTACATGTATGGCTTTGTTATAAATAAATGTGTGTATATGTGCGTGGGCGTGTGTTTGAGTGTATATAAAGAGTATTTTGGCATTTGCTATAAAACTGATGTTTATGTGCTTCTGCACCTTACAGGCTGTAAGATCAAGGCCTTGCGTGCCAAAACAAATACCTACATAAAGACTCCAGTCAGAGGTGAGGAGCCAGTGTTCATCGTGACAGGACGCAGGGAGGATGTGGAGATGGCCAAACGCGAAATTGTCTCTGCGGCTGAGCATTTCTCTATGATCCGGGCGTCCCGCTGCAAAGCCGGAGGGTCTGGAGGAGGAGGCAGCGGCGGCAGCTCTCTTCCTGGACCTCCACACTTGCCTGGACAGACCACCATACAGGTACCCCCTGGCTTTCTCATCATGCTGTGTATTTGTTTTACTCGGCCAGGTAACAAAGGAATAATTGGATGTATAACATCTGTTTAAACTACAACTCTGTTCTCTGTATCCTGCAGTTTGAAATCTGTTGTTTTCTTTCAGACATTAAAATATTTATCTTGTCACTGATCCAGGTGAGGGTGCCCTACAGAGTAGTTGGTTTAGTTGTTGGACCAAAGGGAGCAACTATCAAGCGCATCCAGCAGCAGACTCACACCTACATCGTGACACCCAGTCGAGAGAAAGACCCGGTGTTCGAGGTGACCGGCATGCCGGAGAACGTGGACAGAGCAAGAGAGGAGATCGAGACCCACATCACGCTGCGAACTGGGACCTTCGTAGACCTGCAGGGAGACAATGACTTCCACACCAACGGCACTGATGTCAGTCTAGAAGGCCTGGGCGCCCTGAGCGGAGGACTGGGGGCATCTCTGTGGTCCAGGGCTACTGGTCACCATTCTGCCCCCCCACCTCCTCCGCCCTCCCCACCTCCCCCTCTTCCCATGTCCATGCACCACTCCTCCAGCCGGAAGATGTCCTCCTCGGTCGCCTATCACACGCACAACGGTGGGATGAGCTCAGACAACTTCAGCGCCACTCGCAAGGCCAACGAGAGAGGCAGCCCTACCAGCCCTTTTAGCACAGGCTCCAGCAGTGCTGGTGGAGGATTCACTTTTGGGGGCGACTCCACCCCAGGGCTGGCTTCCTCAGATGAGCTGGGCTTTGAGTTCACCGCTTCCAACATCTGGGCACCTTTCGTCAACGGTGGAACAGGCAATAAGACGGCCAGCGCCTCCCAGCAGCAGCCTCTGCGTCGCAACAGCAGCGGTCTGAGCGGTGGCGCCATCACTCCACGATTGTCTCCAACTCTGCCTCAGGACACGGGCGTGGGCCCGCTGGATCACCCGCTGGCCCGTCGTGCCCAGAGCGATCCCCTCAGCACTCTCTCCTGGCTACAGTCTGGCAGCGCAGGAGGCGGCTCCTTCTCTGGGGCGTCAAGCTCCAGCTCTGGCGGCTCGTCGACCGGTTACTCCTCCTGCTCGGCGTCCTCTCTGCCAGGCGGCTCGCCCACTGACTCCGAGGGAGGCGGCAGTGCCGTGGGTCTCAGCTCTGGGATGCTGAGCCGGCTGAAAGGCGGCTCAGGCCCCGGGGTCACAGGCCTGGTCGGCATCAGCCCCGGGATCAACAGGGACTGCTTTGTGTGTTTCGAGAGCGAGGTGACAGCAGCCCTGGTGCCTTGTGGCCACAACCTGTTCTGCATGGAGTGTGCCGGGCAAATCTGCCAGTCAGCTGAGCCGGAGTGCCCCGTCTGTCACACCCCCACCACACAGTGCATCCGCATCTTCTCCTAATGCTCCGACAGGAAGGGTGGGGGGTAAATATGGGAGAGGAGACTGGAAGAAGACTGCAGTGGGGCACCAGCTGTGGCGGAGGAGATGGAAAGATTCACACTAATAACTTTCACACACACGATGGACCATAATAAATGCATTAATAGAGATGACGATACTATACGGATGTTGATTTATTGCTGATAACTGTCAAGATTAATAATAACAATAATAATAATAATGACTTATTTTCAGAGTGAAGTTAATTGAAACTGGTCTGCAGGCGGTTGGGGCTCAGACAGTCTCTCGGTGGTGAACTTACGGATGGAAACTAGTGTCTTATCTCTCTTCAGGCCTTCATTTTGACTCGGAGCAGCCTGCACCGCTGGCCGCTGGTCTGTCTCGACATTTCTTCATTCTGGCTTCTTCAGATCTCTGCCTGCTTTCTCTCACACAGCCTTTCCTTTAGACACTTTTGTACTTAACAGATATTTTTCGATGAAGCTGTCAATGAGGCCTGCACTTTTCTACTCCTTATTTCAATGTCCTTGACAGGACGCAAACTGTTCCAACAAATCCCTCGCTTTCTCTCTTTGCTCTCACTCATGCTGTTGTTTGTCGCGGGAAGCGGCAGAGTTGCTATTTTTCTGTAAGCTTGGAACTTTTAAAAAGGTCGGTGTGTAGTCAGGCACCCAGCAGAGCAACACACCCAAGGGACCTCTTACGGATGAATTCCTCTTTGTCGTTGCCACACGTAATTTAGCCATCAGTAATGCCAAATGAACGCTGTTAATCACCATCTCTTAATTCTTGATCAAATTTGGATGAGTCTGCCCCACATTTAAAATGTGGCCACTGCATTGATTCAGATAAATTAACCTTTAACAGGTGAGAAATGCTCCATTAGTGATCTGTAGGAATCTGTCTGAGGTCAGTGCTCTGAACGTTTGGGCTGCCTGACCATCCCTTTACATTTCTCTATCTGTGTGTGTGTGTGTGTGTGTGTGTGTGTGTGTGTGTGTGTGTGTGTGTGTGTGTGTAATGCCCACTCATGCTGTTGTTCACATCTGAGTCATTGTGTGCCCTCGCAGTGAGAAGGTCTGGTTTCTGCCACTCTCCTTCACTGTCAGGTCAGTCTTATGGGAAGGTGATGCTCTGATCCATCCACATTTTTCCTCTCACATCTTCCGTCTGTTACACTTAGATCGACTCATTTAGTGTTTTCTACTAGGTTTTTTTCCTTTGACTCTTGACTGTCAAGCGTGTGGCTCACAGACATATTTTCAACTCTAGGATAAGATAGGGCTTTTCTGATGTCACACATGAATGTTTTGTCCAGTAAGGTTAAGGAGAGGTGGCTCCTCCACCCACATGAACCAATAACAAAGGGGCTCAACTGAACCATTTGTTATTTTCTTTTTTCTTTTCATGCACTGTAACTCCCGGCCCCTCCTAAAAAGAAAAAAAGAAGAAAGAAACAGCTCTTACTGTTTTTGTTTTGGTCTTCCACCCCACTCTCACAGCAAAGCTGTATGGCACTCTCAGATGACACTCTGTCACGCCCATATAACGCTGTACTCCTGGATAAATGTGGTGCACTACATGGTTAGTTGTTTGAGATTTGTCCTTTGTTTCATAGCAGTTCCAAGTAACTCGACAAGGCGGTTGCATCCTGTTTTGTGTTTTTAAAAAGAATTCAGTGTGAGTTTGCAGTAACTGCCTCCTATAGTGTTAATACTGTACGTACGATTTGGGCGATGTCGGTGTGATGGTACACGGTTGCCATCAGTGGCCCTTTTATTTTATTTTTTTAAACATAGATGGAATCAGCTCATAGAATGAGAAAAGCCATGACCCAACAAATTAAAATGACACACCTAACTCTCAAAGGGCTTCCTCTGACTGCACAGACACATGATCACATTTTCAGGCTCACGCAGTAGGTAGAATCAACTTATCCTTTATGGCAGCTAGTAGCTAGGTCATCCAGGGCTTCCAGACACTCTCTGTGTTCAAATCCCAGCAGCTGCAGAATGTTTTGCTTGTTGTTTTTAATGAGTTGTTTTTTAAATTACAATTGTCCCCACACACACACAAACGCACATCACATTCGGATCCTGTTGGTAGAGTGTAGGGCGTTGCAGTCACAGTGTGTCCTTGTCCCTGGACACAGTCGCAGATCAGGACGGGTTGTAGGGTTTTAATACCATGGAAAAAAAGGGTAACTCTACTTGAGTATATAGTTGGTAAAAATGGGCAGGTCTGCTGCTGTGCTTTGGTGCTCCAGCCAGTACGATGTTAAACTTATTTGCTGTGTGACTGTTCGTTTGCTACTTTAGGTGACATGGGCAGTAGCTCCACAGAGGAATCTAACAAGGCGCTGTCCTGGTTGAGCACAGCAGTACACTAATTCATGTGTCCACACGTGTAGTAAAAAATCTGCCCAGGAGCTGAATTGGTAGTCTTTGTGAAGACTATCCCATGGTGCTTTGGTGCAACTCCCTACTGAAACACGGTGATGAACAAACCCAGTTGGTAGTGGGGTAGACCTCTTTGTTTTGTTTTTCTCAGACTAAAGTTCTCCAGTGCTCTGTAGACCTGACATCCCTGTTCTCGTTCTCGCTGGAACGTGCAGTCCATCCCCTCGCCGGGCTCTGATGTCAAGCGTCGCATTTCGTCTCTTACCCGCGCACACTCCGAACAGATGCAGGGCTGTGAATGTGTCTGAACGAACAGATCAGTCGTGACCGTTGTGAGAGTCTGTTGAGGCCAAACTTCAAACCGTCCCAAGTGGACGTGTTAACGGAATAAAATGTGGTGTTTGCCAGATTGGTCTCATGTAAATCCTGGTGTTGCACTGGGATGTTTCTGGCTATTGAGAGAATGTTAGGGTTTAATGTACAGTAGTTTAATTGTTTAAAAAGGTACAGAATTTTTCAGATTGACTGCTGATTTTTATTTTTTTTTAGCCAAACGTGTCCCCCTCCCCCATTTCCTTCCTTAAGGTTTGAAAACAGGGTTTCCTGAGGCATGCTAACCAGTGACCTCTGACCTTTTTTTTTTGTGATTAGAGGGGAGGGGGTGCGAAGAGAGCCTCGCCAGTAAGGGGTGACAGACACCCCTCAAGCCTCCGCTCTCCTATTTTTTTGCTTTAATTCTCTTTGTATGCAGAACCAAAATGTAAAAGGTCAGCAAACTAGGTTGCAGGCCTGACCTGTGTGTGTGTGTGTGTGTGTGTGTGTGTGTGTGTGTGTGTGTGTGTGTATATATACCCTGAATACAATCATTGGGATCTTGTTTTCAAAAAGCAAAATGACTTAATTGAAGATAAGTGTAGTTTCTAAAGAACATGTATCATTATTTGTAAGTTAACCATCTGCATGTCTTCAAGCCACCTGGCATTAGTTAATAATTTTTAAAATAAAAAAAAAAACTTTTTACACATTTTATTTTTTACAATTTATTTGCTTACCTAAATATCCCAGACAGTAATGTGACCCTTTTATTACGTCAAATTTATTTTTATTTTCCATTTTTTATTTTCCTTATTTCCTGTGTACTACATATAGGCAATTTATAACAATGAGAAAATTATTGAAGAAATTTTAAAATTGAAATATATTTTATTTGAAAGTTTATGGACCTTTTAACCGTGAGCCAGAAAAATTGTATGATCATATAATTTGAGCTGACTTGACGGTTATCAGAAATGTATCAAGAGTTTTATTTTTTATGCTTCTTTAATAAAGTCTTGTTTTTGGTTTCATTTTTTTACTGTAAAATAAGAACTTGTGTGTCTTGTCTTTATTTCTTGTTCTGTTTGGAGTAGAAATGTGCAGCAGACCGGACCATCTGCATCTTTTCCACATGGTGGCAGTATAGACACACCTGCAGCAGATCAAAGCATGAATAAAGGTGAGTGTCAAATCTGCAGTTTGGGCATGTTTCTGTAAATATGACACCAGACAGTTAATTATTGAGGAAATTCAAAGAACAGTGGGGAGGGCCTGGATCCAACATTTACAGAATTAGGTATTTGTGTGGTATTAGAATAAATGCATTATGTTGTCAGAAGTAATGCGATGATTACTCATAAGAACGTAAATTCAGGTGTTTAAAATCCCTTATCAAGCAAAAGTGCCTTTTTTTTCTAGCAACTTTAAGCTTCTGAGGATTTGCTCTGTTTTATATCATAATTAAATGCCTTTTAGGTTATAGACTGCTGGTTTAACAAAACAAGCAAATTAAGGATGTCAATTTGGAGATTTTTCACTATTTTGCAAATTGATTCAAGTAATTTTACATGCAAAAATGCTAAATGTTTGAAGGTTCCAGCCTCTCAAATGTTAGGCTGCTACTTTTTCTTGCCTTACATTAAGGTAAACTGCATATTTTGTGGCACTGTTGGTTGTTTTAAAAATATATATATATTTGAAGAAGGGGTTCTGGAGAATGTGCCAGAAAATGTTCACTATTTTCCAACATTTTATAGTCCAAATATTTTATCGAGTAATACAGAAAATATTCATTAGTTACATCCCCAAATCAAAAGTAGGATCACCAGCAGCAGGCTCGGTTTCTTTACTTTAATCTCATGCAGGTACAAATGTTAAAACGTGTGAAAACAAGAGCTGCCCCTTTAACACGTCTGTCTGTGTGCACTTAAGAGGAAAAATGTTCCTACTGCCTTTTTATTTAACTGAAACGGGGCTTTCTTTCCTCTGCTCCGGACTGTTGAGAAGGAGCCAAAACATCTGGTTCAACTTGTGTAAAGTGGTGGTGTATTACTACTCCCCTCCCCCCTCCTCCTCAGAGAGGTCAGAGGTCACATGGAGAACAGACTGAGCGCTCACTGAAGCGGAAGCTGGTTGTTCCAGCTGAAGGTTTGGGTCAATACAACACCCTGCTGTCTCCATCTGAGAGGGAACAGCATCTGCTGAAAGACTGTTTTTTTTTTTTTTTTGCGAAGGGTTTAAAATCCACAATTTTTCATAACTTATTGCTTTGAAGACTCCTTTTAGGTGTGTAACACGCATGGAGTTTGAGGTTTAATAACTGGATACAAATCAAACTACAGCAGTGTGATTCTCAGGCACTACAGGAGGAATAATACAGCAGACGTTTAGATTGTGACACAAATGTCCTTTTAATAGGAAGCAGGTCACAATCAGGCTGCATTCCAGTTCCACTTCATCCTCATTAAAGAACGATCAGTGATGATAAGAAACAAATTAGAAACGTCCTTAGTAGAAAATAATTCTCTCATGCGAGTTTTGTGTTCACACTACATTCATATTGGTTACAGATGACGTATTCACAAGCCTTTTAAAAAAACAAAACATTGATGACACAACTTTGGAAATTAAAAACAAGGGGGGAAAAAAAAGTCAACATCAAAGAGACACGTGCTGGCACGATAAAGTTTTCCCATCATGCATTGTAAGTTGAGTCTATTCACAGGGTGGGCGTCATTGGTCTCCACGGGGTTTTGTCGGCGTGCATGCATGCATGTGTGTCATCTTACACATGCCCTTTTTGTGCTTGAGCAGAGATTGGTGTGTGTGTGTGCAGGTGTGCATCTCATCAGTGTGTTTGTGTGCGTACATACATACATGAAGCAGGCAACCAACGAGCCCCAAACTAGATGATGGATTATGGTATTCTTGTTTTGCCTTTTCATCTTCGACCTGACACGTCAAGTTTTGTCCTGAGCCCTGGGATTACTTAGACGACACATACATACAACGTAACTGCACCGTGAGTTAAACGGGGTGGTAAAAGATCCTTTCAAAAGGCTAGTTTGCCCAAAGATCGCCTAAATTAAAAGGCATGAGTTTGTGTCCTCCAGGCTAGTCATGCTTTTGGATTGAACAAACACTTTGATTGTAGAAAGAAGGCTCTGCTGAGGGAAAATAACATTCAGAAGCTTTGTTTTTGGTAGAATTGAACAGCTTTCAGTAAAGACAGCATGTGGCAGGCCAGCAGTGACGTCCAGTGTGGCTCCACACAGCAAGAGGAAAACCTGCTGCAGCGTTTAATCCTACTGTCACTACTCATGTTTCACAAAGAGACTACAAGATGAGCCGGACTACAGCCGGGAGTGTTTGCTCACCGTTTAAAGAGGTTCATTTACGCACATGACAAGACTGAAACTAACATTAATGCTTAAACAACATAAATGCTTGGCGGTGACTCTGATGGCTTCTTTGTTTGAAAAATCAACAAATGTGCAAATTTGGTCCTACTAAAGGCAAATAGGAATTCAAGGACAAAACATTTATCTTTCTCTGTTATCCAAAACATGTGAGAACAAGCTTACACACATCCAACAGGAATAGGAAGTCCAGAAATAAAATATCTTAGTGATTTACACACAAGTTTCCCATTCCGTGGATGTGGATATTGCTGTTGGTGCTGCTGTAGTTATGTTGACAGCGCATACATTTAGGTATGTAGGTACAATATATTGCTCACAATCTCAGAGCCCATTTTGCAGGTGTGGCAATCAGCCCACAAACACCTTCACACACACACATATATATATATATACAAACACCCCTTCACACACATGCATGCACACAATAACAAAAGACACAGCAGTGTTCACAGAGGGTTTGTTCAGTGACCATACATACAAACAACTATTGCCTTAAAGAGACAGGTCTCGATACGTGTGCAGGCGATCAGGAGGGAACGCATTCCACTGAGCATCATGTGTCCTTTAGGCTTCACATGGATTTATTTTCAAGTTCCTCCGCGGCGTTACTCATTAGAGACTTTCTGAATCGGGGTTTGTCTGTAATGTGGCGGGGTTTGTATGGCAGCGCAGGCAGACTAGGGGCACGTGGCGGGGAAGCTTGTGGGTCAATTTGCCAACAGAAGCATGGGCAGTATGTGTTAGTGCGTAAACTGACATCCCAGTCCACTGGTCCTGTAGCCCTTTTTGGAGTTCATGTGCACTCTAGGGAGTGGATGTGTCAGACACTGGGGTATTGCTTCGTTTGTTGTGATGTGTTGCTGTTTGTATTTTAATGGCCACAACTTTCGCTCGTATCAACACAGCACATATCAGGCTCAACGTTTTCCCCCCCAACCGTCGGTGTGTTTTCTCCATGATAATGAAGGTGAGTCAGGTAATAATTATAAAACCTTATCGTACCAGGGTTATATGTGCACCATGCTCACACAGGTAAAATATTTGTGGCACCCATCTTTTATGTGTGGGGAGAGGAACAGTTGCCATACAGCAAAGTCAGTCACAGTGTTCCTGGGGTCAACATGCAGGACGTTAGCACATGACAGGACAGACTAGTGGTGGTGTTGCCCCTGAACACTGATCTAAGGTCAGTGTTCTTTTTCTCTATTTGGATTTTTGGGGCAATAGGAAAGCTGATCTTAGATCAGTGCCTCCAACAGACCACCTCCAACGTACACAACACATCACACTGTGGGAAGACAGCGCAGAGCAAAGGACTTGGGGGGGGGGGGATGACGGACTGGAAGAACGACACACAGTCAGACAAGCGGACATACGGACAGAGCATATCTAGGTAAGGACTGCTCTCCTGAAGACACAGAGAAGCAAAAGTGCAAAGTGGTCGTTCTCAATCTATTCACATGGTTTTGTTGTTCTGCGCTGCCTTGGATTACATCTAAGTGTACAGCGTATAAAAGGTGTGATGTGTTCTAGGAAAAATTGAGTGAGGGACTGACAATTGCTTTGAGCTGAGCTGTTGAAATATTCAAAATGAAACGTGAATTTTTATAAACATATTCCTCCATGTTTGCATTGATAACATTGCAATGTAAATGTTGCATAATGTATGCAGATATATGTACAATTGAGCATTTTTCGTGTGTGCTTGTGTATTGCACATGGTTGTCTATGTAGATGTGAGTTCTATATATGTGCATAACACGATGTATTTCGGGTATTTTTTCTGGTGTCTTTGCGCACACACGCGTGTCCTCGCGCTCTCAGCCCCCTCCCCTCCTCAGCTGCGGCCCTCCTCGGCTGAGCGCTGGTCCGACTTGAGCTTGACGAACTCTTTCGCCACGTCATCGTTGTTGCGCTGAGAGAGGATGCGCAACACCGTCAGGCCCGTCTCGTCCATGTGGATGCGTCTGCCCAGCGGCATCCAGCAGGTGACGCTGCCCTTGCTGGCTATGTCCTTCACCTGCAGCAAGGCAATGCCCACGGTGCGGTCCTCTCTGGCGAAGCAGTAGTCCTTCACACACACCTGCAACTCGTAGCTCTCTGGACCGACCTCAGTGCCCAAGGAGCTGAAACAGAAGACAGAATCAAATCCATGTTTTACTTCACGTCTGTGTGCCTCGTTAAGTGGATTTGTTTTAAAACTAATATTAATGAATAGAGCATTTCAAACTCTTCCTTCCACCTATTTAACTCTGAATGGTAACCACACATGTTGTTTTTATCTTACTGTCTTTTCTGCATTATTAATGTTTCTTTTGTCTACTTCAATTTATAGTATGATGGTTTTGTTAGTATGCTGTGTTGCATTTTTTCCTGTCGGTCCTGTTGCATTATTTGCCAAAGCAATGGCAATAATTTAACTCAACATGTGGCTGAAAAAAGGCAGAAATCCTACAGAAATGGTAGATACTCACTACTGGAAGCTCTCACTGAATTTGGGTGACCAGGTGTTGTTCTTCGACTTGGTGGCAAATTTCCTCTTCTTGTCACTGAGGTGAGGGCCGATGATGTAGACTTCCACAAAGGGCCTGAAGCCCTGCGCCTTCCATTTTAGGTCATTAGCAGCCACCACTAAAGGATGAAAGAAAGTAGGTTAAGATAAAGGACGAAGGGAGGAGAAGACAATAACAACAGAGCACAGGATAATAAATGACAGTGTTGCAGTCTGATCTGCATTTCTTTTTTTTTTACCTTTCACACTGATCTTGTGCTCTCCATTAGGTTGGGGTAAAATGTCCACGCACATGACCACCTCGCCAACTGCATCCACTCCAGATGCTGCAAAGACACACTCAGTAAGAGGTGGATTGTGTTTTTTTGCAGTCCACAATCTAGCACAGCTGAGATATATGACAATGGGGATGCATCAGCAGATTGTGAACTAAATTTAAACATGCAGAAAAAAACACACACACAGCCCTTTAAACTTGTGAGTTCCAGCAATTTGGTCCGCACAAAACAATCTGACCCCACAAGTATAGTGGGCTCCCGTTTTTTGGACCCCATGAATATAGTAAATTCACACACACAGGTTCTCTGTGATAATCAAATGAGCAGGACTTGGCTGGGTAAAGCAGCTTTTGTGCCAGCTCTAATGCTGAGCAAATGGCAAATGCAGCAATAGCTGGTAATTTGGTCTTATCACTCAACAGATACTGAAGGAAAAAGAAAAAGGGATGAAACTTAAAGTTTTTCTCCTTTCACGACTCGTTCTTTTATTCATCGTGTCTTGCACATCCTACGCTCTCCTTCATCTCAAGTCACTGCAGCTTTTACATTGGAGCTCTCACCTGGTCAGCTGTTTAGAAAACCGTCTCTCTGCCTTCATATCTAACAAGCTTCATCTACCATAAACAGTGCATAAGTTGTGCTGTGTCTTCCTGAGTTGATTAAAAAGGAGTTCAAACACAAAAAAAACAAGAAGAAGCAAAGCGAGTCGAGGGCTAACGCTTCATTATCTTTGCTTTATGACAGTTTGATCACACTGACATCTGAGTGTAAGTATGAGCAGCTGTGGGTTTCTATGGAGGACGTGCAGGTTTTACATAACACTGCTGACGTGTACCTTTCTCTGGCGGTGTGTCTTCGTTTGCCGTGCACCTGATCCCTTTCCCTCCGTGGACTGAGAGGAGAGAGACAGAAGTCAGCATTTGAAGACAGCAAAGAAAGTGTTCGTTTCATTGTTAATATTGCGAATTAAAGCATTGATGGGTTAAATACCTACACAAATATGGCATCCTTGAGCAAGATATTTAAAAGTTTTTATTGCTCCCCTTTTTGCTCATCTAAAATCCCTCCATGGGCGTTTAAAGTTGTACAGTATATAACTAAAACCAGTAAATGTAAATAGTAGTTTTGCATTTGCGGGCATTGCTACTGTAATTCACTGAAGCAATGAATTAAACATTTTCTTCCAACACTGTAAGCAAGTTATTCTACTTGATCTCATAATCCTATTTAATTCCATAAGCTGTAGTAACAGTAAGAATAAGCAGTGGAGCTCCATGAGAGTAACTGAAAGCATTTTTGTGTGAAATTGTTTGAACCTGCTGTGTAACAGTGTGTTTGTGTGTGTGTTGCTGCTGTTTGAAGTCGTACCCTGAGCACTCTGTGAGAGGACAAACTTCCTGATGAGCTTGTCTGTGGCCTGGGTGTACAGAGACAAGGCGTAGCGCAGAGACTGCAGGTCCGGACTCTTTTCCAAGAACGTTTTCTTCAGGCCCACACCACCGGCGTGGAAGTATTGCTGCGTAACAGATACGAGATGACACATGTATTGTAGACAGACAGAGGGCAGGACACACAGAGCTCTAAGAGGAAAATGTACGAGTGTGACAAAACTGTTTAGCAGTGTGCAACAACCTCGTCACTCTGGGAGCTGTCGAGGATAGGCATGATGGTTTGAAGCTGCTTTGGTAACTCAAAACCTGCACTAATTTATAACAAACAGATAGCTGTAGTAGCAGTATGACAGATTAAAACTAACCATAACATTAAAATGCTATTGATGTTTATGCTGTTCAAAGTTACATGTTTGGATTATATAATTATTTCATAATTCTTTGATTTATATAAATATACTGTATGTAATAAGATAACATGTACACAAATGACTATAGTTAAACCTGCAAATGCTTTCTTTCCCTTACATTGAACCAATAGATCCACAGCATTCAGTAACAGAAATTCCACTGTCAGCTACAGACTCTTCCTCACCTCCACAATCTGAATTCTTGTGGATTGTCTGCTTTTATGATTTGACTTTCCTGTGGCTTTAGTGAAAATATATTTTCTAGTTTAAACAGTCTCCATCCTGGCAGAGGTTAGTGGACTGTGAAAACACAAGGGACACTTCTGAAAGTCAAGACTGTTGTCAAAGTAAGAATCAAGAGCACCAATATCCCTGCCAGCTGTTTTGTTTGTGTAACATTAGACAATACCTTAATAGTGTCCAGTGCCAGCTCTATTACTGCACACTGTTTAGGAGTTAGAGCTTTCGCCTCCTCTCGCCCCATGTGCTCCTGCAGGATGGATCGAAAAAAGGAGTCAGTCCACACCACAGTTACTGCTAAAATATACACGTTTGTCAGGTATGTTGTTGCTGCCTTCTACTTTCATCACCTTGAGTTTGGACAGCTGGCCCAACTCCTTGGCAGCGTTGAAGATCATCTGGGTGCCCTGTCACGGAGAGACGGACAGACGAGTGGGTACAGTGTGGACAGAAAGACAAGAGTGGTGTTTGAGAGATGTGTAGCTGGGGACGATTTGCAGAGTGAGAGGTGAGTTCAGGAGCTTTAGTGAGGACAGACAGCTGCTGATACAAGAAATGAGTTTGGTGAGTGAGAGGGTGGGGAGAGTAAAACTACAATGTACTAATTCTTAAATCTTTTAAATAAAGGTTCTGAACAAACAAGTTACATCTTGCAAGAGAAAGAAGGTTTAAGTGCTTTGGTGTACAGTCAGTCAGCATTGCAGGGATTCATGGGTAGGTAATGTTGTCTCTGGTGCAGCGTGCTGTCGTTTAAATCAGGCTTTTATTCACTGATATCCACACAGAAGGAGAAAGGCTACAGAGGGTGGTGTTAAGGCTCATGTTAAAAATAGTGTTTTCTCATGCTTACAGAGACTGATTGCACCCACACACCCAAACATACTTACAATAACCTAAGAAAGGAAGGAAGGGAGAGAGGATGGGGTAACGGCAGGATAGATGGGTTAATGTACAAGCACAATGGAACACAGCCAGGAAAAGCAAACTCAAAATCAGAAGCAGAGAAGAAGAAAAATGGGAAAGAAAAAAATGAGTGAATGTCTCCTTTTTTAAATTACATACCGTCTGGTCAGTAAGCGTTGGAAGCACGATAGTTTTTTCCATTGTGTTCATAACTAGTTTCCACAGCTCCTTCAGCACTCTCTTCAGGACTGTCTTCTCACAGATCTTAGCAAACAGCGACAGGCTAAAACACAAAAACACCCACATCTGTCAACTGACAAGACACGAAGGCAGCACTAAAACACATTTATTTATGGAGTGCGTGTGTCTGTAAAGGCCATGGAAACTTCAGTGAGTGCAAGTTAATTCACAAAGGTGCAAACAATAACAAATTTGTGAGAAGTTTTTGATATCAGTGTGAGAACGACACTTTTTCAGTCTCAAAACAAAACTTTTTTCCGTTTGCTTAGTTTGAGTTGTTTTTTTCAAACCATTTGTTCATTTAACAAAATATTGAATGTTGGTATAGCAAAAGCAGCTATTCAAGAAACTTTCTGATCAAGAGATATTTGATCAAAGAAGGAGTAACCAAGACTATGAATCTGACCAATGCCAACTCTTTCAGAGTTCTTAAACGGTGTTGATGTTTGATATCAAGCCATACTTACTTGCTGTCCAGGAAGTCCATGATGGGCTGCAGGACGTTGTCAGCCTCCTGAACCACGCTGCCATTGGCCGGGACGGTCTGACCTTTTACCTGGGCTAGAATGTCACCCATTTGCCTCACGTTGTCCTCGATCTGGGGCTGGAAACTGCATCACCCAACAAAAAACGACAACATGAAAAAGAGACGTTTGAAATCAGCTGGTTGCAGCATCTCTTAGTTCCACGTAGGAATCAGAGACATACCCACCTGACAGCAAAGATGCGGCTGAGGTCGTCCATTACACTGTTGAGTTTGTTCTGCAGCTCTTTCAGGAAGTCGCTAGCCTCGACATTGAGCTGGGAGAAAACAAAAGGGGGTGAATCCAGGAGCCATGTCATAACAGCACAATCACAACAATAACAGCACGTATGGAAACTCACATCTTTGCCTCCCATAGCCTCAAACATCTTCTCCAACTGAACCCTGAGCTGCTGGATGTTATTGATGATGATACATGGCTAAGGGGAGAAAGAGAAAAATTACACCACACACACACACACACACACACACACACACAGCTCTCTCCTTTTCCTCTGTCTGCTCCCAGCGTTTTATTGTAATCAATCAAGGTTAGTCCTCTTAACTTTTTTTATTGCTTCCTTGGCAAAAACACTCTTGGTGATGCAGGGCACGAGAAGCAGGAGTTTTCAGTAATTACTGCTCCTCCGGGGACTCCTGGTCTCTCTGGGAGTGCAGCCCACTTTTCCCCAAGCGTACACCACATTCAGCTAATTACACAGCCCTAATTCACATTGAAACACTGCAACCTGGGCATTTACTATTACACTGAAGAGAGGGTTTATTGTGCTGAAATGAATCAACCTGACCACATACACCAAACTGTGTCCGTCTTAAAGCTAAGATGTGATGGAGCTGAAATTAAAGTATTAAATCAGTCACTGCTGCTTATTCAGCTGACACGAATTTCTTTCTGGTACCTTGTTGTGCCAAACTTTTCTATTATGTTTATGTACTGTTATACACTTTAATGTCTTTAAAACATCTTCAACACTTACGACTTTCTCCTTCTTCACATGATTTGGAAATTCCTTTGCAATGATGTCAGCGTAAGACAGCAGGACGTTGCCGATGGTCTAGAAGAAAATGACAAGATAATGGAATAAGCGCACAATTGCAGTGAGGAATTTTAGTAGAGTGACAACTCAGGTAACGACAATCTTGTAGGTGGAAGTCACCTTTGCGAATCTCTTCATATAGTTGCCAACGATCTGAGGGTCGGGACACTCTAGTTTGCGGATGATTTCAAAGCTCTGATTGAGCTGAGAGAACACATCCACCACTGAGCACGAGAACAAAGCGTGCTCCGAGGTGACCTGGAACTGGAGAACGAGAGGAAAGACGAGAGGAAAAAGTATGAGTGTGACTTCTGTGGTGCTGAGGCTACAGCACAGTGATCTGAACACGACTAACATTGGAAGTGAAGGCTTTGACTCCCCCAACGGCCACCCGTGGAAGAAGTTCACGGCGCTGTTACCCATCAGGGATAACGATAGTGACCTCCCTCCTTCAGCTGCATGTGGCTGCAATCAAATGATTTGCAAAGAGATTCCTCTGGATGCGCTTGGGTGAGAGCCATGGAGGCGATCAGAGGTGTTATGATGGGGAGCAGGGCCCTCATTAACAGCCCAGTCATTAGCCCAGAAGTGAACAGTGTTTTGGTATGTGGCTGGGAGCGGGGACTGCTGTTTCGCTGACACAGAAAAGCAGAATCTGCCTCTGGTGACAGTAATTGGACCCAAAGGATTACTGACATATGAGCTGGGAGAATATTCAGCTGCTTTGTATCGATCCTCTTTCTGTGTGGATATGTAGGTCTGAGCAAGACTGAGAGTATCTGTGTGCTTTCTTTTTCATTTGCCTTTGGTATTGAGTCATTATTGATTGCCTTGAGGCCTTCGGCCTACTCTTCTCAGCCTGGAATATGCTGAGTCAGGAGAGATGATGTGAACTGCCTGAATTTGCATGAGAAATGCATGAATACATTTTTTTTGGGGGGAGGGGGGGTGCTGCAGGTAGGAGGTCAGATTTAAGCTTTTATCCTGTATTTTATTACCATCTCAGCAGAATTTGAGTGTTGATTTTTTAGTCAAACTTTAGTTTCACATGACCGCATGCTTCTTTCCTTTTTTCAGTACTCTTCTCTCACAAGTTTTCCAGCGCACTTTCTTTGTTAAAGGAACAGTTCGACATTTGAGAAGATCATTACTACTGTCATGTCTGTGTGGTAAATATGAAGCTACGGTAGGAGCCTGTTAGATGTTAAAAATAGAATTAGGGCATCTAAAACTAAAGATTGAAAACTAGGAGTTGTTGGGAGTAGACTTAGAGGTGTTTTTTTTATAGCATTTGCAGACATGCTAACAACAGACTGTGGTTTCATTTCACCTGTTACTTTGCTGGTAGGCAAGCATTTTACATGAGAAGGATGCAGATGAAAGCATTTACCCCGTCTTTTTTGTCCCTCTCCAGGGCTCCATGTAGAAAATCTCTGGACACTTCTTCGTTCTCATCCAACCACATGATGACAAACGGTTCGAACCAGCTGCAGAATAAGAGACGAGTAGAAACAACATGAGTCTTTGTGCCACAGTGGTAAATGTAGGAGGAAAAGTGTAGATGCTGTTTATGAAACACTTACGCTGGATATTCGGGTACATGCTTTTGGAAAGTGGGCAGCTCCTTGCAGTACTCATTATAGAGCCACTTCACCTTGAAGTGCAAGTTCATATAATCTGCGCTTTTACACAGGCGGTTCTTCTCATGCTCTGAATGTCAAAGAAGAAAGAATGAGGAAAGTCCCACTGCACCACTCTTTCTCCATATGTAGTTTACTCATAAAACAACATCTCTTACAAACACAATCCTGACACAAACGAATGACCCCCCCCCCCCGCTAATTTCCAAGCCTGTGACCTCCCGCATTCCCCACAACACACACAAAAACCTACCCTCCATGGCGTATTTCATATCTTGTGCAAACATATTCCACATGACCTCCGCGCTGATCTTGCCCACATTCAGTTCCTGGGGAAACCTATAAGAGGCAGTACTCAGGCTTAAATCCAGCTCTATCCAGTAATGGTACTCTATTATTTAACAAAATAACCCAGGCTTATTTTTATGCAACTCCCATCAGTGTTTGCTCTGTATATTTTTTTAGCTGCCACAAAAAAAAAACGCACCAGAGAAGTATTAATTATCAGTATATACACAGGTGCTGGTCATATAATTAGAATATCATCAAAAAGTTGATTTATTTCAGTAATTCCATTCAAAAAGTGAAACTTGGATATTATATTCATTCATTACACACAGACTGACATATTTCAAATGTTTATTTCATTTAATTGTGATGATTAAAACTGACAACTAATGAAAATCCCAAATTCAGTATCTCTGAAAATTATAATATAATATTATAATATATAATATACAAAAGAAGGATTTTTAGAAATGTTGGCCAACTGAAAAGTACGAACATGAAAAGTATGAGCATGTACAGCCCTCAATACTTAGTTGGGGCTCCTTTTGCCTGAATTACTGCAGCAATGCGGCGTGGCATGGAGTCGATCAGTCTGTGGCACTGCTCAGGTGTTATGAGAGCCCAGGTTGCTCTGATAGTGGCCTTCAGCTCTTCTGCATTGTTGGGTCTGGCGTATCGCATCTTCCTCTTTACAATACCCCATAGATTTTCTATAGGGTTAAGGTCAGGCCAGTTTGCTGGGAAATTAAGAACAGGGATACCATGGTCCTTAAACCAGGTACTGGTAGCTTTGGCACTGTGTGCAGGTGCCAAGTCCTGTTGGAAAATGAAATCTGCATCTCCATAAAGTTGGTCAGCAGCAGGAAGCATGAAGTGCTCTAAAACTTCCTGGTAGATGGCTGCGTTGACCTTGGACCTCAGAAAACACAGTGGACCAACACCAGCAGATGACATGGCACCCCAAACCATCACTGACTGTGGAAACTTTACACTGGACTTCAAGCAACGTGGATTCTGTGCCTCTCCTCTCTTCCTCCAGACTCTGGGACCTTGATTTCCAAAGGAAATGCAAAGTTTACTTTCATCAGAGAACATAACTTTGGACCACTCAGCAGCAGTCTAGTCCTTTTTGTCTTTAGCCCAGGCGAGACGCTTCTGACGCTGTGTCTTGTTCAAGAGTGGCTTGACACAAGGAATGCGACAGCTGAAACCCATGTCTTGCATACGTCTGTGCATGGTGGTTCTTGAAGCACTGACTCCAGCTGCAGTCCACTCTTTGTGAATCTCCCCCACATTTTTGAATGGGTTTTGTTTCACAATCCTCTCCAGGGTGCGGTTATCCCTATTGCTTGTGCACTTTTTTCTACCACATCTTTTCCTTCCTTTCGCCTCTCTATTAATGTGCTTGGACACAGAGCTCTGTGAACAGCCAGCCTCTTTAGCAATGACCTTTTGTGTCTTGCCCTCCTTGTGCAAGGTGTCAATGGTCGTCTTTTGGACAGCTGTCAAGTCAGCAGTCTTCCCCATGATTGTGTAGCCTACAGAACTAGACTGAGAGACCATTTAAAGGCCTTTGCAGGTGTTTTGAGTTAATAATCTGATTATCCGATGAGTGTGGCACCAGGTGTCTTCAGTATTGAACCTTTTCACAATATTATAATTTTCTGAGATACTGATTTTGGGGTTTTCATTAATTGTCAGTTATAATCATCAAAATTAAAAGGAATGAACACTTGAAATATATCAGTCTGTGTGGAATGAATGTATACATTATACAAGTTTCACTTTTTGAATGGAATTACTGAAATAAATCAACTTTTTGATGATATTCTAATTATATGACCAGCACCTGTATTTCATATATCATAAGTTTTAAATTGACAGTTTTAAAAAGTTTTTACAATTTTGTTATTCTTAGATATTATAAGTACATCTTCTTTATTTCCATTTCAGAATGGACAGGACACACCTTTAGGCTTGAAAAGAAACAAAGGCATTTTATTTGGCTGTTTGGCCTGTTCTCTAAATGCTCTGACACTCCCTTCTTCATACTGTTTTGCTTTACTTTGACTTTTTTTCTTTAAGCAAATCACATGCAGCTGTTACCTCATAAAGCCTCTTAAATTGCCAACACTGTCTGTGCATGCTAAATTTGAGAAATTAGACCAATGTTATGAGCAGAGACTCACTGATTGAGGCAAGGCGTGTAGGAATTTTTGTCCTCCTCTATGATAGAGACAATGAGGGTGATGAGTTTGGACCAGAAGTCCAGGTTTTTGATGCTGGGACCCTGCTCATCCGGAGGGACAGCCTTTGACTGGAGACAGAAAAGAGGTTATGGATTCAGATCTTAACAGCTGCACCCTGGCTTCATCTGCAAACACACACACACACACACACACACACACACACACACACACACACACACACACACACACACAAGCTTACAGGGTCTGTCTGATATTCCCTGTTATAGAGGTCATGGCAGTTGTTGAAAATGTACTCGTAGGTGGAGTTGAGACAGGCTTTTACGCAGTCCTTCACCACCTGGCTCGCCCTGGGGGGACTCTGCAGCTCCTGGACCTGAACACAAACGTTCGACAACATATAGTTGAATCCAATTCACCTCAGAGCTGTCAGACACACACACACTCTCGCCAGGAGGTTATCTCAGCATGAATTTAACCATAAATTCACTGAGCTGCATCAAATTGCCCCAACATAGATTAACACCCGTACACACACACACACACACACACACACACACACACACACACACACACACACACACACACAGTTTCATGACAATAGCTTCTGTTTGTATATGCTAATGCTAAGCTGAGTCTCAGTTTATGCCTCAGGCTGCTTTCTAGAAAGTACTGGAAATTTGTACCATGTTTGTGTTAATGTGAAAAATAAAAGATCTATCTTTCATTCATCCTTACCTTCATCCTGAAGAATGTGATACTAGTCAAGAGATCAACTGTGGACTTGAGGTCTTGTAGTCTTTCAGGACTGCTGGCAGGGAAGTTATTCTGGAAGCACATTCACAAAAACACTAAGTGTCTCTTCAGGTAGTAAGATTAAAGGAAATAAATATTGTCAGTGACCATGTGAAGACAAAACATATTTTTCATCTCAGTCCCAAAACAGAAAATAGGGTTCCCATACATATACACACAGATATGACACAAACAAATGTTGACCACAACAGATTGTTAACAGACAGCAATTGAGTGAGTGTGGCAGTAAATAACATCTAAATGTTTTGCATCTGTTATGATGAAGAGAAGCAGTCAGTACCCGGTACATGGACAGGTCGATCCTCAGGGAGTTGTGCAGCTGATCCAGCAGTTTGACAAACCTCTCCTTCTAAACAATAAAAAGACCAGAACAAACCACTCAGAAACACACCACAGCGGACATATTATTTGTTACCATTTGACTACACAAACCCCAAGGCCAGATCTGACGGGGCTCAGCTGTTTGGATATTTGGAGAAGTAGGCAGGGCCACATCTACAGCCCCAGAGGGACGAAGAGCTAGTCACCAAGCGATTTTCTGAAGTATAGCATTTTTCAGGCGTTTTGTAGTCACACATACGAAGAAGGGAAATATTACAAAACTCACGCCAAAGTTTGATGCAGCAAATCTGTCTGAGGCAGAAACATTGTTGGAGGACTGGGTGGTGTGGGCGTAGTAAGCGTTGATGTTGGCAAGCAGGGTGCTCATCACAGCTGGCACTCCTGGGCACATGTACTTAGATGACAAGCAAGCAAAGTGGCTGTGGGGTGGAAGAAAGAAGAACATTTAGTGCATTTACTTGCTCCTGATACCCACGTATTGGAAGAAATTATAAACTATATTTAGTCATCTAACTGTGCATGTCAAAAAGCTAAAGCCATTGTGGTGGGAAAAAAACAATGCTTTTAACGCAGGATTTGATCTTTCCTATTTAGCTTTCAAAGTTAAACATTCAGAATAATGGTTGAGAGACTGACGTCATAGCCTGGTAGATGGATTCTACTCCGTATCTCATGGCAAACTCGTCCACAATCTCCTGAGCCGTCTCCTCAAAATACACCTTCCAGGCATCGTCCCCTTTGGCATCTGGGATCTTTACTACGCCGCCATTCTGCTCCTCAGTGGTGTACTGGAACAGATGCTGAGCAAAGACAAAGGACAGGTCTGACGTTTTTGTGTCTCAGGCCATTTTTATTATTATTATTTGTAGTAGTAGTAGTAGCAGTAATTGCAACAGTAGTTAGTATTAGCTTGAAACACTTTAAGGATTTCATTTACAGATTGTAAGAAAACAAACACATCTACTGAGCCAGATAAAAAAGTGAGGCCCTACAGATCAATTTAAGAGGCCTTAGATCTTCTGTAAATATTAAAGCTTAGAAAACCAGAAGCCTTAAACTGCATCATGTAAAAGACCTTTAGGTGCCACAAAGCTACATATCATGTGTTTGACTGTGCAACCCCTTATGTGTGAAAGGAAGACTGTTTATCTATTCTAAAACACACATCCACATCAAAAAAGTCTTCAGTTTTGCACTAGTTAAAGCTGATAGAAATTTGAATGTTAAGACATGTAAAACCACACTACAAACATTCGCTAAAACGTTGTAAAACAATATCAAACTAAAAATATGCCTGATTTTAACCCACAGCTGATTGCCAAAACTGTTTCCCAGTGTTTCACAAAATTCAGGATAGGGATTCATCCACTTCATCTTCCTGTAGTGTAACAGGATTATATATAAAACTGGGAAATGGTGTAAAGGACTTCATATGTGACACTGTATTCATGCCTTTCCCATACCGAGGAAGTCAATATGTCCCTATATGGGCGAAAATGGCTCAATAATTCCAGGCAATTATTAATGATTTCAACTGTTTAACTGTTATGACAAACCTTCTTTTTGGAAAAGAAGGCAAATTTCACAGGGAATGAGCAGAAAGAGAGAATTTTATTTTATTGATTGTGTTTATATGAAACCTAGAAGTGAATTGACTGGAAGCAATGAACTCTGAATAGCAGGTTGTTCTACATTTAATGTTTTATTTCAAGTGCAAATAATCACAACAATGTTTGGAAGATTTCCCCCAGATGTCCGTGCAGACTGACCTCATGTAGACAGGTGTACTGGACATGGTAGGGAGCAACCGTCTCCTCTCCTTTGATCTCCACACTTATGTGCATCCGGATGGCTCCTGACACAGCAGACTTATCAGTTCTCTTGTCTGCCAAATGAAAGTAAGATATACATGCCTCCTTAGTTGGCTGAAATCTGTTCTATCTACAAGAGACAAGCACTTCAATTATCTGTTTCTTGTTCTGTTATCTCTGTGCGACTTCCTGCTCCTCTCATCCGTCTCTAATTCTCCACTGCCTTCTCTCTTATCTTGAAAACTCACCCAGGTTGTACCAAACGTCCATCTCCCCGCTCAGAGTCCGGACTTCGATGATGGTTTGACCCAGGAAGTCATCACTCTCGCGTTTGAACCGTTGTTTCACACGCGACTTGATGTCGTCATCCTCGTCCCACACGCGCACCTTGATGCGGTCAGACGAGTTGTGGCATTCACTGGATGAGATGGAGACAGAAATTGTGGGCAAACAACTGTGATGCAGAGGAACAATCTGTGAAAAAAAGAGGCTCATTTCTAAGTACTGCATAGTTTGCTGGGGTTCCAAAAACATAAACACTGGGGTGTCTTAAATACGTGTTTAGATTTTTAGAGATATCACCCTAAATTGAGCACTACATCATCCATTATAGTGACATAAAGTGACTGACAGAAAAGCTTTCCACTGTACTCACAAGTGGAAGTTTTCTTCCCAGACGGGGTTAAGGTTGCCGTAGATGGTCTTGGTTCTCTTCTTGGTCTTCCCTACTTGAACAGTCACATAAGGGTCACTGGAGCCTGTTTTGTCTTTAGCCTGCAGGCCCTGAGCACATACCACTGAGGCAGAGACAAGAGGCATAGAGGCAATTAAACAAAGTCCTAGAAAGCTTGTCTGACAAGATACCTTTTATTGTTAAGTCTTTCATTAATACTACACTGGACTTCAAGCAACTATATATTATTATTATTAAAATATATTCATAATAGCAAAAGAAAACAATAGCACAATTGCCAGGAACCACAACAATTATCTCACAAGCATAAATTATGCATGTCAGTTTTATTCCATCCATCCATCGTCAACCGCTTATCCTGCATACAGGGTCTTGGGGGGCTGGAGCCAATCCCAACCCTAGACGGTCGCCATCAGGGCCACACACAGACCAACAACCAGTCACACTCACACCTAAGGACAATTTCAGACACCAATTAACCTAGCCTGCACGTCTTTGGATGGTGGGATTTGGATTGCTGTGAGGTGACAGTGCTAACCACTGCACCACCGCACCTCCTTTTATTCATATAACCCAAGAAATAACAAATCACAGATTTTACTCAAATAGGCTTTACAATGTGTGCAACAGGTGAAGAAAAAAGGAGCTTTCAACACACCAGTGATGCTGATCTTTGCTGACCACTTGGAGGTCCCATCAAGCACACTCTGCTTGATTTGCTTCATTAGCGTGGCGTGTGTTGTTTTGTCCAGGCCGAACACTTCCTGGATTTGCTCAAATATTTCTGGTTTGTTCCTCTCTCTGATCTTCATGCGGTCCTTCAGGACCATGATTATGTTCTGGGTTCTGTCCTCTGCCCCGTGTTTGGAGCTCTTCTCTGCAGCTCCTGATGGGAGAGATGAATGATGAGTGGGATGTAGGAAGATTAGTTTATGGCGTAAAATATATTCAAGGCAATAAGGCTCACAGGCTAGCAGCTTACAGTCTCTCCCATTTCCCTGTAATACATCTAAAGCTGTGTGCAAAGCACCAGATCAATTTTGAAAGTCTTTGACATTTTCTTGGCCAGGGATCAAACCCCAAACCTCCAATATTATGGCTGAAACTGTATCCACTTAACCACTGATCTGGTCAGGAAAAAGTAGACAGTCAGAGAGTAAAAGACCAACAGATGTTTTGGCATCAAGATCTTATCTTGATGCCGAAGACTCTAAGACTCTTAGGAGACAGCAGAGCGATGAATTATGCATTGTGTAGACTGACTCCAAAATCAGTATGGGAACTGGATAAGTCACCCCTTGTGGAGCTGAATTAGACAAAGTAGCATGGATGCAAAGGCTATAGGTAGAAGAAAGAGAGCAGAGAGGCAGGGGTATGACAGCACATTACTCAGGAGATAAATTGGAGAGGAAGGGGGAGGAGAATGTGAGAGTGGATAGAGGACAAGAATAATGGGATGTCAATCGGGCAGAAGGATACAGGAGGAGCTAAAAGAGGTTTGGGGTTTGTGTGGACGGCTGGGTGTGTGTATGCCAAAGTCAAAAATATATGCATATGTATAAAAATGTTTTTTTGTGCATGAGTGTGGATGCTGCGATCCTTACTCTGCAGACAGTCAGCGTTGAGCAGGTCCTGGCACTTTTCGTGGCATTTGACGCCACACTCGGAGCAGCGCATGCCTTGTCGGGCAATACCCCAAAGCAGCCCCTCGCATTCATAGCAGTAAGTTGGGGTGGTGGCTGTCCACACCTCAAAGTTGTGTGGGGTGGTGGAGGAGATGGGGTAGATCAGTGCCTGCAGGGTCTTTTTATAGACGTGACTTTTCTGTCAAGGGCGTGGAGAAGAGAAATATAAGTCTGATGCCAGCAGTGATTAAAGGTTGGAAGATCCTGAACAGAACTGCGAATAGGAAGTGAGATGAGGAAACCCACCAGCTCTTCATTGCCAAGAGTGGTGGAAGCCATGGCGGAGGTGATTCCAGCCTTGCGAGAGTTCTGTACTAGGGACTGGGAACAAGAGGGCCAACAGAGAAAAGTGTTAATGCTTGAAAGTGAGCTACACTGCGGACTTGATTTCTGTAAGGGATGAACAAGTACTCACCATTGCCTGATGAGGCCAGGCAGTGATGAAACAGAGGAGAGAAAATAGAGAGAAAAGTGGAAACAGATGTCAACATATTTTAGGACGAGCTGTACAAGTCTTTATGATGATGTGTATGTGTGAGCTACTATGCATCTGACAGGTATGCCCAAACCTCTAGAAGAGAACAGTGTAACTAGACTGATTCATTACGGTAATTACATTAACACCACATATATGGAAACATTTAATTCATCAACAAGTCAAGCATTTGACAGCTGTGGAAAGGGGAAACAGTAAGAAATCAGTGTATTCACTTGGGATTATAGGAAAAAATGCTGGAAAGTATAGAAGAAGTGAAATAGTTTTTCGATGTTTTCAGAGTAAGAACTACAAAGCAGAAGAGGCAAGAACAGAGATGACTGTTTTAAAGTAAACTGAGATTCAGAGTAACCAATAATGTCTGCAACAAAATCGAATCCAGGTTGCCCCATGAGGTTGGTGTATGTTATGTTTGTATGTGTGTCCATGTTTGTTTCTCACCAGATCTCTGACAAGAGGAATGGCTTTCCTCTTGCGAAGGTCAGGCATGCTGTCGATACTGTAGAGTGCACCTCCCATTCTGAATAAGAAGTACGTAGAGAGGGAGAAGTATGAAGCATTATACATTAATATATACATTAATATATACACAGTGTGCAGATAAAATGATTCAATCATCAAAATGTCTTACTATGAAATCTTGTTTTGTTACTATAGGGTAAATGTAATTGCCTCTATCATTGTTGCTACTCCAGTCAAGGACTTTACTGGAGAGTTTAATTACACAGGCTGCCTTGTCTCAAATGGTGGCAGTGATGACACTCCACACCTGGGTATAATTGCTGGGGTTCTATTTGGCTAACTTAGCACTTCTTCAGTATGCAGCCTCAGTTCCACTCTGAGGTTTGCCTCATCTACAAATGACCTGCCAGCAAAATTAGGGCAGCCCACCCTCGTTCAATACTCACTGGCCAAATGCCATGAGCTGAACGAGCCTGTGGATAAGAATGAAATAAAACGAAGGAATCCCAAAATAAAGAAGGGCATTTTCAATCTAAAGCTGAGGTGTCAGGTTTCCATGATGATCTGAGGGTATTTTTTAATTGAGTTAAATTCCTGGAGTTTTTGCATTTGCTTGATTAATACACTGTGTGATATATAATGTGCTCCATATAAGAAAAAAAGTAAATTTCTTGAGGAACTGACAGCAGACACTCACCCTCCTTTACCAAACCACAGCGAACTGGAGGTCTCTCCTCGAGCCTGAGAAAGACAATAAAGGAACGTCACAAAAAGAAACAAGCAATCTTAAGTTTACCCCTGCAGCCTACCCCTCTAGCATTAATTTACTGTATGAGTGAGGCTGCATCTCTAGACTAATTATCTTATTATGATACTGCTCTGCTCTACAGTCCCCTCTCATTTGTGTGTTCCTGTATCAGTGGTGAAAAGTGGGCTGTGTCAGTAAAAACTCAGTACAGTACAAATGGGAAATAAAGCTAGAGAAATACAACATATGATCCATAGACAAGCAGAAAAAGAAACCTGTTATTAAATAGATGTTGTTCATGTCATTACAGAATACATAAACTGGATATGTAACTATGCAAAAAACACTTTGCCTAAATTTAGCAATCAAATATGTCTGCAGAATCTGAAGCAGTGTGACTTATACTCAGATTGGATAACAGCTCTTTACTATACAACACTAAACATCTAATTGTTGTGGAGGTGAATGAGCCAGGGTAAAGGTGCCTGTTTACAGACAGTGAAGAGTTCAACAAGACATCTGTTACATGCATTTTCATTCTTTCTCTCAAGCAACCAATCAGGTTGTACCTACCTGTCAGCATACTCCAGTGATGGCCGAGCAAAGTGCATGCGAGTGTCACTATGGCAATGACATGAAACTAGAAAGAAAACAAAGTGGGTCGGCACAAAAAAAAAAAAAAAAGACAAACGGAGGGAAGCCAAATGTACAAAAACACAACGTGACATACATCAACATAAAACATCAAAGCAAGTGATTAATTCTCTGCACAACTGAATTCAAACGTGATGAATAGCAACATAATGTGAATAACATATGCAACTGAAAGCTGATCAAGCAAAATGTAAGTGTACAAATAAATCAAGGAGTGGTGTGGTGCTACACCCAAACTAAAATAAAAAGTTAGCTATCAGTATTTTTATTTGAGGAAACCAAAAAGAAGCAATCATAGATTGTGAAACAGATGAAGTCTGCTTTCTGGTGTCTAGCAAAAAGCACCATCAAAATAGAACTCAAGAACTTACTGTATGTACCCTGTCTTTGCACATAAATAATGCACTACACATACATATTTCAAAGGCTTGGCAGACACTTTTAGAGTCTCTTGAACTCAGGTAAATCTTTTAGATTATAGGGTGGAGCTGAATCAGGACTTCATTTCAGAGACTTGGACTGCAATGGACTTTGGAGCTAGATTGGGGTGATCGTACCTCCCGAAGCTGTTCTAAGACTTTGTTGTAGAGCCTTAGCCAGTTCTCTTTGGCTCTGACTGCTGGATCCACTGGCTCTTTGGGCTCCTCTATGACTGGAGGACTAAAAGAAAAACAAAAATGTATTCAGCTGTTTCTCTTCTAGTCTATTTTTTTGTTTAGCTCATTGATCTGATTCCCTTTCAGCTTCCACTCCTACCTCTCAGGCGGCATCTCTTCTTCCTCTTCTGGCGTCGGCGGCCTGCTCTCTTCGAAATGCTCCTCTTTCCCTTCCATGGGGAGCTTCTCCTCTGGCTGAGCAGGGGGCGTCATGGCCTCCTTCTCCAACATCATTTCCTCATCAAGCCATGGCTCTTCCTCCAGCTGGAGAGCCTGTTCCTCAGGGGCAGCTGACTGTGTGGTAGCAGAACCGTTGAGATGGGATTGAGGCTGCCTAGAGGATGGGATCTGCTGGGAGGTAGGGTCAACAGTAGTGGAGGGGCCCTGGGAGGCTGAGTTAGTCGCGGTGGCTGGGTGGGATGGAGGGACAGCTTTGCCTGCGGAAGATTGGTGTTGTTGAGATACGGCTGGAGTTGGAGGGTGAGACTGGGCAGGCTGGGCGGTGGGAACAGAAGACAGGAAAGTAGAGGCCAAGCCTGTGACTGCAGCTGTTAGAGGTTTGGCCATTGAGAAGAAGGAAGTGGCAGACGGGGCTGGCTGAGGCTGTGCTTGGGGCTGGGGTTGTTTAGGTGGTTGGGCTGTTGGTTGACAAGAAGGGGGCTGTGCCGATGGGACCATGCCAGAATGGTGAGACTGGTTGGATGTTTGGTTAGGGGGTTGAGCGGGGGGCTGCTGTTGGTGTAAGGAGGGTTGTTTCTCTAGAGGAGGTCTGGAGCTGGGCACATCCAGAGCTGGGGGGGCTGTTGATGTTGGGGTGGGGGTGAATGGAGGCTCCATGTCCTCACTGAGGGTCCCATCCAAATTGTACAAATCCTCGTCGTCATACATCATCTCCTCATCCTCATAGAGGCCCTCCTCTTCTCCCCCATACAGTCCTACATCATCCTCCTCGTACAGAGCCACCTCCTCTCCCCCATCTTTGCTGTAGCCGCCCTCATCACTGTACGCCCCTTGGGTCTCATCGGGGTCCCAGTCTGGAGAGCCTTTACTGTAGCTGACCGAGGAGTGGCAGGAGTGGTAAGAGTCGTTCTCGTCGTAAGGATCCCTTTCGCCATATTCACCGCCATAGTCCTCCTCGCTCAGCTGACTGCTGCACCGGCTCAGCTCTGCAGATGATGCATAGCTCCCCGAGGGACTGGAGGGAGGAAAAGAGAAGAGAAGAGAATAAAAACAGGGTTAAAATGCAAGACCTCAACATGCCCAGGAGAGACTGATTATTAAAGTACTTAAGACGGACACAGTTTTATAATGAACATAGTTAGACTTTCATTCAGGTTATTATTGCCTGTATACATGTACATGAATCATAATCTCAAAAATGCATACAGAGCACTTTATAGGAGCACATTATGGACTGTACACTTTGTACTCTATAGGACAGCCCTACTAAAAACCTTTTCTACATATCTTAGGGTAGCGAGGAACAATGCTGATGGCGAATCAATGAAAAGCACTGGTGATACAAGAGTACCAGACAAGCGGCGAGAAATAGAGCGGAACAGAAAGGTGAGAGACCTCCAGAAAGTTGACAAAAGAAAACGAACAAGCATCCAGAAATGCAACAAACAGGGAAAAAGTATTTATACTCCATGATGAATGGGGCTATTAAAAACAGAATTGAGGCACAGAGAGGAAGGATGATGGGGGGGGGGGGGGTCGCCCTGTCCAATACACTCACAAAAGCAGCTAATCTTATGTGCAGTATTGACCATTAGATTGTCCACTGAGTAATTCACAAAGCAAGAGGTAAAGGACACGGGGTTTCATTCCCAGTCTGTGAGACATGTCAATAAAAGCTGAGAAATGTAGCACTACTGTAAAAGGAGTCATGTAAGAGAAATAGCATCCGGTCTGTTTGACCCGATGAAGGACTTGCATACACTGCATGACTGAATTTCATTGACTTCATTTTCAGCGGAGACATGTCACATGTCACATGTCACAGTAGGAAAAGTATGAATGGCTGAATTTCATTTAGCTACTTTAGTTTCAGGGTTCTTGTATTGTGTCACAGCTTACTGCGACACTTGAATAACACAGCCACTGGTAATGTTATTAGTAACACCTGTGCCTTTCCTTTCATGCCAAAATGTCTGCTGTGAAAAAGGCCTATCACTAAATCAAAGCTCACCACTAATACTAACACACAGTCTATTATTTACTTTGCTTCTAAACTGAAAGCTAGCTCTGAAGTCACCTTTTGTGATGCATATTTTTCAGTTTCGTAGACCAAACAATTTATCAATTAATAAAAAAAGCAAATGAATTAATAATGAAAATAATCATTACTTCCAGTCCTAGTTACACTAAAGCAGCCACACACCTGACAGTCCTCTGATGTTGGTATTCGAGGTCGTGGCTGTTGCCAGAGCGTGGGTAAGAGAAGCTTCTGGAGCCGCGGTGCTGCTGGCTGATGGGATACTGGTGGACAGAGGCATTGGGCTGGGATGTGCTGTAGTAGGGAGGGGGGATGCTATTACTGGTTTCACTGCGATAGTCGCTGTCCCTGTCGTCCACAGCACTGTCTGGGTCTTCATCTGCACCGAGGCAAAAAAAATTAATCAGTCTTTTGGGTGGTGTCCTCATATAGAGTAGAGTAACAGAAGAAAGAAGAAGATTATTACAAAATAAAATCATGAGAAAGAGAAACGAACATCATGAAAGTGATGATCCCAACAGACTTGTCGTGTGGCACAGAGATAAGAGGCTCTAACAGGCAGTGAACCAATCTTTCAGTACCATGGTAATATAGATGAGCTGGCAGCATTTCACTACTGAACCCCCATCAATCCCATATAGGTCATTCAGAGTGCATCCATACATGCAGCATGTCATTCCCATCTTCATAACTGCACATGAAACCATTCCTGCTCACTAAGGAGAAGCTTTATTTTTCTGTGGTGTCCATAGATAAGAGATTACCATCCCAGAGGGAAGTGGTGAGAGACTGTGCTGAATCAGTCAAAAGCAAAACCAGCATCTATTAATCATTCATCATTATCCATCATTATCCATCATCATCTCTCACACTCGGACGCTGCACCACTTACACCTTACACCATCTTCATCCGTCAGGGCATGTAAACACTAATTAAAGGCATCAGACTTTGTTTCTCACTTCTACCGTGCCCCCACACATCTCCATCTCTCTCTCCCTCTCACTTCATTGGCTCACCATCTATCATTACCCCCTTGCTCTTTCCTTATCCCTCTGAGTGAACAGAGATGAGATGACTCGCTGCAGTTGTGTGGGTGAGTCTGACACTTATATAAGACCATCTGCTAATCACGGCAGAAAGAAAGAGACAGACAGGGTGGGGAGCGATAGAGAGTTTTTGCATATATGCATAAATCTAATGTATGTATATCCATGTACTACACATTTCTGTGCAGGATTTAAAGTACAGTCCATAAGTATTTGGACAGTGACATATTTCTCATTAGTGTGGCTCTCTACTACAGAGCATTGGATTTAAAATTAAATAACTTGATGTTAAAGGGTCATTTCACTCAAATTACCCCCACAGACCTCACTGTTGTTCATTCTACCAAAGAAATAGTCCCGACTATGAAAGTGGTAGTAACAAGGACATTGTTTCTGAAAACAGATGCTGCTGTTTAATAATAATCTAAATGTGAGGACCACAGATTATTTAATTTAGCATTAAAACCAAAATACGCACAACCAGATATCTATAAAGGTAAAAGGGTGAACAGTGGGATTATATACATATTCAATGAATGTTCATCCACTACACATGTGGTGTGGTGGTGATGGAGCTAGATATTTATGGACTGCTCTGTCTGTACAGTACGTATTGTCTGTATACTTACTTTGTTGGTCTCCCCATAGACTCCAGTTACCTGCAATAAAACAGGAGGGCGTCAGTATTGATTATGAATTACACTTGTGTCCACACGTAAACATGCATTCACGCCATCGACGCTACAAAGTTCCAAGATGGAGCTGGTGAATGGAAAGATCACACAAAGGGAGTGCCGAGCCTCCAAGTCTTTCCACCTGCCCCAGACAGCTGGCTCAGCAGGCTCGGCAGACCGGGCCAATAGTCAAAGCACAGCAGCGTCCTGGAGGAGCTTGCCTCCGGATATCTGATACTGCTATCGATCCTTTACAATGCAGTGATCCAGGCCCCTTTTCCCCTCCAACACACAATGACCCACATGCGGTTATACACATAATGCACATGCTGAACTAAAGCAATCTAATTACAACTCAACAGCTACACAGGTAATTCTCTTGTTCGACACAAACAAATGACTGGTTTGTACAAACAGTGATCCGTCACTCACAGCATTGGGTTCCTGGTACACGGAGAGGGCGTTCCTGCTCCTCCTGGTATGAATACTGGTGTCAGATAAATGGAAAACATATGAGCTTAACCGGTAAGTAACCGGAATATTTGAAATTGTAGGTCTAACTGCAGGAAATGTAACGTAAAACATAGCTATCCCTGCAATTAATCATTTTGGCATGTTCCTAAAATGTGAGGATGTGCTGGGGTATTAAATCATACGGGGTGACAGCTTACATCTTGGTCCCTCATGGCGTTGAGCTGCTCCAGTTTTTTGGCCCAGTATCGTGCCTCATCCTCCGGGATATCTGAAAACAACGAGCCAAACAAACTCAGGAGGCAAAAACAAAACTATTGGAGCTCCACCTACGTAGGCTATCACACAGGCAATCCACAAAACTTTTTGCCTGAAAACTGTTTCATTCTATGTTAAAAACTTGATCCAAATGACAGCAAAGGAAGCTAAAACTGCCCTTTTACTGGCAATAATAATAATTGGACCTAGATCAGATTTTTTAACAACATGTTTAGAGCTGCAGATACTTTGGCTCACTCAGAACACAGTGACATTGAAAACTGGCCTTTTCACATACAGGCCTAAAGCCAAACCCCTATAAATAAGTCATCCCAACAAACCGAGGAGCCAGGTGGACGCTATTGACTAGAGGAAGAGGAAGCAGTATGAAAATGACACCTAATAAATGCTAAGAGGGACACAGCTGATCAAGCTAGGAAAGGACACAAACACTCTCTCACTGAAAAGTCGGTCAGGTTAATTAATCAGTCAGAGGTTATTGGTGTCCATATATCACCGTTTGCTCTGAAAATATACATAATTTATTCAAGTCATCCTCTCCTTCCCTCGAGGGTTAAAGATTTTCTATAGTTCCATATTCTCATCTTCTCCCACCTATTCACAGTTTTCTGATTTTGAAGCAAATATGGATTTCTCACCGAGAGGCAGTTCAAAGCGCGTGTCGAGCAGCACCAGGTGGAGAGTGGGCTCTTTGGTGCCACAAATCTCATTGTCAGCCATGATGACCTGAGAATCCAGTGTGAGCCACTCCCCTGGACCTTCCTGCATACAGAACCATGATTTTCCAGTTGACACACACAAACAACACGCTGTAATAATGGATAAGCGTGATGGAAACCAGCCCTGAGTGAGTGAGTCCCTTAAGCTGAGTATAGAGTGTTCAGAAACAGTATTTCTGTGGTGGTGGTGGTTAGTGGCAAACCTCATTTGACTGTCTGATGCTACGAAGAGGAATCCACACGGTGCCAACCATGGTGTCCCAGATTAACCCTTTGTTCCACACCTCTACTGTCAGACCCAGGTCCAGGCGGTTAATTTCGCTGGATAGAAAGAGAAAGAGAGACAACAAAGTTCAAAATTTTAAAGAAAATTTAATTTTAAAGAAAATTTTACTTATTTAGTAATACATATACATACAAAGAAAGTTGTGGAAAGTAGCTAAGTACATTTACCTGTACCTTACTTAATGATTTCCATTTCATGATACTTTATACTTCTTCACCACTACATTTCAGAGGGCAATATTATACCTTTTACTCCACTACATTTATTTGACAGCTGGATTTACATTCAGTCGAAGAGTTTGCAAAGAACATATGATTAGCTGATAAAAAATTAAATTCATTGTTAAAGATTAAACCAGTGGTTCCTAAACTTTTCAGATGTCTATGAGTTCTTAGCAGCTCCACCAAAAAGCGATTTCCCCTCTAAATTTCTCAGATGGTTTGAGTTAAATAATTATTCAAGGTTAAAAGAGGTAAAATTATCCAATAAAACATTTAAGTTCTGTCTCTTTTTTACTGCTTTAGTTTTTCCCCCTCAACCACTGGACAAACTACTGAACTGTACTAGTTAAAACTAGGTTCACCTCTATCAGCTACAACAGTAAAATGACGCACATTGTTACGTCAGTAGTAACAAAAAAAGTCATATATGATAACATATTATTTACAGGGGCCATTTTCCTGCATTGTGAATACTTTTATTTTGATACTTTAAGTATATTAAGTATATTAAGTATATTTTGCTGATAATACTTTGACTTAAGTAGGGGTATTCTTTATAGACTTTGTATAGACTTGAAATGGAGTATTTTTACCTTGTTGTATTGGTACTTTTAAAGGATCTAAGTCTGTCCTCCACCACCATTTAAAGATAAATGCTAAACACACAAAGGCACTTATACCCACACAAGATGCACAGTAATTACTAGTGGGCTTCACTGTGACAAATATAAGACACGTCTCTGTGGGAGCAAGCCTGAGAGAATCTAACATAAAACATTTACAAGACAGCAGGAAGCAGGACAGAAAGACAAGGGAGGGGGAGAGAGAGCGAGGGATGGATGAGGGGAGGGAAGGAGAAGAGTGTGATGAAAGCAGTGGAGGGGGTGATTGTATCGCATGCCTGAAGGGAGAAAGTGGGAACTTTAATTAAGAAATAGGGGGCTGGATTTCCCGTCTCAGTGGTGACTCCTTTTAAGAAACGTGCGTGATTGATTGATGGCAGTAACAGAGGGGGCACAGTCATTTAAAGGCAGTTAGACGGAGGCTCTCTCTGCAGCCCAAACATTACATAACACAGCTTCACTGATGCAACCCCAGCACAATGCTCAACGCCTCCGAACATCATACAAATGCACAGGACTCCGCAGTCAGCCTGCCTGCTGCATCCCACATGCTAAATGATTCTCATTCATCGCCCATATCCTGCTACATTGGATCTCTCTGCACGATAAATACAGTGTAATAGTGTTGTATAATGTTTTAGAGATTGTAATGAGCTACCATTCCAATATTTATTGAAAGACAAATTCAAACAAACTAATTTAAAAGTGGGAAATGTTGCTAATGATGCCTTGAGGGTAGAAATAGAAGAAAGGGGAATATAGGGGAGAAGAGGAGGAGAGGCTGAGCAGATGAAGATCAAGGCACTGTGTTTAGAAGAAGCGACAGAGGGGAGGAAAGAAAGGGCTGGGAGGGAGCCACGGTTGAGAACGAGGATGAGAGGGGCAAAAGTGTTGAGGGAGAGCAGATGAAACAGGCGGAGGTGCGAAGAGGAAGAGCTAAGTGAAACAACACAGAGATAAAGGGCACTTGGGATGAAGGAGTGAAAAAGAGGGGAGGGGAGGAAGGTTGATAGAAAGCAGGAGATGGGGGGAAAAAACAACACGCAACCACTCAAGCCTCTGAAGTGGAGGGAAGATGAGAGGATGAAGGCAGGGGTAAGAGCGAGGCAAAGGGAGGTACAGAGGGAGAAGAGAGTTTTGTCTGAATATGATGAAGGACTCACAACATGAAGTCTTGCTCCCAGCTGGGCAAGTTGCCCCTGACAGCAATGGTTGTGCTCTTCACATTTTGTACCTTTAGAGTCACATAAGTGTTGAACTTCTCTGTTAAGGAGAAACAAATGAAGAAAGAGATACAGTGAAACAGCCCTGCATTACAAAGTAATAATGTAATCCCAGTGAGATATAGATGTTTATTCTGCAGTGTAACTGAATTTGCATTGCTTCATTTCCATTCATGGCATCAGCATGTTAATGTGTCCTCAAGTCTGTACTGCGTTCTATTTCCAGGATCCCGGGTCTTACCTTGGGGTCCATCCAGCTTGGCTTTCTTCACTGTGGAAACACAGAGAGGGACAAAGTCACACACAGGAACACCATCTGTTTTCATTTCTGAACGCTCCTGCATCCCCTGTTATGGCTTTTACACAGACAACAGGCAACAAGAGGATGCTTGTGAGAAATGAAAACAATGTCTGGGAATTTTATAAAAAAAACATACAAGAAACTCATGAAAATTGCTTTAAAAAGACTGTGCAGACTAATAATTTTAATACATTTCAGAAATATTTTCCAATCATCTCTAACTGGCAGAAGGTAGACAGAGCATATTCACATACTACATGGGTGTTGGCGCAGGAAACTGAAACTGCAACTATGCAGATCTAAGTGCTCTGCCTTTTTTGCCATAAGGTTCAGACATGTTGGCACTGAGTGTGGTGGCAAAACACAGAAACACACAGCGCTGGAAAAACATGGGCAGCTTTCCGGCTGTGCTTCAACAGTGTGGGAAACAGAAACAGAAAGTACAGTATGCCTACATGCAAATAAAAAGAACCACATAGCACAGACTGAAGAGATGACAAAAATACTTATTAATAACGTGTTATTAATAAGAATACTTCTCAACATGCAAGAGCCAATCATGTCTGCTCATGTCAGGAATCCTTATTCTAAAGGCATTCAGCTGGAAAAAGTCCCACCTTTATCAAACACGATGTGTCAGAGAATTTTTGAGTGTACAGTTATAGCCCAGGCTCTCTCTCTGCAGCACTTTTTTACCAGCTTTGACGTAACTCACACATACATTTTTAATGCTCTACTACCTGCTGCTCACACCAGAAGACCCCCAAACCACACTGCAGGTGTGTGCGCATCATGCACACAGGTCTGTATTCATCAGATTTAAACACAGGTTAAAAGCGCCATGTAACCGCCCCTTGAGGAAATGGACGTGACTTTTCCTTCGCAGACCATTCACACCAGTACCAGTCGCCATAGTAACCACCGCAAAATGAAAAGGCTGATGTAAAATTGCCCTGAGTCAGCAAGGCACTTTTTTGTTTCTATTTCTCACTTCTTTCACTCCATATTTCTTTCATGCAATACACACAAGCTAAATCTGCAGCTTAAGTGCCATGCTGTTACATCAGCAGGCACACACACACTCGACTGCAGTGACTCACTCACACATACACCTGCAGCAATGAATCTCTGCTTCCATTCATACCTCAGCAACTTTAATGTTAACACACATGTAAACACATACATTTGTGCGTTTGCATCTTTACTTAAGGTCAAAATTCTGCTCTGGCACTGGCTCAACATGCTTTTGATGTCCAGTTCAGTTTTCAAAAACCTACTTTTCAGCCAGTTGAACCAATGCAGCTGAAAGCCCGCCGTAAATGTAAAAAAAAATAATAATTCACCACAATGCAGAGAAGACAAGAAAGAAACCAAGCTGTGTTTTCTGACAGACCACTCAGAGCCTGCTTCTTGCCGGGTTTTAGCGTCAACACTAAAACAGCCCTGGAAATATATCAGTACACGAGGAGGATCAATAATAAAGGACTTGAATTTTCAACAGTGGAAAGCTGAAGGTAATAATTGCTCGCAATCGAATCTCTCTGACAGGGTGAGTTATGAAGAGAAACGTCCAACCCCCACAAACAATATTTCTATCTATATTTCTAAATAAAATTTCTAAGCAGACAGGATGACCTCCAACACACACATACATACATACTGTACATGGAAGTGGATATAACTCATAGGCATAGGCATTGGCTCAACTGGCTGAAATGTAGGTTATTATGGGCCTAGAGTCAGAAATCGAAGTCAAAGACATAACTAATCTATTGCCATCTGATTAAATGACTTGAAAGATGTGACAAATCAAAGTGTGTTTGGTTTTTTAGAGTTTAATCAGAGGATGCACAGCGCCTTCTGGATCCAACAGCAGAGAATTCATTCAGGAAGTACCTCTGACACAGCAGACTCTGACTTAAGGCAAATAAGCGGATTGCCAAGAAAACAGAGACTCGACAGGGAATCAAGAAAACCCTTCAACTTGAACTGTCAGGGAATGTAAAATAGGGAGCGGGTGAGCTGAGTTCAGCCATCCAATGACAAAACGGGGGGCTGACATGATTCAGATAGACAGCGCCTTATTCTGAAGGATCATATACACACACAGATCTGCAGGAGTCCTTGCTGCTGACAGAGACATTACACTCCCAGATTTAGTGTCCATATCAAGACAGGGAGAAAACTGGACTTGAAAGTATAAAGTGGAATATCTGCAGGAATAGAAGCCAAGTTTTTCAGAGTTAATCTGTATCTGTGTCTGAATTCTGCTTTGTCGGCAGATGCTCCAAAGAAATGCTGCCTATTCAAGAGGCACAATGTACTGTGGAGGCCAGAAATAGCTCCAGTCAGGTAAGCATGAATGATGCAACAGGAACAGAAAGAGGGCTCTCTGCCAAGTCTCGTAGTCTACGACACTGACAGCCGCAGCCAGTGTTTATGAATGAATAGCGCTCAGTGTCTTAATGACACCTGGAACTGACTCAGTGCAGGGACAGTCAGTGGGTGGACCTGGCGGGACAGGATGAGGTGGGGTAGCATCCACATTGGGCCTGATGCATAAAAGTGACTTTGAAACCCCCTTAACTTTCCATTTGTCCCCACGTTGCCATTATTTTCCATGTATAGCAAATGTCTAGAGCTCAGGCATACCTCCACACATCGACTAATTTACTGACAGTGCTTGATCAGATTTAGATCTGATTAGATAAAAACTGTGATTGGAATAGGGCCGCAATTTATGATTATTATCATTATTGAATAATGTGCCAATCATTTCCTCTATTCATTTATTAGTCTTTTGGTCTAGAAAATGCCATAAACTGATTATAGAAATGCCCATATCCTAAAGACCAAGGTGATGTCTTTATATGTCTTGTTTTGTCTAACCAACAGTCCAAAGATATCCTCAGACAAAGAAAGGCAGCAATCCTCAGAATTAAAGAGCTGGATCCAGACTAAATGTTATGACATACATCTGTGTTTAAAACAATTGATCAGTTGTTGAAATACTTTAATTTAATTTCTTTGGATCAACTAATTAACTTATTAACCAATAATTGATCAATCATTTAACAATTGATCAATGAATTGAGAAAATAACCAATAATTATGGTCCTAAGGTCATCCTCTGCTTAAAATCAAATCAGGTGAGGACACATTATACAGCCAAACCTTGCTCATTGTCATTCCCGTTTGTTCCAGTTTGAGTTAGCACAAAACTCACATCATTTTAAGAAACTTGTTTTTGAAAATATGCTGATTCAACTAGTATCTGTCCACCAACAGTCTAAAAAGGTAAAGGCCTGCTGGTGGACCAGTGCTGTTTTAGAGGGGTTCCCCTCTCTCCCAGCTTGGGCTGTATTCCCCTGATTACTGGCATTACTTTATGAGCAATCGCAGCAGATGCTTATTCATCGCGCTGAGACAGAGGCAACAGTATCAGCATCAGGGAGTCTGGTAGGAGGTGACGCATCGCTTCAGGGAAAACGCTGAGAAGTGACGAGCAGCTCCGGTCCACAAAGAGTATTCCCTCACGACCACAGCAGAGCGGCAGAGCGGCGGTGCGGCAGCGGCAGGGGCTTTTCCTCGTCCACCTCCTCCTCCTGACTGCCCACGCATGAATGAACAGAGTGGATGACACACACACACACGCACGCAGAAACCGCAACAGTAGCCACGAAGGGGAGGAAACAGCGGTTCTCCTCCTCCGTGTAGCCTAGACATTTATAGAAACTCAAAGAGCCTCTGAATATTTGCTGGTGTTAACACAGTCACGACCGGGCTAGCCTACAACAATGTTGCCTCTCTTTTTTTGCTGTCTGATAACTCATTCATGCACAGTATACAGTAAATTAAACAGCAACAGTGCCGTTAAAGTATCCCAGTGGCACCCCCCTACTATAAACCTGTGTTTCCGTTCAGACAAGCGGAGCTGCTGTGTGATTTAATGATTGATCAGCACAAACCCTCCGCTACCAGGGCTACACTGACTTTTCAACGGAGCTGATTTCCCGCAGGCTCTGTCACACAACTGGTGCAGTTGATAGCAAGTGATAACTCCACTAACGTCAAACACAGAGGATTTAATTTCCCCTTTAATCTCCTCTCTTACCTCCCACACACAGCAGGGACATCTCTGATAGCGGCGTGAGCGTCCCCGGCTGTCCTCTACTGAGTGCTCCGTGATTTTGTTTGGTCAGTCCGTTTGTCTCTTGGTTACAACAAAAAGAAGTCAAACCGCCAAAAAACCGTTACCCTAAAAGGTACCGGAAACAAATCCGCATCATCTCAGAAGCGCTCGTCTGTTTCTCCGCGGAGCTGTTGCTCTTTTGGCAGGACAAGACACACGGGAGTGAATTCCTCGCCCCCCTCTTCTTCCTCCTCTGCATTGCCTCAGCTCTCCCCCGCTGCTCCTCCTGCGCGCACAGCCATCTTGTTTCAGCAGCAGCACCCTGCGCGCGAGGACAGCTCCCCCGCGCCGCGCCGCCCTGACGTCACGGTTGATGAGTAGCAGACGGAGAGAGGAGAGAGAAGCTTGCGGTGGGGTGACCGGAGGAGACAGGGGCGGGATGGGGCTGTATTAATATACAATCCTGACCGGTAGACTACAATCAATGACGACGGCGAGGGATTTCATTCATTGCTTTCCAAGTCTCAAAGCATTTTTAGAAAAGTTACTATTTTCTATTTTATCATGCACATGCTGTAATATACCGAGCTTTTTAAACTGCAGTTATTATTATATTAACGTATTTTTATGTAGGCCTATCCTATTGCACATGAATAGCCTACATACATAGGCTACAGGCCTCTGGCAGACTCAATTCATATTTTTGTAACATGATTTTTGAAAAGTGCTCTATAAATAAGGATTATTATCATTATTATTATTATTTTCACCGCATTTCAACACAGATGTTTGAAAGGACGACTTAGGCTAATAACAGGCAGGGCAATACACAGTATGTTTTAAAATGCCATGAATCAGCCCATTTCTACATGTTTATTCCCAAAGCGACGGTGCTGCTCTTTCAAAACTTCACACTACCAGGGATAAAGTGATGGTGGGAAAATACTGAGTTCTTTATACATTTCTCGTTGGCCCAAAGGTAAAAATATTTCATTCAAATACTGTAATCAGTCATATGAACCAACTATGTGTAGTTTCAATTGTAGAATGTGAACTCCCCCACCTCCCAATAATCCTTAAAATATTAGAAACAAATACTGAGGGCATGATCTCATTGTTCTTAGTGCCAGATATGGCCCTGATAAGTGGGTTTATCTCATAATTAAACTATTTTATTTCTTTAAATCTCAACTTTACACATACAGCTGAACTTATTTGAGGCTTGAAAATAAAGTTTGTCTTCTCTGTTCATGACTGTTGACTTGTTTACAAACATGGGGAAGTACTTACATGGTTTTGTGTAGTTATTAAAATTATTATTACTATTAAAATAGATTACACTCACCTAAAGGATTATTAGGAACACCTGTTCAATTTCTCATTAATGCAATTATCTACCAACCAATCAACCAACCACATGGCAGTTGCTTCAATGCATTTAGGGGTGTGGTCCCAGTCAAGACAATTTCCTGAACTCCAAACTGAATGTCAGAATGGGAAAGAAAGGTGATTTAAGCAATTTTGAGCGTGGCATGGTTGTTGGTGCCAGACGGGCCGGTCTGAGTATTTCACAATCTGCTCAGTTACTGGGATTTTCACGCACAACCATTTCTAGGGTTTACAAAGAATGGTGTGAAAAGGGAAAAAAACATCCAGTATGCGGCAGTCCTGTGGGTGAAAATGCCTTGTTGATGCTAGAGGTCAGAGGAGAATGGGCCGACTGATTCAAGCTGATAGAAGAGCAACTTTGACTGAAATAACCACTCGTTACAACCGAGGTATGCAGCAAAGCATTTGTGAAGCCACAACACGCACAACCTTGAGGCGGATGGGCTACAACAGCAGAAGACCCCACCGGGTACCACTCATCTCCACTACAAATAGGAAAAAGAGGATACAATTTGCAAGAGCTCACCAAAATTGGACAGTTGAAGACTGGAAAAATGTTGCCTGGTCTGATGAGTCTCGATTCTGTTGAGACATTCAGATGGTAGAGTCAGAATTTGGCGTAAACAGAATGAGAACATGGATCCATCATGCCTTGTTACCACTGTGCAGGCTGGTGGTGGTGGTGTAATGGTGTGGGGGATGTTTTCTTGGCACACTTTAGGCCCCTTAGTGCCAATTGGGCATCGTTTAAATGCCATGGCCTACCTGAGCATTGTTTCTGACAAATGTCCATCCCTTCACGGCCACCATGTACCCATCCTCTGATGGCTACTTCCAGCAGGATAATGCACCATGTCACAAAGCTCGAATCATTTCAAATTGGTTTCTTGAACATGACAATGAGTTCACTGTACTAAAATGGCCCCCACAGTGACCAGATCTCGACCCAATAGAGCATCTTTGGGATGTGGTGGAACGGGAGCTTCGTGCCCTGGATGTGCATCCCAAAAATCTCCATCAACTGCAAGATGCTATCCTATCAATATGGGCCAACATTTCTAAAGAATGCTTTCAGCACCTAGTTGAATCAATGCCACGTAGAATTAAGGCAGTTCTGAAGGCGAAAGGGGGTCAAACACAGTATTAGTATGGTGTTCCTAATAATCCTTTAGGTGAGTGTATATGTATGGGGTATAGATAAGGAAACATGTATTTTACTGCTCCAAAGTAATTTGTTTGCTCACTAAGACAAATGCTCATTTGTAATTTGCTTATTATAACCAAATGGTCAGTTACATTTTTCTGTATGTATTGACAGAATTTTGATGCACAGGACTTTTAAAAGATAAGCTTGCTTCATTCCTATCTTAGTTTTGTTCAGTCAAGTAAAATACTGTGCATTGAAGTATAGACGATATGGACCTGCTCTATATGAAAAGTGCAATAAGGTGACTGTTTTTGTGAATTGGCGGTATATAAATACAACTGAATTGGATTTAATAATAGGTGGATATGGGCACTTAACACCCAAAGTATGAACTCAAATTGACAGGTTGTAAACGGTCCTGAATGTACATACCTAAACTAGAGAAGCAAGCAACCAATTACAATCAATGTGCAGAGATGGAGAGCAGCTTGTAGTACCGATAAGAAACGCCAGGGGGGCAGAAAAGGCAGCGATGACAGTGGGACTACTGGAAATACACAAAGCGATTAAGTGTGTTGTTTACGCCTACGCTAGGTTCAAGATGGCTGCTGGAGACAACAGCGGCAGGCCTCCTTGCCTTAATTTCTCCGGCCCGGGTCCTTTGGGAAACAGCCAGCCCAGTAACAGCGTTTTCTCCATGCCAGCATCCAACGGCGGAGCGGCCGGTGCGGCCGGGGGAGCACAGGGAGCAGCGAGGCGGCCCAACCCGCAGCTGGGGCCTGGCGGGGGAGACAGCAACGGTGTTTCGACCGGAGCTCCGCCGACTGCGCAGAACTCCCTGCAGCAGTCCGCTGCGGCAGGTGCTGCGGCAGCCGGAGCCATGGCCAACCCGGCGTCCAACATGGCAACCACCGCAGCGTCAAACGCGTCTTCCGCGGCAGCACCGAGCGCCACTCCGGCAGCTGCGTCTGTGCTGGTGTATCGAGAGCCAGTGTACAACTGGCAGGCGACGAAGAGCACCGTCAAGGAGAGATTTGCTTTCCTCTTCAACAACGAAGTGCTCAGTGACGTTCATTTTTTAGTGGGCAAGGGAATGGGGGTTCAGAGGATACCTGCGCACAGGTAAGATGATTAACTGCAGCATGATCGTTCAAAACGTCAACTAGCTAACTCCGCTAAGCGAAAAGACTCTCTCTTGTTCTTTGTTGCTGTCTGCTGACAGGTTTGTTCTGGCTGTGGGGAGCGCAGTGTTTGATGCCATGTTCAACGGCGGGATGGCGACGACCTCAACGGAAATCGAGCTTCCTGATGTGGAGCCAGCTGCTTTTCTGGCCCTGCTAAAGTGAGGAGTGTGTGTGTGTGTGTGACAAGGGGAGCGCGTGCCATTTAAACTGATTATTTGCATGTCCTGAAAGTGGGCGTGTTTTTTTATTTATTTCATAAGGCATCAGCATTTGGGACATAGCAATAATTTGCAGCTAAAATTAAACTCAGACAATGAAACATAACATTTCATACCAGTGCATTCATTATATGATTTATAATTAAGTTAAGCATACAAAACTCTATATTGTGTGCCTCAGTAAAGTATGAATGTCTTGTATAACTTCCTGCAGGTTTCTCTACTCTGATGAAGTGCAGATCGGGCCTGAGACTGTGATGACTACGCTATACACCGCTAAAAAGTATGCAGTGCCAGCCCTGGAGGCGCACTGTGTGGAGTTCCTCAAGAAGAACCTGAGAGCAGACAATGCTTTCATGCTGCTCACACAGGTCTGCTTCCCCAGACTACAAACACTGACCAGTTCTTGTATGCAGTTTGATGTGTAGGACTGATTGATCTGCCTCTATATGTAAATATGCATCTGTCCATTTAGTAAAAACTGCATTTTCTTACTACTCCTAGTTTTGCTGCCCTAGAAGTTGATAATTAGTTGATAATAGTGGGCCAAAACTGTCAGTATGATGTGCAACAATGATGAAATTTCAAATTCACAAATAGAGTTGGATATTGTAATATTTTTTCACAATGGTGTTGATATCATGGAGTTTTGATAACATTACCAAAACTAATAAAGGGTATGCGCATGATGTCACAGAACGCAGTTAGGCTCACTGAGTGGCAGAAAGACAAGCAGCTGTGTTAGCTTGAATCAGCTAAAACACAAACAACACATCTAAAATGGGAAAGAGCTGGACCACTGGTTCTTTGGTAAGCAGTTAGGATCACGGTCAAGTCCGACTGCCTTTAATTTGAGCAAATTATCCCTCGTTTTACTCCCATTTTGCTAAATGCAGCCATGGTAAAAGATGTTTTGCCACTCAGTCCAGCGTGTTCCTGAAGAGGAAGTGACATCACCGCACACCGTCTATACCCCTTGCAACAAATCTTTTATTCAACAAAAGAAGCCAAAGTTATCAAATATTACATGTTTTCTAGACTCAAACAGCTAAACAAAAACTTAAAAACAAAGGAAAAAATAATAGAATAAAATTGGCAAAATGATGATATATATTAGAAACTGTCCTATCAAGAATAACTAAACAAAATTGAGTCTGACCAGCTTTTGGTATTTATCACATTTTGATACTTGGTGCTACGAACATATTTAAGGCTGTCCCAGAAAAATTGTTGAGGTTTGAGTTAAGGTTAGGGCTATAGTGTGATTTGCAACCCAGTACTGACTGAATTGTCACTCTTTTTTAAGTGCAGTTGTCAATTCAGGATTTCTAACTAGGCTGTGTAGGAAAAGGTGATGTGTTCTTTAAACTGTGGTGTATTCCTTGTTTCAGGCACGGTTGTTTGATGAGCCTCAGCTTGCCAGCCTCTGTCTAGAAAATATTGATAAGAACACAGGAGATGCTCTCGCCGCTG